TCTGTCTTACATATGTACAATCACGTATAGATCTTTCTTATGTTTTTTTTTCTTCGTTTTTAATTCCGCGCCGCTTATAAAGACAAATATAGAGATGAGATATATCATGTTTTCGATGATAAATTTGTTTGTGAGCATTGTCTGGTGCTATGATTGTGGTGACGATGTTCTTTGTGTTTGTGTTGGTTTATTGAAGAGAAGAGAAAAAAAACAATGTAGAAGTATACCGAACACCAATTTCATTGAAAAATGACAATTACTGAGGTTAATAGATGATGACTAAGTATCGTGTCATTGCCATTGATTCATATGTCCCATCAATAGATGAATCATCATTATCGAATGCTGTAATTCGAAACAGAAACGATAAAAATTATTCTGCGTACTTTATTCGTCACTATATCGTTAAAAAACATTCTTTGCATGAGGTTTTTTCAAATGTCATTATTTATTTAGGTGAAAAATATTTGCAGGATACAATTGACTAGTCAGTCGATCAGGGATCAAACCAATGTTACTAATGTTTAATTAAAAACAGATTGCGAATGACAGTTTCAAATACAGTTCAACGTCAAAGAAATGGACGTTAGCTGTCGATGTATGGAATGCAAAATATATTGCTTCTCAATACCTAAAATACATTCAACTATTATATCAATGCGAACATTCCGAAAGAACCTGTGCACTATTAAATCGATTCTCTCACAGACAAATTCAAGTTTTTACGCAAATTCATACTGATGCATTTCATTCCAACACTTGTAAAATGAAAATAAATAAAAAGATTTCGATGTAGTATAAGGGATGAGAATGACGGTAGAAAATCAAGTGAGACTGAAGACAACTGTAAATGTGCTACTGAAGCGTAGGCAAGGATATCCTATTTTCTATTGTTCATCGACACCTCACCCTCAAAGTCACTATGATCTACACATTTCCGGTACGAACCAAAACTCCTTTTCGTTCTGAATTTCATCTGAAATCAGATAAAACAAAGCGATTCAAACAATTATCTGACACTTTTTTTTACCAGAATACGACGGAACTTAGCTGAATGACAGAAAGTGTCGGAAACGCCTAGGATCGCATCGAAAGTCTAAAACTCCGACAATCTTCTGAGAAATTCCTACACCAAAGACCGGGACAGCGTTCCGACATATTCATACCGGATACGACAGGACCTGATATTTTCCTTGATGGAATCCGGCCATCGAATCATTCGCCTTAAGTAACCTATTCTATCTATTCCGAGATAGTTTTAATAGATAATGAAGAAAGTTCTAATGTAAGAGGATCAATTCAACTTACTTGTCCAGAAATAGTTTGATAGTATAAATGATTACGCCACGCATTTGGTATACTGAAGAAGAAATCATATGAACGGTCAATCAAATGCTTAACCTAGGAAGCAAAGATCCTTTTGAAAGCTCTTTTACGAAAGGAAATTATTTTCGTTCTTTATCGTCGTAAGATTTATGTAACTTCCACAAAACTCTCCTCACCTAGACAAGAGAAATTAGGGTGTGGGTGAGGGTGGAAGTTGAATAGTTTAAAACTCGAATACTTGAATTCTAAACTAAAAGATTGAAAATTCGAACGAAAGTTTAAATACTCGAATCGAGTTAACGACTTCTACATTACTCAGCTATTGAATTACACAAATTCATATTTAAGTAAAATTTCCTTTCTTAACACAACACGAAGTACAGCATCACATGGTGTTATGCGACTTTTCTACTGTCTACGATTGTACCACTTATTCTCATATGTATCATACCTACGTAACTAATTCATTGAATAATGATATAATTATTCCTACCTACGTTATATTCAATAGAGGAGAAAAGATTCAATTTTGAGCCTACAAACGATACAAAGCACCATCATATCGAAAGATATAGGCAATCACTTGCACGATTCGTTGTGTCGTTGATCTCGAAAGCGGTAACTCGGAAAATATTGATGCGAACACAGTGCTAACGTATCTGCACTGATCTTAAACTATCCGTTTCCTGAAATTTAACAATGACTTTTCATTCATCCACAGAATGTTTCTAAAAAAACAACATTTTGATTGTGAAATGTTCTTAGTTCATCAAATACACATATCAGCTAAATTTTACAATGAAATCTAACTGGCTGGCTTTTTGAAAAGAATTTGTGTTTGTCTGCAATTGAAGTCAGACATGGTGTCTTATCTCACGTATCGAAAATAGTATTACGACACTGGGAAAAAATGAAGAAAGTATTTTATCAGCACATATATATCTATACAGCACGCGCACATACTTAATTAAGTATTTAAAAAGGCGCTGCAAGAACAGCTATTCTTATAAACCGATATTCTAATCTACACAATTTGATTCATTATAGAAAATACATAAAAAGGATGTCGTCTTCGCAACAAAATTCTCAAAATTGGCAACGAGGTGTCAATCAATACGGTAATCGATACGATAACCGTGGCGAAGGAGCTGCACAGGGAGGTACATTGAACACGTCATTTTTGCGACAGAACAAATCATCTTTGTTTTTGTCTTACCATGTAGGTAACTATCATTATAGTAATACCGATGGCTCGTATTATTACCAGAATAGCAATGGTTCAACATTCTATCAAGCACCGAATGGTCACCAACAATACACGGCACCCGAAAACAATTCTCGTTACTACCGGCAATAACTGATAAAGAAAATATAATTCATAAACTGTATCTTACCATTTTATTTTGCTTACTACATTCGTTCTATAGTTAACCATTTCTCATATAATCTTCATTTCTAATTTGAAAATAAATTTCTTCCGATATCAGAAACTCGATCGAAGACTTCAGTTCGTATGAAATCTGCTAACGCGTTGTATCTATGTACTAGATGTCAGTTAAACTTGATAAGCATAGAGCGTCCTCTATCCAAGTATTTACACGTAACTTAGATAAGATTTCAATGCCTGTATTTGATTCGTCTGGTAAGTTTAGTTCAATGAAAGTATTTTATACATCACCCAATTTTGAGTTTAGTTAGTCAATCAACCTACATCGCCAAGATGATTTATGACGCGCACTTAACTATAACTGACGACGTGGAAGGCCAATGATTTGTTTATTTCAAAAGTAGAAGAATCAGGAAGAAAATTTTCTTTTTGACATATTCATGGCTAACTTCAAATTTCTCATCATTCTTTTTATCACTTTCAGATGTTGATAATCAGACATTAGTCATTTCAGTGTCATATAACGGAAAGTTTTCTCATCAAAAAAAGACGAAAATTATTTTTGAATGGGTAGTTTATTAAGTATATTTTCTGGTTTATTCGGTAGTAAAGAACGTCGAATACTTATTCTGGGTCTTGATGGTGCAGGAAAAACAACAATTCTGTATCGTCTTCAAGTCAGTGAAGTTGTGACAACGATTCCCACAATTGGTTTCAATGTTGAAACTGTGCAGTATAAAAATTTAAAATTTCAAGTTTGGGATCTTGGTAAAACAATTTGTTTTCACCCTTCCTTCTACTCATATTTCATTTCAATTTCTTTCAAGGTGGTCAGACATCCATCCGTCCATATTGGCGTTGTTATTATTCAAATACAGACGCTATCATATATGTTGTTGATTCTATGGATCGTGAACGTATTAGTATATCAAAACAAGAACTTGTTGCCATGCTTGAAGAAGACGAATTGAAAAATGCCGTTCTATGTGTCTTCGCCAATAAACAAGATCTCGAAGGTTGTATGAGTGTTAGTGAAGTGGCTAATTCACTTGGTTTAACCTCATTAAAGAATCGCAAGTATCAAATATTTAAAACATCAGCAATTAAAGGTACAGGATTAAATGAAGCCATGGACTGGTTAGCAAACTCATTGCAACAAAAAACCTAATTACTTTAATCGAAAACAAAAAACAGATAGACTCTTCTTAGGCCAATTCATACTTTTAGTTTGTCTTCGAATGGGATGATCATAAGGGTGCATATGATTTAATTCTTTGTCTAACAAACGTCTGTAATAATATCATAAACACATGTTTCATTTTGTTTTTTTTTTCTTCGCTTTATTTTCTTTTCTTTCGTTTAGTTTCTTCTTCTTCTTTTTTCTATTCAGTATTTGATCATGTAAACATATACATAGAAGAAAACTGCACTCTTGTTTATCTCATACTGTTGTTGTTATTTTCATTTTGCGAAGGGTTGAACGTTATTTTAATCTTTGAAAAATAAACTAAAACTGGCCATTTCATTTCTAACAATCTATTGAATATATTTTCATAGTTGTAAAGTTTTATCAATGTTTCAGCGTCATTATCATAATTGATTGATGCATTTATTCATAAAGGTTATAGACATTATCTGCCTTATGCTCGTTTCTACTCGTAAGTCAAAATACAAAACACATATTTCGTTGTTAACGTTCGTCAGAAGGCACGAGAAAGATGACACGATTGTTCGTCGACGATTAGCTTTTTCAAAATTTTCATAGATAACTGTGTGAAACGTATCATCTGTATATTAGTTTCTTACTCAACCGTCTAGTAGAGTAATCATCTGATTGAGTGATTGATGCATCCAAATATATTTTTCAGACATCGGTTAACGATATATTCGACAGCATTCATTCTGTATTATGTTTCATGATGTCGATTGGTTTGTAGCTGTCGCAGAATTTTGCTTCTCTTGAAAATGCTCTTAGCTTTGCTTATTCAATGAAAATTTGAATGAAAAAAAAACAGTTAAAACATCCCAAAAATAAATTTATAGTTTTGATTGGTTTACTAGTTTAAACATGTGGAATAGAAAAGAATGAATATTTTTCGAAACTAGATGAAATATGATTTTCATGATAGTATCTTGAGATTTACGATTCATGCATGCGATAAAATGTTGTTACATCGAGAAAAGCGTATTAGAAATCATGATAATCGTGTCCGTTACGCTTATGCTTATTCATTCTTAAGGACTTAATAACGTTTCACAGCATAGGCTTAAAGGTTTAACTTCAAATATGGAAGATTGCGAAGGTAAGACAGGTTCCTGTCTATTAAATCATTCAACAAACAAAATCAGAAAAGAAATGGAGTAGACCTTTTTACAGCAGAACTTCTTTTGCAATTCTAAATGTATTGCGCTTCAAGAAATACTTGAGCATGACTCATGAAAGCGCAATTTAGTAGTCACTGAAAACTTCGGTGCATATAAATATAGATGAATTATTCACTAGTTTAGCTACCTTTCATCAAATCACAAAATATAATCAAGCCGTTTTACCATTTTGTTCTATGAAGTAGAACGTCTGACTTATATCACATAACATCATCTTGTTTTTTTTTCCGAAGAAACGCGAAATATTGGTTCGAAAAAAATAGACCATGCTTCATCCGATTTAGTTTTCCATCTACTTCAATTATTTCCATCAGATCCAATAAATCAATTTCTTCGTTTCTGGATATCTGTACTCGTGTAAGTCTGTGATCCATTTTCCTAATCGAAATCGACAACTACATTAAGAAGAAAACCGACGAGTCCTTTCTTGTGCGACAAATTATTCAAAAATCATCGACTATATGGTCATAAATATGCATTTGTGATATATATTAAATGTGTTTGTTTAGTAATAAAGAACGAAAATACGATCGTGTCGAGTCATTTTTCACTGATGTTTATTCGTAATCAAGAATAGACCGTGAACGTCCTTGATTGAAATTATACATCGATGGCATCTTTTCAGTTGTATATTAGATAAACGCAAGTCAGGTATTTCAAATTATTGCTGTGAAATTTTTTCTTTCATCCTATTTTTAAACTAAACTTACATGAAACGTTTCTTTTCTCCGTCTTCCTTCGCGCTGTAATCATTACGTCTTATATATTTACATTTCTTTTTTTTTGCATTTTTAAGAGGAAGAAATTCTTTTGTCAGAGAATTATTAGTCAGCGACGCAGTTAGGACGTGAATCTATAATAATGAACAAAAAAGATTTCTAAATAATTAATCCATTTGTATTTCAGTATATATATATATAATTTTTTTATAAAGAAGTGTTTATCATGGAATCAGACAATGCTAATGATGAAATCTTCCTATTTACATCAGAATCAGTTGGTGAAGGTCATCCTGGTAAGTGTTTGACTACTTCTCCTCACGAGGAAGTATGCAATGTTTTTCTTTTGTAGACAAAATCTGCGATCAGATTAGTGATGCTATTCTCGATGAATGTTTACGAGTAGATCCGAACTCCAAAGTTGCATGCGGTATGTTCAAATAAAACTTCGTTTTGTATTGATGTCAAAATGTTATTTGTATATAGAGACATGTACAAAAACTGGTATGATTTTGGTTTGCGGTGAAATAACAACGAAAACTGTACTTGATTATCAGAAAATCATTCGAAGTACCGTTCGTGAAATCGGTTATGACTCATCGGAAAAAGGTTTTGATTACAATACTATGAACGTTTTGGTCGCTGTCGAACGACAATCACCTGATATAGCACAAGCAGTACATGAGGAGAAGGCTGATGATGATATTGGTGCTGGTGATCAAGGCTTGATGTTCGGATATGCAACAGACGAAACAGAAGAATGCATGCCATTGACAATTGAATTATCACATCGATTAAACGCTAAAATGGCGGAATTGCGACGAAATGGTGAAATGGATTATCTTCGACCAGATTCGAAAACTCAAGTAGATGAGATTTGGACTGAAAATTGAACGAAATCTTTTTTCCACAGGTCACTATTGAATACAAATTTGATCATGGTGCTTGTATTCCACTACGTGTGCATACAATTGTTATTTCTACCCAACATAGTCCAGAAGTCACACAAGAACAATTACGAGACGATCTTCGTAAGAAAATTATTGATCCAGTTATACCAGCGAATTTACTTGGTAAGATTTTTTGTGTGAGATGAGATACAAAGTTTTTAACAATAGAGATTTTAGATAATAAAACAGTTTATTATTTGAATCCATCGGGTAAATTCGAAATCGGTGGTCCACAAGGTGACGCGGGTTTAACTGGACGTAAAATCATTGTTGACACTTACGGTGGATGGGGTGCACATGGTGGTGGTGCATTCAGCGGTAAAGATCCATCGAAAGTTGATCGTTCAGGAGCGTATGCCGCTCGTTGGGTAGCGAAATCTCTTGTCAAGGCTAAACTGTGCCGTCGTTGTCTCGTTCAAATTTCCTATAGTATTGCGATCGCTGAACCTTTGTCAGTAACTGTTTTCTCCTACGGCACATCACAGAAATCTAATAAAGAGTTATTAGAAATAGTTAAAAATAACTTTGACCTTCGTCCTGGTACGATTATTCGGTAAGATAAATTTTCAGTTGTCTTCATTTGAAATCATTCCTTGAATTTATAGAGATTTAAATTTGAAAAATCCAATTTATAGAAAAACAGCATGTTATGGACATTTCGGTCGACCTGAATTTCCTTGGGAACAAGCAAAGCAACTAAAATTCTAACACCACGATTCATTTTATTCTTTACCGAATATAACTGTCTATCTCGTTGTATTCAATTCAGTTATTTTTGTGATACACCTGTGCTAATAACATGTCATTCTGTTGGTTAACTTTAGATTTTTTGTAATCACGATGCGGAAGTTTGTTTGTGTGTCTGTCATATAAAACTCAATATCAACACTTGCTTTTCTGACTTTTATACAAAAATAAATCGATAGTACAATGAAATAGCACGCACCACCAAGTATACAGATAACAAAAAAACACTAAACGATTAAAAAGACGTGATACAATGTAATCAGAAGTCAAAGTTAATCTTCATTCTTCTCTTCTCAATAGTACATACATTTATCTTTCACGAATATGTCGATTCCACCAACAGTGCAACAACCGAAACCAACGAATCCGACTCTTGGCTTATTACCTGATGAATATATCCGATTTGAATATGTTCACAAGCCAGGTTGCTGTTGTTTTACATCCAAAATTACAACAGTTACAAATCAACGTTTGATTACACGTACTATTAAACCACCGCCAATATTTTCCAAGCGAACATCGTGCCAGCCCGGACCAGCCAAAATCAGATCACTAACGGATATTCACAATGTGAAGGAACTACGATCAGCGATTCCATCAAGTGAAAACACCTGGTGGATGAAATGCATTGATATTTTAACATGTGGCTGTTGGAGTCCACAGATCAATTGGTTGGAATCGTGTGGAGTAGATAATTTAGCCATGGAAACCCCAACATCAATACGGAAGTCGGAGGCATTGAGAACATCTATATTAGTTGAGAAATTTTAATCTACCATATGTTTGAACAATAAATTTTTCAGAGTTTCTTGCTACTTTCTTTTTGATGTCATTCGCAAAATATACACTTCATGGTGTGTGGTACTCTTTGGTATTTTTGTGAAATATTCTTCTCTAGTGACCTTGAGATTATAGACAGTCTCGATTTATTGGAATATATTAATCCAGACTATTCGTTTTTTGTGAACAGTCAAAGTCGAGGTCGCTATTAGTCGCTTAGACATTGTTCTTTCGTATTCGGTTCGAGGAAAAGAACGAACTAATTATAGTCGTACATGGTAATTTATGGATTGGATGCTTTAAAATGATGACGATAGGAAAAAGTCAAAGGTCGATAGTCGTGCACGTACTTTGCTCTATAAATTAAAATTGATACCCATCAAATAGACAATAGAGAAAACAGATCATGGTGTTCAAACGAGCTGTCTACATTGTTGCTGCACGTCGTACTCCATTCGGTACTTATGGTGGTAAATTGAAAGACTTTTCAGCAACACATTTACAAGAGCTTGCCAATCGTGCTGCTCTTAAGCAAGCTAAACTATCTCCCGAAGCAATTGACAGCACTATTGTTGGAAATGTTATGCAATCATCGTCTGATGCCGCTTACATTTCTCGACATGCTGCTTTACGTGCCGGTGTGCCTATTCATGTTCCAGCCTTGACAGTGAATCGCCTTTGTGGATCAGGTTTTCAATCGATTGTATCCGGTGGTCAAGAAATTCAGTTGGGCGACTCAGATGTTGTACTTTGTGGTGGTGCTGAAAGTATGTCACAAGCTCCTTATGCTGTACGAAACATTCGCTTCGGAACTAAATTGGGACAAGACTTGAAACTTGAGGATACATTGTGGCAAGGATTGACTGACGAATATGCCAAAACACCGATGGGTATCACAGGTAATTGTGACAAATTAAATCGTGAAGTATGTTCTAATGATTTTACTTTGACATATAGCGGAGAACTTAGCAAAAAAGTACAATGTGACACGTCAAGATACTGATCAATATGCTTTACAATCGCAACAGCGTTGGAAAAAGGCAAATGACCAAGGTGCGTTCAAAGATGAAATCGAACCAATAAAACTCAAAGGTAAAAAAGGTGCAGAAGAAAGTTTCGACACTGACGAGCACCCACGTCCACAATCCACAATTGAAACACTCTCCAAATTACCCGCTGTCTTTATCAAAGACAAAGGAACAGTCACAGCTGGTAATGCCAGCGGCGTTTGTGATGGTGCTGGTGCTGTAATTATCTGTAGTGAAGAAGCTTTGAAAAAGCATAATCTTACACCGTTAGCTCGAGTCGTCGCATACCATGTTAGTGGAGTCGAACCAACATTGATGGGTTTCGGTCCTGTGCCAGCAATCGAGAACTTGTTGAAGAAAGTTCAGAAATCAATTTCGGATATTGATCTATTTGATATAAATGAAGCTTTCGCACCGCAATTTTTATCTTGCCAAAAAGTTTTGAAATTACCCAACGAAAAGACCAATGTTAACGGAGGTGCTATTGCTCTCGGTCATCCATTAGGTGCGTCCGGCACACGAATCACTGCAAATCTTGTCTATGAATTAAGACGACGACAAGGTAAATATGCAATCGGTGCAGCCTGTATCGGTGGTGGTCAAGGTATTTCATTATTACTTGAACGTGTTTAAATCTTCGACAAACACACACACTCTCTCTCTTCGTCATCGCCACAGATTTTTTATATTAAAAAAACAACTTATTTGATTAAATAGAAAGAAAAATTTGTTTGATTTTAACGATTTGCGATTGATTCTTCATGGTATTGAATGTTAAAAGCAACCTTTTTAGATGTCTTTCAATGCATATATGCACATTCGTAATCGTTATCGATCGAATCCATCAGACTTTCAGCAGCTCGCAGAAAAACATCCAGATTTAAAACAATTTCTCATCGAAAAGAGTAAAGGTGGCGTAACGCTTGATTTTTGTGATCCAAATGCTGTTCGAGCATTAACAATTGCAGTGGCAAAAGAAGATTTTAATTTAGATTTAGAACTAAGTCTCGGTAAGACAGAATTTCAGTCGTTTGGAATCAGTCTCGACTTTCTTGTTCACATCGTAGATCGCTTGATACCAAGAATTCCGCAGAAATTGAATTATCTGCATTGGATCGAGGATTTAATAGAGTGTCGAAACGATGCGATCGGAATTGATATTGGTAGAGAAGAAAGAATACAAATATCTGCTTTTATAATCTCATATTGATGTTCTTTTGAGGCGGTGGTTGTTCATGTATTCATGCACTTCTTGCAGTTCGTCTGAATCCTCAATGGACGATGTATGTTTCCGAAATAGATCCATTTAACTATCGTATGGCGATGAAGAATGTTGAACAGAACGGATTACAAGATCGCATTCATAGTGAGCACACGACTAGATTGCTCATGACAGAATCATTTGCGTGTTATTCTAGTTGTTCAGATGGATTCATCGGCTTTGTTTCATGATTTCATCGATCAGACTAAACATTATGATTTTCTCATGTGTAATCCTCCGTTTTATTGTGATTTATCGGAATCTCAAGGTTTGACAAATACTCGTAAATCTGATCGTCCGTCGGCTAATTCAATAAATACGGCTGCACCTGTTGAGTCGATTTATGATCAAGGCGGTGAAGTTGAATTTGTCAAACGAATGATTAATGAAAGTCAAACATATGCAACAAATGTCAGGTAGAAAAATGTTCTGTTGTAAGTTTATTCGTTCATCGGAGCATATTTTTATTAAGAATGCTCTTGTTTTTTCCTTTCCGACAGAATCTTCACAAGTCAACTCGGCAAAAAATCGAGCTTAGATCAAATTAAAAAGCATCTAGCAAACATTCGACATATCGATACGGAATTATGTCAAGGAAATACCATGCGCTGGGCAATTGCCTGGACATTTGATGAAATGTATCAATTTCCTTCTGAATGTCAATCGCGAAAAGCATTTCAAGCTTTAAAAGTATTCCTTTGACAAGAAAACTAGTATATCATTTTCTTCTATTAATATAGAAAACCAAGAAGAAAAACGAAACTTCTCGTACACCCATCAGCGTTCCGTTTGATTCGAAATATTCATTTGATTTTATTAAAAATTATCTTGAGACGTATTTGTTCAATGAACTACATGTAAGTTAAAGGATTCTATTTGCTCGACAAAGTGACGAACATTTGTCCTTATATTTAACCTTCGCAAACAGCTCTCGTTAGTTATCGTATTTGATCAAACAACGTATTTCACCATTTTTTAGTTGAAATGGACAAGTCTCAGCTCCTATGCGTGGATCTTTGATGCCTATGACAATCTCTGGTCTCATCAACGACGCCGCCGACGTCAGCATACAAATGACGAACCACCTTCCAAACGTTTGAAATCCACCGATGAACCAACGGAGAAAGTGTGCACTATTCAAATGCGTTTAGACGAACACGAAGGTGTCTGCACTCTCTATCTACTATTTGTCGATGGAACAAATGCCGACGCTGCTAATCAAATCGGTCAATATATCAAAAATCAATTTCCAACCTACTGTCAAAGTCATGAATAGAAAATATTGACAATTGAATAATTCATGTCATCTTTGGACACACACTCAGTGAAATTGAGTTCTGTTTTCATTATTCATTCAAGAGACATAAATATATATTTTGCATTTTTTCCGCCTGTATCCATGTTGTTTACGACTGTCATACAAATAGTCCACGTAATTACTCACCTTTACATATGAAAATGATAATGACGAGAGAAACCACCATACTGTTGTTTCACTACTTGGAGAAAATATTTTTCTTGTCCGCATTGACACATGCATGTGACAATCTGGCAAAAAATTTACATTCATCCTGCACATTTTTCTGATCTACTCGTTTAACTTTGCCATTATGCAATGATAGATGAAAAGAAAGAAAGAAAAGCACACCATGATCAGTAAATGTTTGCATACATAGAGAAAGAGACAAGTGCAGAATATAAGATTATGAGGCAAGTTGTAAAGTGTTTTACGCGATTTCTCGTTTTAGATTGACGTCGATCGATATCGAGATGAAAAACAAAATGATCTAGGTATGTTAATTATAGATTTTGTCATGGTTTCGTATCTGCTTTTTATCTTTACGCTCAATCATCTCTATCAAAAGAAAAACGTGCGCGTCTGTTGATAAAATAAAAGGAAAAAAAAACAAAGAGTGAAGAACGAGTTGTAGCAACACGAGAGAGAGAGAGAGAAAGAAAAAACTTCATACTCGATGAGAGGAAGAGAAGTAGTCGAACATTTCTTTTATTTTCTTTCTTTTTCATATGACGTAGACAAAGAAACGTCGAAAAAGAAAAGACGATGGCAACAGCAGCTCTTTCAATCTCGCGTTTTTTTCTTCATTCTATGTTTCTTTGTAGTAAGAGTTTTACTTGTTATTATATATTCCTACTCGTATGCATGTGTCTTTCCTTTTTTACTGCTCAGTTATCGCGAAAAAACAAACGACGAAGTAATCTTTACTTATTTCTCTAGAGACATTTGATTGTCGCTTACGTTTTAACCAAACACGAACATCCGTTGAGGTTAATCAACGGTTAGCTGGTACACATATCTCTTAAGCGTAAACACGTAATCCTTTTTTCGACCAGGGAGAAAACAATTGAATAACATGCTCAATCGCCATTGTCATGTTTTATAGTTACTTCATCCGTGTGTGTTCTTTATCAGTTATTCTGTTTAGAAAAACAACGAATTTATTTGAACTTCCAAGATGTCAGCTTTAACTCCACCACCAGCACCGCCAGTAAATAATCTCATAGAACATCCGTTAGTTAATATGATAGCTGGTTATATCGCTCAATTACAAGGCCATCCGATGTTAACTAAACAACGTCTTCTATCATTACGACAAAGTTTCCTAGTAACAGTTGGTTTTCTTGTTCTCTTATATTGTTTAATTCATATTCAAATCTTGTTCTTTTGGCTATTGAAATTTGTTTTTCGGTTATTATTTAAAGTCTTTTCGCTTATTTTCTGGCTTCCACTAAGAACTGTTCGTTTATTACTCCCGAAATCCGTTGACTACGATGTTCTATTTCCATTGTTTTGGTTATGCTCAATTGCATCATTTTACGTTTCGAAGTTTTCGCACGAAAGTATTTGTCAATTCTACGATCAACATCTCGTTCGACGATATAAATCTCTTCAATATGATCCAGCAAAACGTGAAGATATTCGACGATACTTATTCATCGGAACATTTCTTGTTCTTCTGCTTGTTCAATGTTTATTTATTCTTACACCGATTGCTCTGTCAATTCGAAATCATCATGCAAATGCTAAAGTGTCGTCGGTAAACAGAAATGAATGAGTATGTTGATCAACACGTGAAAATGTTTTCTTTTCATAGACACCTATGATCGTGACTCCGACAACGACTGTTCAAACTACAACAGTCAAATCACCTGTGAAAGATGTTGTGGAAACAATGAGTGCGAACTTCTATAAACGTTTCATCGATGCATTTACAGACGATAATGAAACATACGCTGGTGAAAAACGTCAACCGTTAGTCAGTGATGAGCAGCTTGAAGAAACAGTGAAATCGCTGCAAAAGACGATTAAAAGTGGCATAAAGAGCATAAAACCAACGGATAAACCCAAAGACGCTCAAGAACAAAAGAAAAGTTCAAGATTTCAACGATGGATTGTTCATTATCTCAAAGCACCTTTTCAGAAATGGGAAAGTAAAAAGCCTGCAGTAATCAACTCAAAAGATGAACAGAATAAATTAGATGATCAAGAAGAGGAGGAAGATGTGCAAATCAATTCCTCCTCTTCACTTTTAGATGCAGAGAAAAGTGATCAAGAAGACGAAGATGATAATGATGAAGATGACGACGACGACGGCGAAGATGATGATGACCTGTCAGGATCTGATGTCGACGACGAAGACGATGATGATAATGATATTCAAGAGGAACATGCGAGTATTAGGGACAAATTGCAACAAGGTTTAGATTCAGCTAGTAATTTAGGAGAAAAAATTAAAGACAAGGTTTGTGAAAATATCAAAATACTACTCATACTAGTTTTTTGTTTTATCTTTTGTAGCTATTTTCATCTTCAAAAGATAAGGACGACGATAATGGTTCTTTGTCAATGCAACAACGTCTAGCCGAATCAGCGACGAATATCAAAGAAGAACTTAAAAAAAAGGTTTGGTCTGTTTAGGATTCCTTCGAAATGTTGATTATGTGATTCAATTCTAGTTCTCTTCTTCGGCGGCTAACGACGACGAAGATTCAGATTCAGATGATGAGCCAATAGAAAGTGCTAAAACTGTATCTCAAGCAGTAGCAGATGAATTACAAAGCAAAGTAAGTAGATTTATTCATTCATTAGGAAAAATGCTTATAACACATGTCATATTTAGTTACATTCATCTACTGATGCTTATGATGAAGATGAAGAATCTGGATATGATTCGGATGATGAAGGAGAACAATTAACAACATTAACCGGCAAGGCAAAGGAAACTTTAGGAGAATCCGTGGAAAAAGTCAAATCGATTGCATCGAATGTCAAAGACAAAGTTAGTCATTAAGTCTCTTCAAACGTATAGTAATAGGAAGATTTCTTTAGGTTGCGTCTGCATTAGATAAGGATGATGAAACACTCGTATCAATTTCTGATCAAATCAAAGAGAGCTTAGATAAACCGGTCGAAGTTGTGAAAGAATTCGGTGAAGATGTAATAACTAATGTTAGAAACAAGGTTCGTTCGTGTCTTATTAAAAAGTTTTCTATTAAACATTGTTTTCTAGTTATCATCGCCTGCCGATAATGACAAAGACAAAGAAGAAGAAAAAGATCCATCGTTGATAAATCGTGCACAGGAAACTGCAGAGAAAGTATGTTTACTCAGCAGCCAGGTTCATGTTATCGCTGAAAAATATTTCTTAGGTTATCTCCGTTGCCAATGAACTCAGACATAAAACTGTTGATATTCTGGATACTGCTGAAGAATATGCAGAAAATGCAGTGAAACAGTCCGCGGAGTTCATCGTCAAGAAAGCAAAAGATGTACGTAGCTGTTTTCACTACAGAAAGAGAAAATTTTGATTTTATTTCCAGGCGAAAAAACGTTTACCAAAACCGGATAAAGTCATTTCAAAAATAAAACACGACGTCGTTGAGCCACTAGAAGCCGAAGCAGCAAAATTGAAAAAAGAGCTGGAAACGAAAGCTGATCAGGTTTGTTTCTCAATTCGATTTGATATCGAATATCGACTTGTTTCTGTTTCAGATAAAAACAACCGTCGTTGGTAAGATCAAATCTTTGAAGAAAGAAAAGAAACCGAAAACATTGAGCGAAAAAGCAAAAGAGAAATTGCAATCCATCGCTGACTCTATTCAAGAAAAACTTCCAGGTAGAAAGAAGAAGGTAAAAGAAGCAAAGTTACTCGATCAAATCGCATCGAAAATACAACTGAAAAATCGAATTAATGGTTGGTTTGATGAAGCTTGGAATATTTGGCATCTAGCAAAATCTAATCTCGCCCATATCTTTATTTCTTCAACAAAACATGCACGACATTTACCGCGCTACAACAGCACATCTTTGTATACAGCATATACAGATGTGAAATGTTTTCCCTATGTCAAAAAATTAAATCGTTATCGACTTAGTAAACGATCCTATCTGTATTTTCTCGATAAATATCGTCGACATTCACCATTCTCGGTTTATCTATCAATCTTGAAATCAAACGGACCGAAATGCTATCGCCATTATCCAGATTCGTCATGTGCATTGATACAAAAGATTCCGAAAGGAAGCTTTAAAGTGAAAATCTATCGTTTCGTTCGATTTTGGGCATTGATGGGTTTGATTGGTGTGATTCTCACTGCTATCTATAAATATTATCTAAGTTTGCCAAAACCTCAGTCATCATCAGCATTCCGTCAACACAGAGATTTCGATCGATCAACAGATAGAAAACAAACAACAAGAACGTCGTCATCACCATCGAAGACTGATCTATCCAAAACAACGCAAAAGACATCATCCGATAATGAAAACAATACTCCAGCGAATAATAGTACTCAACCATTAGACCCAACAATTGATCAACAACTTCAATTATGGCTCCAACGCGAACAAAATGATGGATTTCGAAATCTTAGCGAAACATGTCGTCTAGCAATTAATAATACATTTCTAAAACAGCTAGTAAGTCCTATGGAGATATATCAATGACCTTCTTTTTCTAGTCAATATTAACCTTGACGTTATATAGTATTTCTCGTTTCTCAGAAAGGCATAGCGATTGACTCCATTGACTATCAACAAAGCTGTTCTCTCGTTTCTTTTCGATGTTGTCTCGTAGGTTGGTTGCTTGTTTGTTTGTTTGTTTGCCATCAATGACGTCTTGACGGATTCCTTTTGGCCAGATGATGAGAACGATAAAGAAAGAGAGGGAGAAAAACGATTCTTTATTCTATATGTGATTTATATGTTCTAGGATCGAGCGTTTGTTTGTTTCCTCGGAGCATTATCTACGCATAATATCGCAGGAGATTTTCTCTTCCTTTGCTCTCTCTCTCTCTTCTCCTTTTTCTTCTGTTGCTTTCCATGTCCTTAACGGCAAAATACGCAGTAAAACACTTGGAAAGATGAGGAAAAATGCCGATCGTCGACAGCTCGATGCTGATGATGATGATGATGATTGAGTTTCTTTTACCAAGTGTATGGCGTATGAAACAACAGAAGAGATCCTCCTGAAGTAAATCATCATGTCTGCAGACGACCGTCAAGAAGTCATCGATGCGTTCATTGAACGGCAACGTGATAATTTTCATCAATTAGTTCAAAATCTATCGATTTATTATCAGAACTTTCGTTCCCAATTTGCTTTTCCTACGGATAAGTCACAACAACGCTACCTTTATCTAACTGTTCTTTTGTCTCTTATTCTCGTGACAATCATCTATTTAATCGTTGTCGATTATCAGCGTTTAGTAAAACTTGTTCGTACTTATTTTCGTTTCGCTTATTCTTATTGGCAAGTATTATTCACAAGAATAAGAAACAAATTTTTACAAAAAACAACGCCGTCGTTGTTGAATATCTTACTAAACCGTAAAAGTCACATCCGAGATAAATTTTCGCAAGAATTCCTTCGCGCAATCAATCAAGAACTTTTGAATCGAAAGGTAAAGTATCTTTTCCATCTGAAAACATTTGATTATCAAGTAGCAGCGCTATTTTTTCATCTGTATACCATATTGATGCGTGTCCTTAAGCAAATTAACTGACAAAGCCAATTGAGACAAACATGTTTTTATTATTATTAGGACCGACTCAGCGTGGAAACTCTGCAATTTGCTAATGCGAAAATTCATAATGTTTCTCAAAATAATAATAACAGAAGTGCTGAAACAACTGCTGAAAAGATCGTAATTAGATATTTTAGCTTTTGAGTTTGGCATTAAATGAAATTTCGTTGTTTGTTCTCTTCAAAGATCATCAATGCAGTGCTCGATATTGACCATTTGACTTTGAATATGGTCCATACATTCAAAGAACAACATTTCTCGGTGGAAACACAGAAATTATCCGGTCAAATTTATATTTTATTAGTTGTTAATCCTAATCAGTATTCAATCGAAGCTAACCTTCAACAGCTTCAACTTTATCCTGTTAACATTATTGATTCGAATCATGTATGATCAAACGAAGAGATTTCATAACTTGACGATTGTTGTTTTTAGGCTTTATCGGAAAGTGACAAACAAAATCTTGTTAAATTATTAGACGAGACGATCAGTCGAACCGTTGTTCGATGTTCGTTTCGTCTCTCTGATACTCAAGAAGGTCCGAATGCAACTTATCTTTACAATTCTTCAACAACATCTTCTTCTGGAGCAACTAAACCGGTAAGAAATTCTCTTTCGTACGCTCGATCTTGATGAAATCTTGCGTTACTCTAGTCGACATCTTCTGCACAACTTACCACCTCATCTATTCAAACAACTACGTCTCGTTCTCCTCAATTAAACTCAGCTAAATATCAACCAACTGACTCTATACCCACAGTATTAATCAATAATACACATCAACCTTCATATACAAGTGACTCATTGATCAACACAGAATCGAAAAGACTACTTGTTCGTATTGTCAAAGCAGTGAAACTACATGGTAATTTGATGGCTTTGGTTGCTGTTTCACGTATTTTCTTTTTCTTTTCGAGTAGATGTTGGACAACCTTACTGTATTCTCGAGTTAAATCATCCTCATCAAGTTCAGAAAACAAGTATAGCTAACAATGGTCTCAATCCGTATGTTGTATATGATACATTTTTCTCTGCAATGTTCTGTTTCATCTTTTCAAGATTTTGGGATGAACGTTTTCTATTCGAATGTGATGATAAAAGTAATCAAATACATTTACAAATTATCGATCGAAAACAAGCAATTAAGCGAACAGGCAATAACTACGGTTTGTGATTTGTCGATTTCTTCTTTAAAAATCGCGTTTTATTTCTCTTCTCTAGTCGACACAGTTCATGCGGATGTTTTGATACCGTTCTCCTATGTTCAGAATACGACCTACAAGCAAGATGTTCAATTCAGTCCACAACATCCCGAATCCATTATTCGTCTTGAGGTAAATACATTTTCTAAGCCGATACCTCGATTATTTGCGTATGAAACAAAAGACTAATAGTCGTACGTAAGGATTTTACCTGGTTTATTGAATGCACTTCGTAGAAAGATTCGCTCTTTCTTAGTTACGAAAGGGCGAAGTGAAGCAATGATACTTTGAAAAAGCATGATCAACTCTAATGATAACTTTTTGTATTTGATAGATTTGACGCATCGTTTCTCCTTTCTTTTTCTCTATCCTATCGATCACATTTTGTATTTCTCTTGCGATACACCTACCATATTTTGCTTTTTTTCTCATCTCATTTACTACGTTCTTCGTCATTTCGAACGTTTCATATAAAAATTACGGTGCATGAGAAACGTGCGAATAAGTTAACATTTACTGCTTTTTGAGTATACTAGTGAATAATACGTAAGCAAGTCATACTTTCCCCATGGTTCGAAGCCGAAGCGAAGCAAATTTAAATCGAATTCTGATCGATCTCTGTACAAGTCCCAGTATACGTTCGAAAAACGAACATATTCGAAATAATCAACGGCAGCATCACCCACCATTACCAACATTAAAGCCAATCAAATCGAATTCTTGTTCAGATTTAACTAAACCATCAACACCTATACTGCCAGTGACATCAGTATCGTTAGATGAAGAAACACCAGCTCCATTACCATCACCGACAGCTCAACCAGAAACATCGAGTTTACCTCTGTCTTTTCAACGATCTCCTTTAACAGCAAAACGATCGGTCGAATTAAACCCATTTCCTATTGTACAATTAATACCAACAGAATCGACGGGTTTTGTTGTTCAAACACCATCCTATCTGACACAAACATCTCTATCGCTTTTCGAAACAAATTTAATAAACTCGAGTGTCAGACATCATGGTCATCGATCCTTGGCAAATGTGAAGTCGTCGTCATTAGGAACATCGCCTTTAGTAGGACAAAAGTCTAATACCATTTCACTGACATCCTCGACAACAAATGATTGGCAACAGCCAGATTTTGCTAGTCGATTACGTGACCGGTTAAAAGCTCGAGGACACCTACGCAAATTTTTTTTGTCATAACTTCTGTAATCTGTATATTCATAAATATAGATATCGCTCCGAAACTTCTCATACTTGAATGGTTATTTTTCAATAAAACCAACCTTCTCTGCTTTATTCTAGTTCTCAACGTTATCTGAAGAAGATGCATTAGCTGGTAAGAGTCATATTATTTATTGCTTTTTCGTATTTGCATGTAATTCTTTTTTCGTTGATTAATTGTAATCAATAACGTTGTACATTTCTCTCTTTTTTCCTATTAATTAATCACAGCTAGTAATGGCTACGATGTCGAAAGTCTAACTGACAGTCAAACTTGGACATTTAATGACCGAGGTAGATAACATTTGTTGTGTAATTCTGCTTTACTCAATGGTTTTTCCTTTACAAATCATATCTAATCGGTCAACTTTCTCCTTTTAGAAGGAAATCGAATTGATCAAGAATATCCTCATCAATTTCAACAATCAACATCGAATGATTTCTTAACGTCAGCGTATGATGTTGGAAGTTTACCAAAACACTATGGTCTATCTTCGACTATATACGATGACGTATGTTCGATAAATAAAAAAACTCGCTACCGACACACCTTGACTCACGAATGTTTTGATGAATGATAATGAACAGACACACAGCCGAATAGTAGGCAAAATTAAGCAAAAAAACTAAAATGATCGAATCATTTGACATTAAAACGAAGGACAAACATTATGACGCATATGTCAACGACTTTGTCAGACATATCTTTAGTAAAAAATAGTATCAAGCTGTAAGTCCTTGGTTGAGTAGAGAGGTCGGATTATCTGACATACATGTCTTATCGAGATTTACGAAGTATTCAACATAGTGACATTGTATTTACATAAATATTCGTTTTAGGAACGTGATTATTCATCGACAATTCCTCGAACTACTGGTGCGAGCTCGTATTCTCCGTCGACTCCGTTAACACCTCGAGATGGCGCTGGCCTTACAGGTGATAAACCACAAAAGTCCAAGTCATTTATGAGTTCTCTAAAGCATTTAACATTACCTCGACGAAAACATAACAAGAATAAATATGATACAAGTATGGGTTCTCAAACAAGCAGCATCACACAATTGAACACTTCTCTGCAATCACCGCCGACAAATTTAACATCGCACAGTTTGTCATCTGGTAAGATAAAATGTTCTTCTCAATTTTTCTCATCTTTCATCACATAAAATCATACATGACTTTCTACAGCTCTACCAGGACCATATCCCGGTATGTCTCAATGCATGCTTAACATACTATTAAGCATGTTGACGTGGTTAAAGAAATAGCATTACTAATTCGCTGACAATTTTATTCTTTTATACACACGTCAAATAAACATCTCTTTGATTATTTAGAATATTTTCTGTCGAATACAATGGAATCAACACCAATCCGTCGTAGTCGTTCAATATCCCAATCATTCAGAAATCTGTTTCGTTCGAATTCAAAGAAGAAAGCGATGGCAGCCAGAGCTGATGCTATGGGTGAATTTGAGAATGGTGACTTAATCTTGACTTTCACTCTGAACTTGAACGAGTAGTACTGTTTGATTTTTAGGCACACACAACTATGTTAGTGATAATCGTAGTCATTTATCAACATCGGTTCCAACATCCAAGAAACTTTCATTTTTGCAACGACGAAAATCAAAACAAAAAGCGAAGAATCAATCAACGAATTCTCTCTCAAGTTATGACTGTTCAAGGTAAGTGAAAACGATTTTCAGTCTTTCCAAACTGATGAAAACAAAATCTACCACTTTTAGTGCTTCCTCGTGAGTCATATCAATTGTTTTTGTACAGTTCTAATAGATGAAAATAACCGAAAAGAATTTAGTGCACTGTTTTGTTTGTATAAACTAACTAAAACTACGAACAGAATCGTGTGACCTCTCGATGTTGTTCTTTTAGATAAAATCATTATATTCTATTCATTGATTATCCTTTCTCTCTGTTTAGAATGGAATCTGTGCGCGATACACCCATCCGCGCTAACGTTGGCCATCCAGTGACGATGACAAAATCACTTGTACGATGATGATGTTCGTTTCTTTTTCACTGTACAGTGTGTATGTGTGTAAACAACGCAAGATTGAACGAATTCATGTGCGATGTTCATCCTTTAGATGAACAATCTTCATCTTGTTTTCAGTTAGATCTGATCGAGTCGATTTTTCCCTTTAAATTAGATGTAAAAAAACTAACATGTTTGTTTTTCTTTCGTTTTCTTTTGGTTCAATGCTATTCTTTGACGTGTTTTCTATTTTGTACGTATGGCGACAATGGTTAGGGCATGCGGTTTTTTTCTCTTTTTTTTTCCTGTCTTATTCGCGCATTTTGTTGTTCTGATTTGGCAAAAAAAACTAGACTAAACCAATTGCCACTAATTCACCGAATATTTTATGAAATCTGAATGACGACGGTTGATATCAACGCAAGGAATTCTTCATTGTTCGTCGTACAGGAAATGATTGGCATCTGTTAAGAAGAAGAAAAGCGATTTTCATGCATGGAGTTTTTGTTTGGCAGCTTGAATACGAAAGTAAACGACGCTGATTGGTTTTTGATGGATATAGAAATACCATACAATGACAGAAACATTATTTAGCCATGAATACCTAGAAACTCGATGTCTTTTTTGTAAAAGATACGCTTCTCGATGACGACTTTCTTCTTTGTCATATTCCGATCGATTTTTCTTTCGGCTTGTTGCTAAGATATCCGATAAATAATTACGTACTAAAAGAAAAGAGAAAAAAATATGGAACCCATGGCGTATATAAACAAAACTGTTGAAAATTAGCTTTTCTCTTCATGACATATTCGAGATATACAATCAAACAAATTAAAATTCATGATTGATAAAAACAAACAAAAAAGAAAGAAAGAAACGAGAATAGAGAAAAAACGCCAACGACATTGCTTAAACAGTCGTATTGTCAAGAGTAAGTAATGTAAAAAGAACAGGTAAAAAACGTTGATAATGTTCCCATGGCGTCCCATGAAATGTTAATTTTGGTTCTGATTTAAAGCCACGATAAAGACATAGAAATTCCACTACACCTAATTTTTCTTCTAAGTAGGTGCGAAGGATATTGATTTTCATTATCCGCGCATCGCGTTGTTTTGCAACTGTTAACAGGATATCAGTGACACTGTCATCCCAAATCGGATTAGTTATCGATGACCACGAGGACGTTTTGAGTACTGAACAGGATGGTGATGATGATGATGTAAGATCATTTGATAAGGAATTTGAGGGTGATGACGATGCTGTTCCACTGTCATCTTCCATGGGATTTGTACAGGACGTGACGGAAAGGTTAAGAGGTTGAACTAAGGTTGGCGAGGAATGAAGTCGTTTAGTTGCTGTTAATAAACTAGACGATGAGATTCGTGATTCGTTTCGTTTCCCGTTGAGAATCGAGGTTGGTGATAATGAATCATTCGAAATAGATGTAGAAGATGAATGTTCGTTTGATTTCAAAGTTGAGATCGGTGATGATTGTTTTGGAAGAATAATACGTTGAAGAGCATTTTGAAGTACTTGCTCAAAATTTTTACCTACTCCTGTTGTTTTGTACCTATATGCAAAGAGAAAATACTAATGGAATTACTTCAATAAGGAGAGGATTCTGTTACCAAATATGATGAGCACTAGACGCACGGGGAGTAAGAAAGAAAGGTGATTGGGAAGTATTGCATTGTGGTGGTCGATGAGTAGCATAGAGACGATATGCTTGAATTGGACATGTTGAGGGTTGACTTGGTGTAGCATACAATCGTGTTGTTTGACTTTCTGCTCTCTGCTGCTGACATACGAGATATTGTTCATCAACCAAAGTAATATCACCCCAAAGTAATTGTCCCAGTAGTAGAATTTTATCTTGATAAAGTTTTGTGATATGTACATACATTTCTAATAGTAAATTATCGGGTTTGGTTCGATCAAAAACTGGTAGAGTTTTGAGATTGATCGATGATAAGAACGATTTCGTTTGCGGCTGATGATGGTTAGTGGAATGATTTCCACCGCCTAGTTTTTTCCATTGTTCACGTTTATTGATGATAATTTGTCGACATGACTGAAACAATGGCGATTCCATCAGATTATACTCATATTTTTTACTTTTCAAGTATCGTTCAACACTTAATAAGAAACTTCTCAATGTGTCCGGTTCATATTGGGTTCCATCGAACTTTTTCGTATTTTCGAAATAATGTTTTAAGTATCGACAAAGTGATTCTGCTGGCAGTGTTTGTATAGGTTTTTGCTCACCGAATTGTTCGTCTATATACATGACAAAACGTTTGACATCATGTTTCGTCTTTCGAATGGTATTGTGAGAATTCGTATCAGATGAAATAAGAAATACATTTGGATCAGGGTCAACAAGATTCAATGAAGACAAGTGACCATGGACCGATTTATGAGCTGTTGACGAGGATGTTCGAACTGATCGACGAGTGGATGATGGAACTACTGAGGTTTGTTCCACTTCCATGTTATATGCTGAAAATAACAGAGAAAGGACTGTGAAATTCGTTGAATGAGATGTGTTACCTGACGATGGTGGTACTTGAATCGATAAAAGTCGATCATCATCTGTGCTTGATATAGGCGATGATGGGTTTGATACTGATTTCATTAATTCATCTGTTGTAGCAAAACTTGAACAGTTGTTATTGATATCATCATTGATACGCGATGTAAATTTTGAATCTTGATCAAATTCCATCGATTTCTCTCGTCGAAATTTAATAACTGCCGTGCTCTTTTGATTGTTTAATGTATCGACGTATTCTCGTTGTTGCTGCTGTTGCTGATCTGAAGGTAATGTTTGAATAGTGATCGTCGATGATGGTGACTGAGATGGCATCAACATCTTGTCGATTTCTATTTCTATAAGGAAAAAAAGAAGACGAAGGAGAAGAAGAAGAAGAAAAGAAGAAGAAAAAAAAACGGTCTTCTAAAAAATGAAATATGAGTGAATGGAGAAAAGAAAAGAAAAGTTTACTTATTCACTATCGAATACTTTATACACATAAGAAACTGAAAGTCCGAATCGACTTGATTTGTTTGAATATATAAAGAACACGAAAGAAGAAAGGAAAGATTCGAATATATACACACATATATACAGTTCTCCTAGTTCAAAATTCTGATTAGCAAGGCATTACTTAATAATTCTTGTCACACATAAATGCAACAGTTGAATTCATGCATCATTTCTACCCCGATGATACGAAAGATAACGGCGAAGTTTTCTTCTTCAAAAAGAATTGTATCAGTAGAACATGATTGGAAAAAGGACGAATAATTCTCTTCAAAGTAGATAAGTAAAAAGATATTTGGTTGCCTTGAGGCAGTATAAAAAAAATGAAGACACGATGGTTAGAGAAAGCGGCAAAGTCCCCCCGCACAATAATCAAGACACGTTCACTAAAAAAAAAGAAAATGATAGAAGCCAAGTAAAAGGAACAGAAGAAGAAGAAGAAAAAAGCGGGATAGAGAAAACAGAAAAAGCCTCTTTTCCATATCATTCACGATACTCTCATATAAACGTTCAATCTGTATCTATTTTTTTGGAGAATATGAGAATACTCTTATTAGTCGTCTTGCCAGTCTCGGATTTCTTTATGCGCATAAGAACGTCTAGATGAGTATGTGTCTAACGTTGGTTTGAATTATCATGACGAGTCTTTCGGTTTTTTTCTCTCTCACTCTCTTTCTATATCTATCTATATCTCTATCTCGTGATCCAAATGCAGAAGGAATAGGAAAGAAGAGGAAAACGCAAAGAACTGAATGAACATTGACGAGCAAATCCGTATCAGAGAAGACGGATACAAACGGGCCGAGCAAAAAAGAAGAATTCATCAAACAATCATCACTGTTGATTCTCTTCTCCCGCGTTCGACAATCCAACTTTTAGACTTGCCGAAATTCCACTAGATAACTCACCTCGGATAGAGTGAAAAATACAAAATTTGATCTTCACGTCGACGATTGATCAGAATTATTTGATAAACTAAATGGATAAATCGTTGTGAAAAGCGAAATCGAACAAAGACATGAGAGTTTTAATTGAAAAATAAGATATTAATGATTCTCGTCCTCTTCTTCTCCTTCGTGTTGTCTAGTTGTTATTCAATAAATGACAACATACGTTATTTATCACTATCAAACATCGATCTACCTTTATTTCTTTAGTTGAATCAACGCAAAAGAAGAAGGAAGATGAATAGAGTTGTATGATGGTTCTTCTTCGTTTCATTGTATCATCATATCATTCTTCCATAGACTATCGGAAGACCGAATTCGATGCGTTACTTTATATTCAAAGAAAGAAAATGGAAAGAGAAGAAGAAAAAAACGATATGTATATATATATATATAGACGAAATAGTAAATGACTGTTCGAGATAAAAGAATCATCAAAATAACAATGACATTTTCCAATATTTGAATGAATAAATCGAGATATATATGTATATAAAAAATCTACAAAATCATCATTCCTAATAGTATACACTAAATAAAAGACATCCAACGAAGAAAAACACAGAAAGAACTGAATTTACTTTCAAGCGAGTATACATATTATCACTTATTTTTCTTACTTTGTTTGGATGTATATATATATATATACATGTGTATCATAAGACGTGCTTTACATATAGGTGTAATATATGCATATGTATAAACCTTGCTTTCTCTGTTATTCATTACGATGCAGCGTATATCATATATGTATATGAGTACCTATCGATTCTAAGCGAATCGTTGTTATTAATCATTAGAAGGAGAAAAACGAAATTACTGGATAAACGAATTGTGCTTGATATCGTAGATTATTGACAAATACGGTAATTTATCGAATCATCGATTTGGAAAAAAAATATTTTTACTGTTATGACATTTGATCATTGGACATTATCATGTGTTCGGTCAATACGTGTCGACTATTTGACAGATTTATCTATTTGCATTGCAATTCGAAATTACAACACTCCGACGGTTCATTCTATTTTATTTTTTTTAATTGTAATAAGTCAAAGAATAGGATTCACTTCAGAAGGCTATATCGCCTTAGAGCGAATACAAAACAAGTCAAAATCAGTGATCCAGAAAGTCGCTATTTATTATCTGATATAATAAAACAATATGAAAGAGAATACTCTTCTAGATGAAAATCTATAAAAACGACGTATCAATCAAATAAATACATATCATCAATATTTGTTCGCATGAATAAATCTTCTATTGATACAATCAGAAAGAACTTCTTGAGCTTCTTGCTGAGATTTCATATGATAGTTTGGTTTGAAATCGAACTAGACTGTATTTTTCTTCATTATTGTTTTAACAACTATGAATTAATTAAATAGAAAAGGAACACGAGAAAAGAAAAGGAAAGAATTGAAGATTAAATAGAGTAAAAGCATTAGAGAAAGGCAAGCAGTGACATAGGAAATATTTCAAGTTACAAAGAAATAATAAGAACACAATTTGAGAGCAAAATTCGAACTAGAAGTCAATCACTTGTCATACACACTTGTTCAGATCTTGAGAATCTCTCGCTTCTTTCTTCGCATTTGACATCATGATGATAGACATTCACTGTGTATGATATACTGATGGTTTGAAAGGGAATTCAAGTACAAAGGTTGCATTAGATTGATATGAAACACATATAAAGAAGTGATATTGAATTATTTGACAAAAAAAAACAAAATTCGTTTGTTAACTTCTATTCCTCGAAACAAAACATTACTCGACGTAACTATTCGAGCGTGTTGGACTGATGATTTCAATAGATGGGATGATCAACTCTTTTTGAGCATATGAGACAGGATTTTCGCCTAGAAATATTCATAGGATGAAATAAACTGTTTATGAACAACGAATCGAACGAACTTGATTCAGTAGTATTGCCATTGATTCGATTGGGTCGTTGTTTAATGTAACTTGACGGTTGTCCACAACATCTAAACAACATACAGATCGCCTGAAGTCTATCGAATATATTGTTCATGAATGTAAGGCAATTCAATGGAGTCACTCTAAGGAATCGTACGTCGATATTCGCGTGACGTATGTGATAGAATAATAGAAACAAGTAGTTCTATCTATATTCGTGTTGCACTAAGTAACGCCAATAGAATCTTGCAGATTGCATTATGACTCATAAGGCTAATCCTCGTTAGTTCTTTAGTCAAAAGCAATTTCATCAATAGCCATTCTTCTGTTGTAATAACAATAAATTTTCTCTGACTGACAGCTTTTCCCATCGCGTCCACACGATGTTTACTAGTCATTCGAGTAAGAAACTAGTTTTTTTTCTCCTGTAGACAAACATGTAGGTAGTCGGCTGCGAGTATTAATTCCAAGCATGATTTCCTTGAGTAAGGAATTAAATGAACTGTAATGAGAGTGCTCAGGAATTGAAGTAATAATAAGCAAAGCTGACCTCTCAGCTAATGACACTCATCTGTACTTATATCACATAAAAAATTTAATAACTTTCTTATCTCGGCGAGTTATCAGAGTAAATTTTTTTTATTTTATTCAAAAAACCACAACGTCATCATAATACGTTATTTCACCTGGCCAATTTTTTTTTCTCTCGCACATTGTCTACCTTTTCAATAAATATTGCTAATGATGGGAAGTTTTCTTTTATATGAGGGAAATGTACTCACGTATTCATACTACAGTCTTTGAGACATTCGAGAATACACTCTTTATCACCAACTGTGCCGAGAATAATCTCTTGCTAGAAAAGATAAAAGAGAATTCTTATCAGTTGGGATATCTATGTCGATTACATACATCGATAAATTCGGGCTGAATTGTTGTCGAATGAATTCCCTCTTGGTGAAAGAAGTCTTTCACTTGTTCAGCAATGGCCATATATTCGCTTAGATTATGGCAACGGATATGTGCCGATGCGATAATCTTCGAGCCACTTAATTGCCATACATGAAATTCATGTACCGCAAGAACACCAGGTACCTGAAAGCAAGACAGATGACATATTTACTTTTTGAAAACGCATCATTTGAAAATAACTACTTGTTCAACAAGCCGTTTTTGAAGATCGGCTACTTCGATGTGTGTAGGTGCTGTTTGCAATAAAACTAGTGCTGATTCACGTACTAAATTGAAAAGAATGTAGATGTCCTTTCTGTGTACAAATAAACTTACACAATGGAATAGTAAATATAACAATCATCGAAATCATAAGTAAACTAGCAACTGGATCAATATAGATAACCCAAACTTTATGAGGCCATAACAATAGAGCAATGCCAGAAACAATAACGACGAGTGAACCCAAAGCATCGTTGAGAACGTGAAGAAAGGCGCCATGAATATTCATTTGCTCACCGCCAGCCGCTAGAAGTTCAAAGAAAGACCATTATTATTTAAACTTGTTATTCTTTTACGAGCCTCTTGTCTTCGTTTTATTTTTAGCATCTGTTGCTTCATTTTTATCTGATACCACATGACTATGTGAATGCCCATGATGTCCTTCACCTGTCCCATGTTCATCACTGCATAGATGTTCACTGTCACCAATTTCAATACTATCTTCATCCTTCTTGCCGCTCTTTCTATGCTTCGCCTTTTTGCCTCCTCCACCTCCATGCGAATGGCCATGAGCCATATCACCTAGAAAAATCAATTGATTTGTCCTACAGTGTGCTGAAATACAAAACAAACTGCAAACCTCGAAGAATCAATAGTGCCATAAGATTAATAATTAAACCAACGATACCAATGATAACATAATATCGCAAATATTCCTTCTCGATTGGTCCAGGTGCGATTATACGCTTAATAGCTTGTACGACAACTGTGAAACAAAGTGACATGAGTAGTATACAATTAACCATAGCACCTAATTCTTGTGCTCGCACCCAACTAAACAAATCGAAAGACAGAAATACTCTTTTGTTCTCTACATTTCACTGTCATACCCAAATGTGTTTTTTGCAGATTTTCGCTTGGCGATCTTTACGAAGAGAAAAAACAAGCAAAGATGAACATGATTCCATTCAATTAAACATCTTTAAAATGCATACTCGTACGGATACCATAGCAATAATCAGAGCACCGCTATCGCTAAGCATGTGAATAGCATCTGCTGCAATAGCCACCGATTCCATCACATAACCACCAATAAGTTCAACGAAGAAGAAGCCTATTGTAAGACCCAATACTGTTCCTAATCGACAAGTTTTTGAAATATGTAGAGATGATTTCCCTTCACTGTGTGAATGAGAATGTGTATGATGAGCCATGTGAAAATTGTGATGATATACTAATCTAGTCAATAGATTTTCATACACTAATGAATCGAGTAAAGCAAGAGAATAGTTTCTTTCTTAACATTGATGTACCCGCTTGTGATTGGTTACTTTCGATGAACCATATATAAAAGAGATTGTTTTGTGTTCATGAAAATTCTGCGAAATATATTTTCCATTCGTTCCAATTCGATAATTTAGTGAATCGATGAAAAATCAGTATTAATGCGAAAAAACTGTTCATTTTCTTCTGATTAGAAACAAAGGGTCGTTGTCATAGCAATTGATTAGGTCATATGATGGCGTTGACATCAATAAAAATTTGTATGTTGTATTGTTAAGTGGTCGTTCGTAGAAAAAACAACATCGTGCGACATGTAATTTTACATAGGAGATTTTTGCCAAAAATATCCACGAAAAGGTCTTTCGATGATTATTTTTCTATTTATTTTAACTTTTAGAAATCAAAACGAGTTTATTCAAATGGCTGCACTTGATAAAATGATTATCGATGATCGGGATTTAGCCAATCGATACTTTGGCGAGAATACTCTGGACGACCTCAATACAGATCAATTCTTATTTTCCAAACAAACGAAAACTACCCAAGAAGAGTCATCTTTGAAATCCAGAACGAAACAGGACACAAGCACAAAAGAAGATGATCTCACAGGTCTATTCGGAAGAAGAGTTTATTTAGAATCACCGTCGTTCGACAATAAAGAAGAAGAAGATATGTACAGGTAAGTGACACTAAATAGATCTCAATGATGTTGAATAATCTTCAATAGATATGTCCCAAGTCGTCTCAGTGAAGTTCCAGCGCCACTTGTTGAAGGAACTGCTCCAACCATGACAACCGATACATTGATAGATTCGTTGGATTTTGAATTAGACCTCCTCGGAGCAGCTCATACTCGTCATAGATTCCCTTATCGAACAACTACACAACTACTACAAGATTCGAAACCACCTGCGCCATTGACACAATTACAAAATCCATCGAAACCATTTTCGTTGACAAATGCACCCAGGTAAATCAAATCAGATCATAATCGTTAAATTTTCAAAACAAGATCAGATTACTGATTAGAGCTTCGAACGCTCGTGTTTTTCTTCCTTTGTTCTCTTTTCCTGACGCGATGGAAACTTAGTTACATGCATGATATAGGTGTGACAAGAATAATCAGTGTGAATGTGTTGAATTCTAATTAAATCTGACATCATAATTTTATTTTTCTCTAAAAAAAGAAAACGCCTGTCACCTGAGAAATAAGGACAATACTTAGGGATTCTTTTTCATTTAGTAGAATTTCACATTCAAATCGATTCAATAGAAAGAAGAAAGGCTTCATTGATTTCGATATAATCAAATCAAGAGAATAGATGTCGATTCATTTCTATTTACTTTGATGACAATTGAAAACTAAGAGGAGAAAAGACTCATTATCATAATGCTAACCGATCGTTTCTTTCATAGAGCCGACCCCCGTCAAGATCCACTTCTTGGCCCATTACTTGCTGAGCTGGACACCATGACTACTCAACAGCAACAACAACAGCAACAATTAACACAGCCTATGTATCGACGAAATTCCGTTCCGTACGAACCAAATCTTATTCGACCAGCAGTTCAATCACAATCGAACCATCGTAAGTCTATATTTAGTGCGCATTTAAATCAGAGAGACCTTTCATGATCTGCATTTCATGTCTTTCTCTTCGTCTTTATGTTTGACGGGAACCATATGGTTATGTACGAATAAGTGCCATTTAACAAAATGTATTTAGTCAGATTTGAATTGCTTGTCTTCGATATTGCATCTCGGATGATTCTGAACTTAAGTAGATTTCATTAGCAACTCTTCGAACGTATTACTGTCGAGTATGAGTTATAAGAGCGAAAAAAGAAGGGAATAAATGACGAAGAAAGAAAGTAAACGGAGAGAAATGTTGATGTCAAGTAACTTGATTGATTTTCTTGCGTTTCTCTCCACTTTTTTTTGTTTTCTCCTGTTTGTAAGAAAAACAACTTTGAAAAGAGAATTGTGCAGTTAAAACGGTATCAACGATAATTGTTCGTGTGTCGTCGGTTGCCCGTGTTGGTCGTCATAAGAACAAAAAAAAACTCAGAGAAGAAAAAGAATAGACTAACAAACATTAACATAAGTTGATATAGTGAGTAACAACGAGAAGAACTTTTTTCACTCTGCAAATTCGTTCGACTTTTGTTTATATTTGTATTTGAATAAACATCATTTATCCGATCTGTTTCATCTTTTAGTATTATCAAATACAGCTAATCGTACGGTTAATGAAGCATTACTTGAAGCAGAACTCTACGATTCACTTGATCCGAAAGATCACCAGCCAAGCTACGATCGTCAACATATAATATTCTCTGCTCCAAATAGTACTTCATCTCATCAAATTCAACAGCAGCAACCGCAACGACTACCGCCACGCCCTTTAAATATGAATAACGTTGATGTATTTATGCCGACATCTTATGACAATGGTACAGGAGTTTTCTCAAATCAATATGGTGCAAATGATCAAATGTTCCAGCAACCACTACTTAATGCTCTCGGTCAGAATTATGTACCTAATGCAAGGCAACAACCTTCTTCCCAACATCAACAGCAACTACAGCCACAAACCGAACAACGAGATAAAAGTTATGATGACATTTACTCACGTATGTCTCCACCACAGCGTTCTGGATATGGTCCTTCACAGCAACAGCCGGCAAATAATAATACTAGTAATCATCAATATCAATCACAGCCACAGCAACAACAAAGACGACAACAACAACAGCAACAGCACCCACAGCAACGTGAACCATCAGATAAAAGTTACGATGATATATATTCACGAATGTCTCCACCAAATCGTGCACCATACATGCCAGCTCAACACCAGCAGCAGCCACAACATCAGCCAAACAACATGAATCCTTATCAACATCAGTTACCGCCGCCTGTACCTAATCGACAAGCTACGTATAACAATAATAATATTCCTGATAATGAAAATGATCCATTCAATGAATTTCAAGATATGTTTGGTACAACTCAATATCAACATACATCTCAATTACCACCCCAACAGTATCCACCCACCACCCAGCAACCACGAATGATGCCACCTCCAGCAGCATCTCAGCATCAATCTATGCCGCCAGGACCGCCATCATTCCGGCAGCAAAGAATGCCGCCACCAGCACAGCAACAGCAAACTATGAATCCTTCACAGCCACCACCATTTCCACAAACGAGAATGCCACAACCACCGGCAGCACCTGCCTCGTTTCAACAACCACGAATGCCACCACCACAATATCCCTCACAACAGCAACAACAACAACAACAACAACAGCAGTACCAAAAGTCGCCCGTATCTACTCAACAAAACGATGAATATCACTCATTTTCACCGTTTAAACAACAGCAACAGCACCCGCATCAACAACAGTATTACGACGAAGAATTTCTCAATACAAACTATCCTTCGAATAATCAAGACATGTTTTTTACTGATGTTAACGATGATCAATTCGACCAAAATCCTTATCAACAGCAGCATTCGCAGGGGCAACCGATGTCGAATCAGCAAAATGTGGAACAACAAGATGATCAAGATTCCAAACGACAAGGTAAACTTTTCGATTGAAGGATCATTTTTCTCTTATAGGCTAATAAAATAATCTCTTTTAATTTCAGCTGTATGGAATGAATTACAACGAACGAATGCCAAAGTTCAAGAAAAGAATGCAAAGAAACGTGAATCAGCGAATCGACGTGATCAAATCTTAAAAGGCACATATGTTCCAAATAATGCGTGGACTAGCACTGGAAGTAAACTTTCTTCTGCTCAATCAAAAACAGGTGCAAAGTCTCCACCCGCGCGTCGGCCACCACTTCCACCTGCCTCAAACACTAACTATATCGAAGAAAACATCGACATGATTAAAAACAAAGAGAACTTCTATCATCGTTATCCAGCGAAGAAATATGAAAACTTGTACTCGAAACGCAAAGATCTTTTCGGTGGAGGTACTAACAATAATCAAAGAAATGAACAAAATGGGAATCAAAAGTAAATAGCATTTGTTGGTCTATATTCATTCATTGTCTTGTTTGTAGCGCACATAATAACTTTGATCAAGTACAACCAATGAATCATGATACAGGAACCTATTCGAATTCTGAACATCAAAGCAATCTACCTGTAACTATTAATCTAAATCCAGGAAATCGAACGCAAAATGAAAATCTTCCAGCAACAGTATCAATTCCTCTCGGTAAATACAACTAAACTGATGTTCATGAAGAATGTTAATATAATTTTATTCTGCTTTTTTACAGATAGTCATATTACTCGAGTTGGTGATAAAATATCTGTGAATATTGATGTACGTCTTCTTGATCTACAAAACATGAAACAACAACAACAAAATCATGGCGCAGACCATTCTGGCTTAGATCCACTGGATCGACACATCCGAAAATTAGAGAATAGCATTGATCAAGTAAGATTTGCTTCGTCATGATCTATTTTGTAGTTCAGATTATTGTTACACATTGTTCAGTTCAGAAACCAAAACGAAAATCTATTGAGTGTCGTTGGATAAATTGTCCTTGTCAGCGACGTTGGCAGCAGGTAGCTGCTTGTATAGCTCATTTGCCGTATTTTACTTTATGTAACATTTCTTTTCGTCAAAACTATCTTCTTTTTCTTGCTTTAGTCATTACCACCAACTCATTCTCCTCCTCGACGCAGTTCACCACCGGCATCAGTACCATATCCTATCGTCAATCCATCCATAGGTCGTTACGGTAAAACGACGCTAGGCTCTGGTCAAAGTGCTTATAGTCCACCTAGCTATAAATCAACTGATCATTACAGTTATAGCGCTAAAGCAAGACAGGAGGGTAACTTGATCTACATACACACATGAAAAATGATTTTCGACATTGAATTATTGTTTTGTTTCATTCAATTAGATTCTTATCTATCTAAACTGACACACGTGAAGAAACCTGTAAACTATAAACCGTATACGGGTCGTGATTTTGAACAGTTCAAAAAGAATTATGCATTTGGTAGCGGTTATCTAGGTTTTGATTATGATAATCCTGAATACAAAGAAAAAGTATACAATATCTTTATTTGACAAATCTCTCAGTATTATATTTCATGGTTAATTTTTGTCTAGAGTGATAAAATCTTGAAAACCAAAGAATATGCTCAACAAATCGAAGTTCGGAATAAGAAAATACTGGCAGATGCTCCTCGTCGTACATTATCAGAAACACGAAAACCACAACCGGAACCGTCAGTTACTCAACGAGTATGATCATTATCCTTTTTCACATGTATTTCTGATCTCGATTACTAAATAGGCATTGGAATATGCTCGTGTGTCTACTCGACACAAAATTCCGCTAAACTCTGCAACTCAACCGTCGCCACCATATCGAGATGAACCTGCACCTCTCCAACGTCGACCAACTGAAGTACCTCGTCCACCACCTGTACCAAGACAAGCGCCAAAAGTAGTACACAACGATGATCATGATTTAGTCGAACGTTTAGCACAACGTCATGAACGTGATAAAGCGCAAGTACAAGGTATTCTAAATCCATCTCAGAAACGACGTGAACAACTGTTCGATGATGATGATCATCGAATGACTGATGTTGAAAAATTAGCACAAGAACGAGCTAATCAAAGACGTTCATCGCCACCGAAACAGCCGCATCCACCTGCACCATCCACCAACGGAAATGCTCGACGGCCGTTAAGATTTGACAAACCACTTTTACCTGACGAACCAGTAGTACCTTCACAACCACAAACTCGTGTGGTACCACAACCACCAACTCAGCAACTATCTACACAACAACAACCTGCTCAAGCAAAATCACCCGCTCCCCAAATACAGCACACTGTCAAACAACAACATTCCAACGTAGACCAACTAGCTAATCGACACAATGATGAGAAGATCCTCATGGAAGCTATTCGTAAAGAACTCAGTGAACGTCCATTAGATGATGACGAAGAACTAGTTGTTGTTGAACAATAATACTGATATTGAACTTTATGATGACAACCCTGTGATAATTTCATTGCTAACTACTCTATTCCTTCACGAAATCTTCTGATATACTGTTATAGTATACTCAAATCCACATCACATGTTCGCATTCGCTTCCAATAATGTCACAAAAGTTTCTCTCTTTGTATATATGCGGTCTTTCAAATACATATATCTGTAAAGGCCTCGTTTTGTTTTTCTTTTTTCTAGTTGTTAATTCTAACAACGGTTTTGAAAATTATTTCTTAGCAACAACAACAGAAAATCACGTATTCTTCTTCTTTTTCTTCGTTTCCTTTTTCTTCTTCTTCTCGTGTGCCTATTCGTTGTATTTCTCACTCGATTGTTAACTTGACGTGCAGTGCAGTTGAAAACGGGGATGTGCTTTTTATGTTATCAGACTGTCTAAGAACATTACCAAATGCGAATTAAATTTGTATTAGAATTATCCATTTGTTTTTTGTATTAAATTTCTAGTATAGAGTGTAGTTGAATTTCAGCCATCTTCATTCACAAAACAGAGTGCTAGTTTTGTGCTTGTCAACTAGTCATAACGTCACTCGTTCATATGAGAATAGAAGGCAATGTGAAATCTGATGGCCATGACTTAGTTTTTTTCCGGAAAGAATTCGAATGAATGACATTTAGTCATTCATAAATTATTCATAAATATCGGCGAGATCAATAGAATCACAAACAGAATGATGGTCACTGATTTAGAAAAGGTTACGTGAACGTTTTGAAGTAATCAAATGCACATAACTGACGGTACGATGCAATCTTACAATAGCCGGTCGATTGTATATTTTACTGAAAACTTCCAGTTCGATGAATTCAAGTGTTCTTTCAATCGTTTTCTACTTCGTAAATATTTAAAAGCAATAGAGACTCTTGAAAAGAAAAGTTTCCAATATATCAGACCGACTTATCAACTCCAGGTGTTGCTTTCACTAGTGAAGTGTTAGAAAATAAGAGTTGTAACAATCTTGGTCGTCATTATCAACTAGTTATTCATTTTTCAAAGAGTGTATTGTTTAATGAACAGTTTGCAAATGTAAAAAAAGTGCGAGATCTGCTTCATTGAACATCAATTGTGAAAGGTTATCATCATCATCACAAGAAAAATAAATCAATCACTCATATCAATATATTGTGCGTTGTTGTATGAATGAAAGGGTTCGATTTCGTTTTGAATTTATTCTCTCATTGATATATAGAGTTGAAGGTGGATGTTCTAACTTGATCTTCGAGATAACATTTGTAATCAAGGCCTAGACTCGCTTGATTTAAATTTGAGATTTTTCGAAGATCAATTCTTTTCAACAATTAATTGATTTGATTTTAAATCGAATAATTGAATTTTAATCTTAACCTTTGTTTAATACATTACATTAATCCTTCCTTATTCAGTTTACTCTCTTTCTTTAAGAATAAAGAGAAAGAGAAACGATATAAATCGCCTTCGACTGTTACATCATTCAATTCTTTATCCATTGGCGCTTCCAACAAATATTTGATCACTTTTACAAGACATCCTTAACTATCTCCATCGAACACGAGTGAGAGTGAGTGTGTGTGTGTGTGTATATGTTCATCTCCCTCTACTGCCAATTAATTCTGAGGTTTGTTTGTTCTTCGTCTTCATCACATAGTCCGGTCCACTGTGCATGGACATTCACTCATCTATGTATTTATGATGACGACTAGACAAGTTTCAATTGTATGCATGTGCAATAGTGTCAGTTCGGATTAGAGATGAACATCAACGCATTGTCTGTCTGTCTTTCTAATTGGGTGTATTCACTCATATGATATACAAACACAAATTCGTACAGAAGCAAGAAAATGCGTGTACACACTGTCGATTTGAAATTATAATTATTCATATCAAAACCTATTTAGATCATAATTTCAAACGATTAAATATTCTCATTTCTTTCTCCTTTCATCAAACTATAGAAATCTGTTTGTCAATGTGGCAAATATCAATGATTACATCATCATTTCTAATAACCATCGATATGAACATTGTATGTTCTTTCGTCTTTCGCCCGCCAAACTCATATTCAATGATTTGTCGAATGTTTTATACAATGTAGGTTAAGATGTAATTTCACACATGACAAAAAATGTCAACATTCTCTTTACTCCTTCCACCTGAAGCCAAAGTGTCCTCTCGATGTCGAATTTCTTTTACATAAGAGTTCATCAATGCGAGTTGCTTCTGTCTGTTTTCTCTTTTTTGATTTCAAACATAACCTCATCAAATAATTTACAGAACTAAAAAGAAAGAAAGAAGAATCACAAGAGAAGAGAAAGAACAAAAGATAAAGGAACACAAATATTGGATGGGAAGAAGCGAAGAAAAAAGAGAGAGAGAGAGGAAAATTTGAATACTCGTAGGTGATATTAACCAACAGAGAAAAGATAAAGAAGAAGAAGAAAAACACATCTTGTGTACGTCTGTATGAATGGAACGATAGAATACACTAAAACGATCCAAACTGTGTGCGTACACAACAAATAGAAAAAAATATATATAGAAACTCTATTACAGGATCTAAAAAGAGAGAAAAAAAAGGAAAAAGTGATCTTTTTTATACATAGACTGCATCGTCTGTACTTCCGCCCATAAGCTCATTCTCGTTACATACACCTGACAGATGAGCTTCTTCGGTATAACCACTTGATATCGAATACATGGAATTCGATAATTGGTTTGAATTGTCTGAATGTGCATGTGGATGTGGAGATGATGGACGTCGACTACCATGACCTATTTTCTTCGGCCCATTTGTTACTTTATGTTTAATAACTAGATTGCAATCAGCAATTGGAAAGAAGACATCTTCGTTGGTCATCGATGCCGCATTTAAACGCGAGATTGTATAACTCGGCCGAGGTGAACTCGTGGGAGATATGGATGGCGTACGTATTTCATTCGATGACCGACTTGAAGATGATGAACATCGACTTTTACATACCGAAGAAGACGATGAAGACGAGGATGAAGGTGAACGAGAACCACTGGTAGATATGATTGACGGGGCATACGATGAAGGTGACTCAGGCGGTGGCGTTGTTGAACTAATCGTGGTTAGCTCAATTGATTTTGGAATCGTTTTCTTAGTTTGTTGTTCGAAATTTTTACGTAGTTCAGATACATTAGGGTATGTAAATGATTCCGTGTCTGAAGGTGTGCGAGCTGACATTGCTGAAACCGTGGTCAGCGAGCTATTTGTCATTGTCGTCGATGCTTGTAATGCTTGAGAGAGATCAGTTGTAACAGCTCGTGGCCGAGACGGACGATTGTTTGCTGTCGTACTAAATTGTTCAATACGCTTACGAAAATTCGGTTGATGTTTATGATAGTTTAACAATGAGATAGGTGATGATGTGTTTAAATTGATTGGTTTCGTCGCGTGGAGAGCAATAGGTTTTCTTGGCAATGTGCTTGTCACAAATGTTTTGGCTTTGTCTAAACTTTGACCATGTTGTTTTTCACGTAATTGCTTCCAGTTGATAGTCGGATATTGATTAGAAGAAGTTGAAAGAGATTGGTCGGTGCTTGCTGTCTGTTCTGATGATTCATCAATTTGGGAAAGATTTGCAAAATGTTGCTTGGTAGGAGAAATTAGCAGAGAAGAAGACGTTGGAGATGTTGTGGTATTTTGTTCTGAGTTAGATGATGAATATTGTTTATGAGAGGATGTTCCTGAGATCGCTGAATCGCACGAAACTGCTTTACTTGAATGAAATGTTAAATGTGCTGGTGGTTCACTATAATCTGAGCCCACAGCAGAATCAGCATAGATATCTTCTGTTGAACTATCCCCTGCAAAAATAAAGATAATTAGAAGATCAATATTTGACATGGACTGACAAAATCATTGAATCAATACTCACCTTCATCATGCCATTTTGAAAGACCAAAACAAGAATGTGATTCAGGTAGAAATTGTCGAGTTGAATGGTTTGCTGTTGTAATTAATCCTCCATGTCTTGCCGACGTTGTATAGTAAATATTTGTATCATCAATCGTATTACGTAAATTTAATTGTTCAGGATCGTAATTCAAAGATGATTGATCCTGTGTATAGTGACTGTATCCACTTTGATTATTTGCATCATCATCTTCGTCGAGATCGTATTTAATTCGTCCTAAGGATTTCGATCGACGATCAGCTCGACCACGAGAGCGTGCGCGTCGACGATGTGTTGCATCAGCTGCAAGATAGTCCATATAAGTGTAGTCCATATTGGAAGATGATGGTGGCGAAGCGCCATTTTTCTGACTGGAATTTTGTCCGCGTGCTTTCTTTGATCGTAATAATGTACGAAACTGAGCGGCGACTTCGAGTGGATTGACGTTGGAACGGTTGAGTAATTCGAGATGTTCGAGTGCGGCCGTAGCCACATCGAATTGTGGTGGTGAAGATGAGTTACTATTACTCATATTTGTCTACATCTAGAAATGATAAAGAGAAGCAGATGATGGAAGATGTTTTTTTTCTTCTCATCCAAAAAACACATCGACATAATCATTGATGAACGATACTTTTCAACACTCGCACACAAGATAAACAGTACAGAACACTGTGCTTGTCCTGCGAGTTCATCCTAATATGAATGCTCATTTGTCACACTTCGTCAAAAGTCTCTCGAATCGATAGTCATCTTTGTCTTTCTTCTCACTAAACAAAAAGATATTATCGAATGAATGCGAGGTGACTGTATCTGTCTTTCTTTCTCGCCGCATTTTTATTATTCTACACTCGTACATCTCGACATCGTACAAATGAGTTCCAGAACATTGACAAATGTTATACTGCTCATCCTACATTAGAATTGTTTAGATTATCGATGTCCGATGACCACAATAGAAGCTCACATATTTATGTTCAGAATTAGCTTCTTTGTTTCTTTCTCTCTTCATCCTTGTTCGGACGCAAACGACTCATCGACGAACATATGTTCAAAATCGGACTAACTATGTATAGGTAAATCTATCGTCGATAAACGGAAAAAAACGCGAGTCGATCGGATTAGTATATGAAAGTAAAGCCTGCTATTTGCGCTCACAAACAGCAAGTTAAACAAACAGAATGACAAAGTCTAGGGAAGGCAGTCAAATAACGAGTGAAAAAGAGAGAGAGAGAGAGAGAGAGAGAGAGCGAGAGAGAAACTATTAATTTTATATCAATTTGATCATTTGTTAAAATCAACAGAAAAAAAAGAAATGACCTTTTTTTTTTCGACGATATTAAATTAATTGAAATGAAATTTTTTCAAGTACATGCAAAAAAAATTGAAATAGGTCTTGATGAAGCTATTAGAATCGTGATTGTTCGAAAGGGCGCGGGGAAAGGAAAAAAAACGAGTCAGACTTCTTTGAAAAAGAAAATCGCGAAAGATTACTTCTCTCTCTCTCTTTTTGCATATACAATTCATACTCGATCATCTTACTATCGTTTTCTCATTTTTAACGGTCAGTAAAAAGAGAAAAAGAGTAAAATCGGAGATGGTGCATATTTAATTTCTCTTTCGTTGGCGAGTTACATAAATCGTTTAAAGAAAGAAAGAAAGAAAAAACGTTTCAAGTGGCAGATCTTTGAACATAAAAGACACTGTGTACAATATGAATAATAGACTTGGTCATTCGGTTCTATTAAATCGACGAAGTCGTATAACTCTTGATAATCATCTCAAGTCTCCAATGAATAACCAATATCTAATCACATTTATTGTGTATAAAGACGAAGAAACGATTGCAAGAATAAGAGCAAAAAAAAATCCCACTAGAACGTTTACTTACCAATGGAGAAATAAAGCTAAAGAAAATAGAAAATTTTGACCTATAGAATGTCAGAACTACAAGGTTCATCTATAGTAATAATGCTCAGCGGTTGTTGTTTGTTTACTATAGCACTAGCTCATTTATCTTCTCAAGTTTTTTTTTGCTAAAGATTATTATCATCAACCTTCATTCTCTAATCTATCTTTGAGTAACGCGTACATCTACAACATGTATACAGGAAAAAAATCAAAACCGGCTGCTGCCATCATCACACATCGGCGCACACAAAGGGTAACCTCGTTAATCAATCAATCCATCAGCAAGGCATTTCGATGGGAAGAAATCGAATTGATTCTCGATACTTTAAGCATCAACAAGGTCAAAACGATAAATAAACTTTGATCATTATTCTAATTGAAAAAAGAAGGCAAGAAAAAAGTTCACTTTTATCCTCTAGGACATAGGCAAAGGTGCTACTTCGATCTGCTGCTAGTCATTGTTCATTGAAAGAACGAAAAAAAAGAAAAATTCAGCATATACGTACGTCGATGTGTTACTTCTCTTCATTCTCTCTCGATATATACGTATACAGCCATTAGTCTGGCCCTTGCATTGTACATTTATTCTTCTTGTTCGCTCTACTGCTGTTACTACTACTGCTGGATTCTCTCCTTCTCTTTCTCTCTATATTTCTTTTCGTCATGTCGTCGTCGTCGACATCGTCGTCCATTTGTATGTATGCTGCACCATCAAATCGACATACATACACATATAACTGAGAATACAGATCGAAAAACACACCGGCACGAGAAAGAAGAGAAAGTGAACAAAAAAAAAAGGACAAAAGGTCGTCGGCGCTGGAAGAAAAAGCTGAACAATAAATGTATGCATACATGTACGTGAGAAAGAGTGAGAAGAAGAAAAGATCTGTTGAGCAAATATCTTCATACAGAAAATTTAGTGCTTGCGTATGCATACCTTTCAAGGTTTCTCTTATATTAAACTATCGTAATTGACTTACAAACGTATCGATCAGATTACAATAGATAAGCTATACTACCTAGAATCCAATCGTAGCGCTCATCGATAACTCCAGGGACGCTTTAGATGTTCACTTCAGTTGCTCCTAACATTATTATATCTGTAGTTCTATACCGAGGTAGAAATGTAATAGCGGGCATGCGCGCGAGCGTGCTTTACCATAGGTCCCCAAGAACACATAACTTTCTGTTCAATCAGAGTTCTCGTCATCGATGATGATGATGAAAAAGAAAAGAACGTAGGCTGTGATCATGACAAGGTTCATCAAGAACCAATAACATGCATTTACAACCCCGAAGAAAAAAAACGACGATTCAAATGCTTATAACTATTAAACAGTACACTTTCTTTTTTTTTCGTTTACTTCAATTCTTAATAAGCAAAACAAAAAACTCGCCCATTGACATTCTCGAAAATTGATCGATGCAAGGCGACATAATGGCTCAGTGAAAAAGATTAGAAATCGAGAAAAAAAGAAGAAACTGCGAGTTTTAATCAATGCAAAACATATGCGTGTGTTATGTCAACAAATAACAATAACAATAAAAAGCGAAAAATTTACCTATAAATTCAACACAATTTCGTGTTTAAGGAGAGTATAAGAAAAAAATAACATTTTCTCGCTTATTTTTCTTCTTTACAGGCTATGCATGTTGGACATCAAATAAAATGCCTCCAACTTCTTTTTTGCTACACTTCGATATATGTATATAATTGCAATATATACAGTTATCATTCAAAAATAACAATATAGTTTATCTATTTGATCTATTCGAACGACTATATAATGGATGAGGGAAGAAAATGTGTGATTGATCCATCTACTTCATCGTTTTTGCGCCGAATCAAAACAAATTTCTGTCCTCAACATTATTAATGTATCTGTTGACGAGGGAACAAGGGTTTTATCCTTGACACACTCATATATATCTCGAATCGGTTTGTTACTGATGAGTTGTGCACACATTTATTAATGTGATACTTGCCTGCTTTTATACGTGTATATAAATATGCACAGGAAAAAAGCAGAGGGAAGAAATGAAAAGTACATATAACTAGATGTGTATTCTCATTCGATTGGTTACACACATTCTATTGTAATGCCAATTTGACGTTTATATCGATGTCTCATCGTCGTATTACATGAATAATTTATAGATATTAAAATAAATGAGACAAGGTGAAGAAAATAAATAATGACAAACATGGCATAGATGGTAGATGATAATGAAAAGGGAGAGCGACAGAGAGAGATCGTTGAATAAGTGACAAAAAAAGACATGTAGACGACCAAAGGTATACGATTTCGAAGGACAAATATGATGATTTGCTGATCGACGTCTTCATACGATATACATAGTTACTGGCTCAGGTGTGTCGAAAGAAAAATTTGATCCCTTTGTACATTGGAACAAGGATTTCTTTTCTTTTTTTCTCAGACATCTACATGTGCCTCCACAAGGATGTCTCTATAGAAAAAAGAGAAGTTTTCAATCACCTGATAATACATACCCATAGACGAATCGACGTGAATTCTACAGATGAATATAGCGGGAGGAAACAAGCATCTCGCCAACACGAAAGATTATTTATTCGAAGTGTATTGTCGTCAACGTCGAAGAGATCATGATATGTGCATAGAAGGAAGGAGCGAGAGAGAGGGTGAGAGTTGTGCGTAAGACGAAAAAGAACGAACACAAATAGAAGAATAGAAAGAAAGAAAAAAAAAGAAAAAGAGAAGAGAATGGTTTGCTGTTTAGGATGCAGCAAAGCGAGTAGAAAGACAGTATAAGTGTAAAGGAGGAAAAAACGAGAGAAAAGTTCATCATTCTCTATCTATATACGCTAGCGTAAAGAAGTAGAAAAAGGAAAGAAGAGAAAAAAAAACGCGGGACAACGGCGACGTCAAGACGTAGGAATAGGAATGTTATTGCGATTACCTAATTGTCTCGCTCGACATAAAACACATGCATCGCAAAAGACTTGGCTCGTTTTCTCTCCTTTTTTCTTTGCTGTTGTCGACATCGACGACAGCGGCGACTCAGCCCACCAACGTATAATGATAGACGAGTGGTAGTACGAGAGGGAGAGAGAGAGAAAAAATCAATTTATTTTTTGTTGTTTTTCCTCTCGACATTCGTTCTGATAAGAAAGAAAAGAAAAAGGAAAGAACAAAAAAAAATATTAATATAATTATTTTTAGTGCCAAATTTTGTTTCTGGAAAGCGTTTTGCCGATATTTCTCTGGGGCTATCGTCAAAAGGCATTCCATCGGTTTCTTTATCTTCCGTCTAACATTTGTCATGAAAAATAGTCTCAAAACCTTCGTAGATTGTTATCATCTGCTTTTGCATGTCGAAATCATTGAAATGCAATTATTCCGTAATACTCCAAGTCATTTAGATCCACATATACTCAATATGAACTAATCAATCATGTTCTCGTCTTCTTTTAATGATCTGGACGATGAATGTTCATCGTAAATCTGTTCTTTTTTCGTCAGATTGACAATCAGCTCGATTCTTCCTCCAACAACGGATGTCGTTAACGAGGAAGAACGAAAAAGAATATTGATCATTTGTCGATTTTTTTTGTAATACAATAATTAGCAAAGAAAACATCGATGAAATCTAGTCAGATATTTATTTTATGAGTACGAAAATAGCACCAACTGTATACATATAAATTCGATCTTTGAAGGTTTTTCTTCTGATTATTTGTCTTTGATTTCATATCAGTGTTGTGCAAATTTTCGCTGTTTTTCTTGTAATGATAACCATAAGACAGACGTTATAAAACAGAGAACGATAAGTGAACATCCTAAGAGAAACGAGTAAGATGCTTGGATGGTACGCGAAGTACATAAATCATCGGTAAGAATCTCTAAGGCGAAACAATGTGATTGTTTACGTTCACTCTTTAATACAGTATGCATGATAGCCAAAAGACATACACTGAACATAGCTAAAAATAAACAAAACAAAAGTTCTACAATGATGTGTCAATCTGTACTCCGAGAGACTTTGTTAATAAACTAGGATCAGTGGGAACATCCTCGAGGTTCGGAAGTCAATTTACCTACTTTAATCAATTTTTGTTCTCTAATATCACTTATTAGAAAAAGAATATCAAAAGGATAATTGCTCGAGTTGACTTACTGGTAACAAGATAGATTATTCCGATTGTCATTGTTGCGAGAACAACGCCATTGAGTATGCCTACGGTAACACCAACCAATGTACAGGCACATAAAAGTAGAACAATTAGAATAGCACAAGCAGCTGCGACATTGTGTAAACCTAGAATATATATGAATAAAACTCACATTAATTAATCAAACAAAAGAAGCAACTGGTTATGTAAGTGAGTTTTTGTCCTTTTTCATCGGACCGATTCGTTACTCCTTCGAAAAATTTGGAAACAAGTAGTAATAATTTGTCATTTGAACGTCTTTGTTGACAAATTTCTTCGTTCGTCGATGTAGAACAGCGTTAAACTTCTATTTTAACGGGTCAGACAGATTCCTCGAACCGTCGTTATTAGAAAAACTCATTAATAATTGAAAAAGTAATTTTTGTTTGCGCTACTTCAATTATATTAACGTTCCTTCATTTATGGATCGAATCGTATCGACATTTCTTTATTGATTAATCAAAACTGTAAACTCATTGTTTTTGTAAAAGCTCATTTAAAAGGAATATTTGCCTATTTTCTCAGTAATCTTCTTTTCCGTTCTATAGAAACGTAAATACTTTAATTGAATGAAATTCAATGAGAAGATTCGTTTACGTTCAACTTACACACTTCAAGTCAAATGCCTTTTTATTCTTTTTGTGCTTGAATAACGAGCTAAATATGGTTATTCATAACCGTGCACCATCGAATGATATTCATTTCAAGTGTATTTTACTAAAAGTTCTTTGATGTCACTCTGAAGGGCGATGTCAAACATTTCAACTGAGTTGTCTTTTGAAAAACGTCGAGTTATCAGACTTAGTCAAATAACTGGGTGAGATGGATCGGAATAAATGTTTAGAAGAATCCGAGGAGAGATTGTCATCCTTAGAAAAGGGTTTTATGACATATTTTTTAATTTTCTGCGCGTTTTTCTCCTTTTTTCTTATCATTTTTCTCGAGATACCTGTCAAATAAAAAGAAGACGAAGGTTTCTTTAAGAAACGAGGGATAAAGAGCAAAAAAAGAAAAATAAATCTTAATTTACGTATTAATTCTCGTCCCGGATTATTCATTCCATGAATCACATCATCGTATTGATTATTGGCAACTTTTAAAACTCGACATTTGGAGATTTTCAAAAGTTGACGGATATTTTCGGATAAATAATTACATTGACGAAAGATTCCCTTGTGAGTGCTATATAAAGTTGTATCGTTTTTAATGCCAAATGCCATACTCTGCAATTGTCGATCGTTTAACGTTAGATTTTGATCATTTTTCATATCAATCACATGCACAGATGCATTGCTACTATTTTCCACGGTGATCCATCTGACGTGAGAACGTAATTTACCTAAATCATAGGTCACAATTGACCAATGATCAGTTGAAAACGCTAAAATGCCGAGAAGATTCGTTAGAGCAGTGGCGAGAATCGACAAGACTTGAATGGTTAATAAAGTCACCATGAAGTGAAGACTAACATGAGTGTATTTAGCAGTTGAAATTGTGCCGCAAATGCAGATGTCGTTTAGATAAGGTGAAACAACAGAAATGATGATGAGAACGACAATGTTGACGACGACGCAAAGAAATGTTCATTAATATTTTCTATTAGAAAAAAAACGTAATGTGATTCTCGAGCGAGTGAGCCATATAAAGCAAGTAGAGGCGAAGGAAAAGAAGGGCGTGCGTGCGTGCGACCGGCATCCTAAGGGAAAGATGAAAGTAGAGAGAAAAAAAAGAGCATAATGCATTTTTATGTGTGGGAAACATCGCATCGCTTTTGCTATAAAAAGATATGTATACGATCTATTGAGATCTAAACATGTGTGTGCGCGTTTCTTTCAAGAGCTCGCATGCGTTGCACTTCGTTTTGTCATCGATGATTATTGTGAAAATATATGTGAAAAAAACCTATTTTTCAGGTAAATAGATACATCTGTCAGGAGAAAAAGAAGACGGATTCTTCATCTTTTCTCGTCGCGTTTCTTTAATGGAACTTGTTCAAGCATGGATAATAGACTATTGAATTGATAGAGATCTCAGAAATGATTTCTCGTTTGGAAAGCAAATTTGCCCACTACTGATACACTTGATTTTTATGCCGGCAAGTTGTTTTCGCCATGTTAAGTGTTTACTTTTGCAAACAAGTTCTCAAATGCGATTCTGAAGTGTTTAAAAAGAGAATTTTCTTCAATTTCTCGACGAGGTAACTAAATAAACACTGGAAGTCTTTGTTGCTTTATTAACTGTTTAGGGCAAGTCATTCTTTTGCAACTATTAAACAATCCCAAGAGAAATCGACTCTCTTCTCATATTGTTCTTCATTCATTTACATCTATCAGTAACAGAGTTTGAACCGGAATTAGAAATATTGACAGACAATAAACATTCAATTGTTATCGAATATTGATTCCGTTCGAAAGTTATAATTAATCCACAGAAGAGAATATTTTCAGTTAGTTCGAGGTATTTATTAACTTTCTCTTTTGTTAACACCGTTCTTTCTCGTTTGTATCAATAATGCAATCTGTTTGTTGATGATGACTTTGATTAGACGTTAGACAACGACAGCTTTGTATAGACTCGTACTGAAGATGGGTCAATTTAAGAAGATTTTTCTCTTCATTGACTCTTTTCGATGCGTGAGAGTATTCATCCTTGATCAACTTTCATGTTGATCGATGTGTTCGATGATGAAGAAAAACAGGAACTGAGATTAATCAATCAGTCAATTTGGAATCGTCATGAGAAATGTTCTCATCGGTGAGTTACGAAAAGTTCGATTGATGTCAATAAGAAAAATATTTTCATATCAATCGAACATTATATGTAGTCATTACGATGAGTTTCACGCAATTATCAAACGTCATTCATTAGCGTAAATGACGAACAAACAGGAAAAAGTTTATGTTCGACGTGATGATAAGACCGTGACTTATTTTTTTCTTTTTTGGTAACGGAATTTGTTGCTATGGAATGTTTTCATCGGAGGAAAGAAATAAATAAGCATGGAAAGATCTATGGATAACGATAAAAACCGTTTCAGACAAGGACATTTCTCACTTATCGGATGAAATTCATAATAAATATTGAATGTGTCGTTTCTTCAATTTCTGTCCTTACACGAAGAATTCTCATGGAATAAAAACCGAAGATTGAAAAGTGGAGATTAAGAATAACATTTCATTCTAGTCTATCAGACTGATTCGAAATCAATTGAAAGACGATACTCACGTTAGAAATCCTATCAGAATCAAGCGGGAGCTATGATTGAAATGTAATGTATGATATAAAAAAGGATCTTTTACAAGTTTGAATGCATACATTAGTATAGTGTGCTGATGAAGAGATGAATGTCGAGACATATATTGAAGTATACAGATTTTCTTTCGCGTTTATGTCAGAATGATTTGTGAATAAAATAGGTTAAAATTTGCAACGAAGCAAAGAGAGATCTTCCGATCTAAAAAAGTTTTATTGAGATACGTCTATGTCACCACTCTCAATAGGAGACGATCTAGTAGAGGTAAGTTAGAAAGTAAAATGATGAATAAACCTAAATACGGAAAATATCTAAAACAACAACAAAAAAAGTGTATTCAAGCATGAGAAGTCAATTATTCACCCTTTGACTTTTCCAACAATCTGTTCTCTTTCAAGCCATAATTGTCCGACTGAATAGAGTCCACGATCATCCACACTATTCCCGTCCCCTTTAGTTAAAAATTTCACGTAGCCATCTTCTCTACAATCGAAAAGAAAGCAAACTGGTGTCACAATATTTCCTTCTTACCTTTCATGTACTCGAATCACTCGATGAACAATCGGTATAAAACGACCTTCTATTCGAAATACGACAACATCTCCTGCACGAATAGAATCTGCTGGATAATTAGTTACGAAAAGTAAATCACCAAGATTGTGAAAACTGTACCCACCACTACTAGCTGGGACATATCGATTTCTACCGCTGGTCATTAATAAAATATTACTCACCTCAATACGACAAGAATAGGCTGTGAACAATTTGTTGCCAGTATGAGACTCTTCCAAAGCATAAGTAAAGTTGAAATAACAATTGCATATCTAAGCAATCGACTAATCAACTACAAAAACAATGATAATTTTCTTCTCTATACAAATAATCTAATAGGAAACTCGGTATACTTTCCGTGACCAATGCATTATCTGATGTGCAAAACTGAAGAGTAGGTTAGGACGTGGCGAACACTTATTGCACGAAATTATGACTCAGTAGGTATATGTTAACATACATTCAGTGTATATATTGTCATCTAGCCACATCTATCGTAAATAGAGGTTACAGCAATGATTCAATCCGCCATATTGTTGATTCTACTAGTTAACTAGTTGGTTTGTTTGACTGATTCACTGTTAAAATTTCACATTCTATTTGTTTTCTTTTTGTATTCGAAGTCATTCTTTCAATCGAAACTTCTTCATCGAAAGTACATATTCATTGTCTTCGACGAGCTTCTCGCCGTAATAGCCATATTTTAGTAAATATCGACGATCATTAAGGTCATTTTGTAATATCTCGAATCGATCTTGGAAATAGTCGAGTAGATTTTAAAACGAACATAGCGCTTATCGAATAATCGATGGTTGGTTTTGAGTATATCGAGAAGAAACTATTGGTCGAGACATCTTTCGTATTGACTCACCAAAGCGAATATTCGAGACGAATAGCAGCTACAGCATAACGATCTTTTCCAGCAATGATACGCATCGTCCATGGATAACCGTTGAAATAACCTTTGTTCATGATTTCTAGATAGAGAATAGAGATTTTGTTTGTTTTAGATCTCTGAATATTTTACGACAATTGAATAAATGCAGTTATCAATTACTTCTGCCGGTAAGAAATAGACATTTTCCGTTGTCACAATGAAATTCAAAGAACTTTCGTTTTTCTCTAGGTGGAATTTTATCATTGCTGGATGAAAATACAGAAAAAGGTCCAGTTTATGCCCTTCATCGTTTAAATGCCATCGTTGATGTCTTCTGGCCAGAAATTAGTGATTCGATTTCTAAAGTGTATGTCTTCTTCTTTGAAAACCCACCTTCACTTCTCGATTTATCGGACAATTTAGTGAATCACTCTACGAAGATGAAAATTTCAAACATCGGGAATTAGCGGCACTTGTCTCATCGAAAGTTTACTATCATTTGGGTTCGCTCGACAATGCTCTTACATATGCACTTGGAGCTGGACATTTATTTGATGTCAATGACAAAACCGAATATGTTGAAACCATCATTGGTACGCAGAGTTTTCCATTGCTATCCTTCTATTGATTATCTATCTCGTTTAGCTCATTGTATTGATAAATACACAAAATTACAAGTAGAAAAATTTCAATCAGATGGTACAGCGCATGTACAAATAGATCAACGACTTGAAAATATTGTTAATCGAATGTTCCAACGATGTTTCGATGATAAAAAATACAAACAAGTAAAGAGAAAATTTCTTCATGTTTGTTTTGAGTTTCTCTTCGAATTCTCTAGGCTATCGGTATTGCACTCGAAACACGCCGTATAGATATATTCGAAAAGGCAATTAAAGAAGCGGTATGATTGACTTTACGGATGTCAAGTTATGCTCTGCATGAATATTCGCTTTTGTTGTAGAATCAATCGAATGAAATGCTTACTTATGCATTTAAAATTACCATGCAATTATTACAAAATCGAAAATTTCGTACTGTTGTCTTACGCACACTCGTTCGTCTATATCTTAGTTTACAAATACCTGATTTCATTAGTGTTTGTCAGGTAAGAAGAGAAGATATTTTTCCATTTGGAAAGTCGTTCTATGGCTGTGTAGTGCTTAATCTTTCTGGATGATCCTGACCAAGTTGCTGATATTCTGCAAACTCTTGTCCGTGGTACAACGGATCAAATGCTGATGGCCTATCAAATCGGTTTTGATTTATATGAAAGTGCAACGCAACAATTCTTGAATAAAATTCAAGATGCATTACGTGTTCAAGCACCAATTCCAATCATTCTTGATAAACAACAAAATAAAGATGAGCAACAAGGGTAAATCGATCTTTCGTACGGAGAATGTAATGAGTTTCGAATATGTTGATAATTGAAGTGCTAGTAATGAATCGATGGAAACCAATCAAGACGAGTCAAGTAGACAGTCAGCTGAAGAGTCGACTGTACCGAAGGATAAACAATCTTTGGAACAAGAGCACAAGGAAAAAGTTAACAATTTGGTATGTACAGCGAAGTAAAGATTGTCTAAAATGAGTTAAATTGCTTTCTAGTCGCAAGAAGAAAAAAAACTGCAAGAATGTATTGAGAACATCTTAAATATTCTTAGTGGTGAAGTAACTATTGGTGTACATATGCAATTTTTGATCAAGAATAATCATGCGGATTTGTTAATTCTCAAGCAAATCAAAGTAAGAATGAGATTCTATTGAAAACATGCCACCAAGTCTGGAAATTCATAGGAAGCTGTGCGAAATTCAGTCTGTCACACAGCTACTGTTATTGCCAATGGTTATATGTTATCCGGCACTACGAGTGACCAATTCTTTCGTGACAATCTTGAATGGCTCGCTCGTGCAACAAATTGGGCGAAATTTACAGCTGCTGCAAGTTTAGGTGTTATTCATAAAGGTCACATCAAGGAAGCACTAAATCTGATGAGTGCTTATTTACCGAAAGATTCAACCGGCAACTCGCCCTATGCTGAAGGTGGCGGTTTGTATGCACTTGGTCTTATTCATGCTAATCATGGAGGGGATATTATTGATTATCTTATCAATCAATTACGTTCAAATTCAGCACAAACGGATGTATGTCGAAGTTGGATTTCATCGAAGGAAATTTTCAGTTTTGTTGTTTCGTTTGGTAGACGGTTCGTCACGGTGCTTGTCTTGGTTTGGGCTTAGCCGCTATGGGCACAGCACGCAGTGATGTTTATGAATTGTTAAAGTCGAATCTATTGCTCGAAGATGCTGTTGCTGGTGAAGCAGCCGGCTTAGCCATGGGTCTTGTCATGCTTGGCACAGGTTCCGCACAAGCCATCGATGATATGGTTCAAGTATGTGCTTTCAATAAGTATTGCTTTGGAAACTTAGGATGTTTTCTTTCTTTAGTATGCGCAAGAAACCCAACGTGAAAAGATTTTACGTGGTTTAGCAATTGGTATTGCACTCGTTCAATATGGTCGTTTAGAAGAAGCTGATGCATTGATTGAACAACTTCAACGTGATAAAGATCCGATCTTACGGCGTTCAGCTATGTATACGGTTGCAATGGCTTATTGTGGTACAGGTAACAATGCTGCTGTACGAAAACTTCTTCATGTTGCGGTAGGTCCCGAAAAGCAAAATTTCGAATATTCAAAAAAAAACAATCATTTATCTATACTATAGGTTAGTGATGTTAATGACGATGTTCGTCGTTCAGCCGTTGAATCACTTGGATTTCTGATGTTCCGGTAAGTCAGACCAACACGAAATGTCATCTAATGAGCATCATGTTATATAATGGGGAAATCGAAGCTACCTAGATTAACCGGCTAAACTACACACCGTTGTAGTCCTGTGGAGCTAGAAAGACTAACGAGACTGGTCATAAATGTTCCCCGATGTTTCAGATTAACAATTAAAATGATGGTAATCCACTGAGACATTAGCTTACCATCGAAGACGTCTTTAGTAACTACAATGCTTGTGATATATTACAGAATATACAAAATGTCTAGAGATTGCGAATTAGTGTGAACATTCATTGATCTTCATTTCTTGTTTTTCCGATTAAATTCGGATCGTACAATGATTTTCCCATCGTAGAACTGAGAACGAAAAAATCGATCTATTTATACAATCGCTTGAGATTTGTCAGCTAAGATACGCATGTTGTAGAGAAAATTCAATAGGAACATCAACAAGTCGCACGCCAAAATTAGTTTGTCTCGATGATCATGCATGAGAACTATGTAATATAATCTTTACACATTAATGTTATATTATTGATTTGCTCTTTGCATGTAATACTCCTGGGTTACTGGTTCGAAGATGGCATTTATCTTGTGATATGCATTGAAGTTCTTTGACAAAGATGATGAATTGTAAAGCAAATGAGAATATCAGAACTACATGTATGTTTACTTCGAGACATAATAGATGATTAGTCTTCGTAGACTTGTTAATGTTGATAGCAGACACGGTAGTCGATGTTTATTGACAAGCAAAAGTTATTAGCAATAGATCGGCGTCGTCGTCATTATCATTATTGAGGGCAAAGAATGCTAAGGTCGGCTAGAATATGCAAAATAGGAGATGAGTGCTATAGTTTGTCGTTCGTCGATATTATCTTTCGAAAGAAAAAATAAGCAAAAGTAATAGAACAGACAAGATGTATGATGATAGATCTATGATATTCATAGATCCCAGATGGCCTTCTTCTTTTTTACAAAGTATAGAATTCATTTCGCTCTCTTTCAAAAATGCAAACGAAATAACAGTAATCTGACACCTGTCTCTCAGTTTTCTCTCGATATGTATACTCTTTCTATTCAAATGAAAACACGACACACACGCAAATGTTCTATAAAAAAAATAACATATGTTCTTACTAAAGATGCTGTGTGAATGATTCTTTCGACCTGTTTTCATTCTTAATAATCATTAAATAGATAAATACCACTGCACAGCGGAATGTATTTATCCAGGATAGGTTTAATTAATCATTTGCATGGCTGAGATCTAAATAGATCACGACGACCTTTCACTTCTAGGGCCATTCACATGACACCCACCTCTGCGGATAAGATCGACAATTGACTGTCCTGTCGCCAGATAATGAAATTTAGAAACAGAAAAAAGAATAAGTTGTTTTTTATTGGTCTGTATGTCGATGTAACCAGATTCATGTCAATGATAGAAAAAAAGTGAAATACAAGGAAAGAATTTATCAAATACTGCTCGAAGTCTTAGTCATTTTTAATTAATCAAAATTCCTGTGATCCTTGTTGTTCGCGGCAATATTGGATGTCTTTTGAAACGAACTCGTTTCGACGTTGAATACGTGAGCCATGTACAGACGAGTGACTTTGCCGATAAGGCAATTGTCGTTGAGGAAATGTCGGATAGAAACATCGAAGTTTGAGTAGAGCGATAAATTTCAGACGAAAATTTCGATTAAATATTGTATAAACAACTGGATTGATCGTCGAGGAAACATAACCGAGCCAAACGGATCCGTTCAGAATGTTTGGATTTATGAAACATCGTTTACAAACGCCTTGTAGTAAATTCATGATGCAAAATGGAAACCATGCGATGACAAAAATAACAAAAACTACACCGAGAACTTTAACGGCTTTTTGTTCGTTACGTATGGCTGACGATTTCGGACGTATTGGTCCGGTACTTGATGTCGGCGTAAGGCGACGTCGACTTTTGCGGATCGAGCTCCCGGCAGCTAGCGAGAAATTCGATGATGTTGAGGATTGCTGAGGCGCAGTAGAGAGTGAGATTGTGATCGGAGGAGATTTAAGGGAAGAATAGTTAGAAATGGGGAAAGAAGTCGTTGATGATTCACAGCATGGAATACATTGAAAGCAGTTAAAATACGATTTCGGTTCGAGAGCACTTTCCACAGGCTGATTTTGATCAGGAGAATGATGACATGTGCATTTTAACTGGCAGAATGGATTTTTTGGACACGCATATTCGGTATGAGGTGAAAATTTCGTTGAAGTTGATCCCAGAAGAGTTCGCGATCCAGTTTGTTTTTCCTCCGCTCGAATTTCTTGGTCGAACTTTGATGTTTGTTGGACCTTCTGTTGTTGTTGTTGTAAATGAGTATTATGCGAGATATCTTCACTCAATTCCACACTTGCCTGTTGTCTTCGAAAGCGCTTTCGTCCCAATGCTGTTGTTGACTTCGGTGTCGATGGCATTGAACTGACACTTGCAGCCGTTGTTGAACTGTGCGTTGTTATGTGTCGTCGAAGAAATGGTTTCGCAACGAGACTAGCAGCACGAGTTAATTGTTCTTGAGCCACTTGTGTTTGACATTGTCTGATTTGTTCTTTCAAGAGACGTACAGTTAGGACATATGTTACAATCACGATAATCAGTGGGATGACAAATGAAACCACGCTACCGTAGATAACGAAAAATCGATTATAGATTGAACATTGCCGATCGATGATGATATTGTTAGGGTTTATTGCACCGAGGACGATCATTGGAGATGATAAAAGTATTGCAATTGTCCAAATAAGAATAATTAATAGAAGTATTTTACATTTTTGCTGTCGATGACGGGTATTTAATGGATCATTTATTGCTAAATAACGATCAAGTGATATAACAACAATATGCATAATTGATGATGTACTCGAACAAACGTCCAAAAATATCCAAAAATCACAGAGGACAGGCCCTAATATCCAATAACCTAGAAGAATTCAATCATCCGGTGAGTTTCGCATCGCTCTATTTCTACCTGTGAATTCTTTGACAACCGCCAATGGAATGACCAAACCTGATATAAACATGTCTGCTAATGCCAACGAAAAGAGAAACCAATTGGTACGATTTTGTAATCGCCGTTCAGTAACGATTGCTACGCAAACGAGTAAATTGCCGACGATACCAATAATTGAAAAAAAGGAAAGAAACAATGCTGGCCAATAGTAATTGTTAACAAAGAGCCCGTTGGAATTTTGCTGAACTGTCGATTCAATGAGGTCACTATCATGATTGAAATTCACAAGAGTTGCGTCCTCGTCGACGTCGAACGAGACATTTGCGTACATCAAAAGTCATGCGTATTTCAAAGACTTTGTATATCGTGTCTGTTGATTGCTTTACACTGAAAAGAATAGAATATAAGAAAAATCTAAGGACATAGAAATAGAGAAAACAGAAAGAAGAGGAGAAGAAGAAGAAAAGAATTCACTGTTAGTAATGCTATGCTGTCGTTTCTCTTTCTCTCTTTCTTCTGATGGAAAAATGAAAGATAGATACAGATAGTGGAAAAGAATATTTTCAGTCTTATCGAGAAAAGATCGTTATTTCTTTTCATTTATCATCAGTTTTCAATAGCTAAATATACCCAAACCCTTCAATGTGAAGTGCTCAACTGTTCCTTTCCACTTCTATGTTGATACAAATAAACACATTGACAAACGTCACTCTTATTTTGATAACCATCGTCTAACTCAATGAATGGGATGGACTAATAGACATTACTAGCTTGTTATGTGGGTGTTCTTGTCAATAATAAAGATTGGCAGCTCAAGAAATATGCGAGAAACAACAGTTATTGATCAATGAAAAGAAAAATATTAGTTACAATAGTAGTTACGCTGATTTGTAGTCTTCTCAATTTACTCGCATATTTTCGACGTAATTTAGACATCATGAGGAAGATAAGGTTCGAAAGTGTATCTGCTCATGTGATGACTAATGAATGGAATATCTAGAAACAATGATGTAAATGGATCGACTAGTCGAAGAATTCAAAAGAAATTGCACCGATCTTTTCTCATTTAAGAGTTACTTTGTGTTAAAACACAACACTTAGTTGGTATAAAAGAAAGAAATATATATGTGCCGTCGTGAGCAGGTTCACATGACCTAGTTTCGCTCACTATTGATTATTTATTACCATTTGTCACAAATATCATCGTTATTTTTCATGCCTCTTGAAGAATAAAACAAGCGAACTATAGTTTCTTCCATATATCAATTGGCATAATCAATTTAATTAGTTTTCTCTTTATGTTATACTAAGCGATACCTTCCTTTCGTGTGCACACACACCGGACTCGATCGCGAGAATGTTATGTGCAATTCTGACATGCGTATATTTGGTTGTTATTGCGTGATAATACGAATGTTGAAAATATTTATTTATTTTTAGAACACCCGAACAATTTCCGTCAGTCGTAACTCTTCTAGCGGAATCATACAATCCACATGTTCGATGTGGAGCAGCTATGGCACTTGGTTTGGCATGTGCCGGTACAGGAAATCGAGTAAATATTATTGAAATTTCTGATTGTTCGATCTATGAGTGCCAAACCTTTCAGGAAGCTATTGCTGTTCTTGAGCCAATGTTGAACGACGCCGTGAATTACGTTCGACAAGGTGTTCTAATCGCATCTGCTCTTATTTGTATTCAACATACTGAAGCAACATGTCCAAAAGTACATTATAAATAGCCTTGTAAATACATCCGGATTTGTGGTAATTACTTTTAGGTGAAAATGTTTCGTGAACATTATATGAAAGTAATTGGTGATAAACATGATGATGTGATGGCTAAATTTGGTGCCATCTTAGCTCATGGTATTCTCGATGCAGGTTTGTAGATTAAAACTAAAAATTATTTGAAAACGTTTTCTCGATCGATTTCTATTCGTTTCTAGGTGGTCGAAACGTAACAGTCTCGTTATTGACACGTAGTGGTCAAACTGATACAATGTCGGTTGTTGGTCTCCTTGTTTTCACTCAATTTTGGTATTGGTTTCCATTGAGTTTATTTCTTTCCTTGGGATTTTCACCAACATGTTTAGTAACATTGAATCAAGACCTGAAAGTACGTTGAAAATGTTTCTGAATAGGACAATTAGCTTTTCCTTTGTATGTCTAGATGCCAAATGTGGATTATGTATCGAATGCACCACCATCCGTATTCGCTTATCCGCCCGCGCTTGTGGATAAAAAGGAAGAAAAGAAGGAAAAAGTTGAAACAGCTGTCTTATCCATTACAGCTAAACAGAAGAAACGTGATTTGGAAAAGAAAGGCGAGAAGTCCGATGAAGCTACAGCCATGGAAACTGTAAGTTCCTTTCATTAGTCACGTCTGGTCCAGTTATATGACATTTATACATACAATTATAGGATTCGGAAGCACAAAAGGCGGCAAATACTAATGCAGCTACTGGTGCTACTACTGATGATGATAAGGAAAAGGTGACGACAGCAGACAAGAAAGATGACACCGCTAATAAAAAGGAAAAGGAACCCGATTCGGAAATTCTTCATAATCCAACGCGTGTCGTCAAAGCTCAAGTATATACTAGATAGAAACTAATAATGACTTGTCATATTGAGTCTCTGTATACTTTTAGCAACGTTTAATTTCATTACCGAAAGGTTCACGATATCAACCAATCAAAGATATCACACATGGCGGAATTATTCTCGTTAAAGATACACAATCGAATGAACCAGAAACCTTAGTCGAATTAGCCAAAGGTAAATATGATATGGATGATTAGATGTTCTCATATGAAAGATTTTCTTCTAGCTGGTGGACCAACAAAAGAGGAAGATTTACCAGAACCATCACCACCTGAACCATTTGAATATCGAGACGAATAAATCGATTTCATAAACTAGCCAAGACAAAAACCAATAAATATGTGTTGTTCAACCTTTTTTCTCTCCATTTCTTACTAATATAATAAAACGTTTTCTTTTTTCGTGCATCCTGCTATTATCTTCTTCTTGGTCTGTCCGTTTTTCTTCTGTTTCTATCTCTAGCACTCTCTCTCTTTTTTTTATTACTATTGTCTTTATGGCTGCTAAGCAACAAATAAAACAAGCGTATGAAGAGATTATTTTTCTTGTTTTTTGATCGATCAAACACTAACTCCATCTTGGAAAATAGGCGACGCTGGGTGTCCAGATAAGAAAAAAACAAAGGAAGAAAAGAACGAGGAAAAAACCAAACCTGGCATGTTTTAAATACCTATATGTATTTTACTTAACATAACATATATATGCGGACGATACTTCGACGTGCTGTTCTGTCATATTTCAGATTATCTTCGATCTTAACCAGAGGTACTAGAACCGACATGGCCACACCACCAACTATTTCTTTAGAAGAATTTACTTGCAGCATTTGTAAGTATAAAACATCAAGAGAAAGGTATCGCATGCAGAATAAATAATTTCCTTTTTTCCAACTTACAATTGCTTACTGCATAGTTCCCTCTACTGAAAGGAGGGTATACACAGAATTTGAGTTAAAGTTCGTTCGTCCGTTCGTTTTATTTCGTTCAAATAGTATATACATGAAACACAAGTGACCATCTTAAGGTTTGACTGAATGGTAATCGGGGAACCCGAATCCGTGATCAGTTTTTCGAAAAAACTTTTTGTTCCTTTTTTGGGACAAAGGATCACTTTTTTTGCAAAAGTATTCTTTTTTCTAAGGGTTGATCGGAGTCGGGGAACCCGAATCCGTGATCAGTTTTTCGAGATCTCAATTAGCTAATTACTAATTAGGAAAATAAAAATTTTTCTGTTGCCGAGTAAGGGTCTACCGAGGGGTAACCGAGATCGGAGATCCCGAATCCGCTGTTAGTTTTTCTTTATTTGTTGAAGTGCGGCTTGTTCCTTTCTCTTTTCAAAACAGATATGTTTCTGAATCTTTTCTAAATTCTTGTGTAGGAGATAGTAGGTTAAGCACTATGGCTGGGTATGATGAAATACAACCTAGAATGTCCTTTTGTTTTTCGTCTTTCTGCATGAGTGTATCAGAAGAACGAAAAAGAAAAGGACGTTTCGTTCGAGCACATTGGAAAAGGATAATCTTGGCTGGTCACCATAAGACAGACATGTGCAAGGCATCAGCTTTTTTATCCAAGTCAAGTCACATATAAAAATCTTCGAATTCAAGTCATATCTCAAGCCGAGTCACAAATAACTTGACTTGACCTGATTTAACTTGAAATCAAGTCGAAGATGGACTTGACTTGGTTTGAGTCAAGACCGAAATCGAGTTGACTTCCCATATTTGGCGTCAGTTCACTACATAAGTTCTTCTATGATTCTTAATTAAAATTTTTTTTATACTTTTAGGCCTAAAATTAATACTAAACTGCATAAAACACTTGGATATATTTATACAGTTTTTGACTTGACTTGCCCATGTCTGCCATAAGATGTGTGCGAAGATAGTTGTTTAGACATTTACACCAAAAGACTTTAGTATATCTCACATGATGATATTTGCAATTTAAGATATCAGAAGATATAGTATGAAGTTAATGTATTTTTTTCACGCTGCGACACATGCTGTCTCTCGATAGGATTTTAGCGGAAGTAGGTCTTCAAAAGTATGGCCGTCAGTGTAGTTCTATATTATTACCTATAGGGACAACGACTAGGTAAATATTAATTTGACCATATCAGGCACTATGATGGATGCTCTTTAAAAGCCATATCATAAGATAAAAGTCTCTTTCTAGTTTCTTTTAGTAATCGAATGCATGGCGAGTCTCTAATTTAGAAGCCAGAATGACGGGAAACGTAGTCAGTCACTTTGAAAATTAATCAAAGGTGGAAAGTATAGTAGGGATAATCATGGGAACGGTTAGCCGTGAGTGGCCGACCGGAGGGAGGCCGACGAACAACTAGGCGTTTGTATGAGAAGAGTTTTAGCAAATGAAATGAGTATGAGTGAAAGACAGACAAATTATGAGATAGGTAGATCATTTGAATGCAATAAGTTTTATTTGTCACTGTTGAGAAACACAGAGGAGCTGATAATACATTTAGTAGAGGGCAAGGGGCCATCGCGCCGTATTATTTCTAAGCGCAGTAGATAGATTTTCAAATATCTGCTATCTTTCTAAGTAAACGGGCTTTTCACAATCAGATTAGCTTTCATAGTTATTCCCTTTCTGAAAGAAAGGGTTATAGCCGCGTTAAAAATCAGTATAAGTTTGTTGGTCCAAACCAATCAGAAATAAGAATTTCTTAAATCATCGAAATTTACCCTTATCAGCTAGAAACCGACTAGTAGATAAATAATCGAGGTCGAAGAACTGGAATCTGGGATAAGTTTTAACTAATTATTAACTATTAGTTATCTTCAGGCTAATTAGGGATGAATTATTAATGTACGCAGTAAGGATTGACCGAACGGTAATCTAGGTCGGGGGACTCAAATCCGAGGTTAATTTTTTCATAAAAGCTTTCTGTCTCCTTTTTTCCGACACAGGATCACTTTTTGTAGCCGATAGTGTTTTAAGCGGTCATATGTAGAACAAAATCTTATAGCTGACTTGCGCCCGATTGCTGGATCCCCATAGTCATCAGCATATTATTGAGATCGCACACTTATATAGACTGCCAGCTATATTGTAGAAATATCATCTGGTGCAAGTTGGTCAAAATAATGTTTCCTTTGTCAAGTGTTGTTTTCGATAACCATAATAAAACAAAGGTGGCGACTTATTAAGAAGGACTAAAAGGAAATGGATTGATTAGTTTCGAAAGTGATTCTAGATTAGATGAAAGAGCGAAAATGTACATGTAACGGCTAGCAGCGAGTGACCGACCAGAGGAAGGCCGACTAGCGACCAGTCCTCGATTTGAAGTATAATATTTTAAAGAACAGATTTTCGTGATTTTTATATAAGTTTCAAGATTTTTTGGATGTAGAACTTAATCGTTGATCTCCAAGAACATATCTGGCAGCTCTTTAAAGTGCTTCGTGGTGAAGAAAAGAATGAAATCTGTTTGCAGAGAATGATATACCTATGTACAGTTTATAAGCTTTCGATTACGAATTGATTTTCTAAAATGACCTCATTCCGGATAACATCTTCGTTCAAATGAAGTTAAGATAGTAAAATGAGAATGCATGGGAACGGTTAGCCGTGAGTGGCCGACCGACTAGGCGTTTATTTAAGAAGCTTAGAGAAGATTAAATAAGCGAAGCGTCTAGTTCACTTGACCGACAACTCATTTCCTCGACAGAGTCTTGAAGTCAAAACAATTGATTGAACAATCCTTAACACAAAGAATGAGCGCCCGGAAAATGTGGAGGCTAGAGAGTCCGTCGAGCAGATGGACAAGTGAAGATCACGCAGCTATTGCCTATTACAAATCAAAACGTTGCCTTTTATAGACGACGACATGCAGTAACAGACAGACAAAGAGATTCACATGATATTGCTCGCAACAATGAGATAAACCCTGAACAGTGAGAGAGAGAGAGAGAGAGAGATCCAGAGGAGACACAAGATAGTCACAGACAGAGAAAAGGTGAGACAATATCATCAGGAATAATCACTGTGCAATGAGACACGTGATGATAACTAAACGGAGAGAAAACGTTTGAGTTCATCACCCACCCCTTCACCCTTGAGAGATATTTAAAAGTTGAGTCTTATAAGAGTCTAGGGCAGTGTCGATCATTTTTTGAAAGAACATAATTCCTGTCTTTTCGAGGTTTGAGAAAAAGCAATGTGAATTACCAGCTCCCTTAATTTAAGAAAACAGTCAAATATCTACGATGGATCACACAGTTATGAAAACTTTTCATAACTTCGATTGCAGACGAACTCAGTATGAATCGGACACTTTTTCTAGGAAGATATGAGAAAAATATAGTATGTACTGACGAGTAGTCGCGAGTGGCCGAGCAGAGCGAGGCCGACGAACGACTAGGCATTAGTCTGAGAAACTTTTGGGGTATCAAATGAATATGAGTGAAAATCTGAAGCAAATCATCGAATAACTGCACTATCAAAATAAAATAGATTTTATTTATTCGTTTGGGCAAAAAGTTCTGCAACGATTTCACCCTCGTCCTCATATCAAAGTGTAGCAAATCTTTCGCCCAATCTAGCATTTCTTCTGAAAAATAGATGCTATTGGACGATATCCTTTCAGTAGAGGGTCAGCGGTCACTAAGCCGCGTTACTTGTTCAATTTCTAACATAAGTATCTCTCTAGGTCATGATATATTTCAAAATCCTGTGAGTCTTGCATGTGAACATTGCTTTTGTCGACGGTGTGTGAATGGTACAAGGAAACCACTTTCACCAGCAACAGGAGATTTAACAGTCATACCAAACGGTGAACGATCAGCTCCAACCTCAAGATTAGTTTATAAGCCAACGCATTTCGAGAAAGATGTTTGTTTTGTCTGTGCGATGTGTCGTGCTGAGTCGTTCGGATTCTATGAATGTAAAGACTTACAATCCGATCTAGAAACGCTTGAAGCACCTTGCACCAATTGTAATAAATCATTAGTTTTATGTGAGTTACGAAGACATTCAGAGAAATGTGTACCACCAAAAAAAACGGTCAACGCCGCAGCCATTAAAAGGGCTATTACGTCTGACTTCTTGAAACAATTATCCGCACCGCAAGCAAAAGCGTTGGAAAAAGCAAGAAGTGGACAAAATCGGTCAACATTTCAATGTCCTTATTGTGAAAGAGCAAAGTTCGAACATATCATCTGAACTTTTCTATTGAGTTCTTGTTCTTTTCCTCTAGTTTCACAATTGAACACATGTGTAGACACATAGAAAAACATCATTTAGACGAGAATCCACGTCGAGTATGGTAAATAGAAGAAGATAAACCTGTAGTTCTTCTTAAATAAGATCGATGTCTCTCTACTTGCAGTCCGGTGTGTTCGTCAATGCCTTGGGGTAACCAATACCAACAGTCTTCAAACGTTTACGAGCATCTTCTTCAACGCCATCGATTTGACTATAGTAAGTTTTATATAATATTTCGAATAAAAATTAAGCACGGTCTCTTTTTAGGTACATACGTGAAATACGATCAAGACGAAGAAGCCATGATGGCTGAAGCTATCGAAAAATCAATGATGCAACACTGAAGAGAAGACTTACATGAGTCCACTTTTTTTTTTCGTGTAGATTAAAAAGCTTAAAGTGATACATAATATTCCGTTTTTTTTTAATATCAAATATTTTATTCTCGATATCTGTTCGTTGAATGAATTTGTTTTTCGAATTGAAATTGATTGTGTTTTAAAACTATTTAATATCAATCCACCCGTTGTAGATAACATCTGTGAAGTTCTAGAATAAAGAGTTATCGTTAAAAGAAAATTTTCTCACTTTCCATTGTTCTATGATTGTCACGAACGGTCAGACGAAGGTAAAACTTCGAACATGGGAGTCTATAGCCAGTGGAGCATTAGCAGCCACTGGCGCAGTTTTCATCTCGAATATGCCAGAAACGATCAAAACACGTATGCAACTTGATGGCGAAGCATCGAAACGGGACGGTTCAAGTCGACGAAAACAATACCACAGTACATGGGATGCGTACAGAAAAATCGTCCGACAAGAGGGCTTTCGTGCACTTCAAGCCGGTCTTGGTCCAGCTATCGGAATACAGATAATTATGAATGGACTACGTTTAGGTTTATTCGAACCTATTCAGAGAACTATCCGAGATACAACTAAATCTCGCGAACACAACGTTCTAATCAAACTCACATCTGGTGCAATATCCGGAGCAATTGGTGTTATTGCCAGCTCACCACTGTAAATAAATATTCTTTCTTATTTCGTTTTCATCAATCTAATATACCAGTATTTAGTTATCTAGCAAAAAATCGTCTTCAAGCTCAATCAAGCTACTTCCATGCGGCTGAAGAACATCATTATAAAAATACACGAGACTGTCTGAAAAAAATCTATCGTCAAAATGGCTTTGTTGGATTATTCCATGGTGTAACTGCCGGTTTACCACGTGTTGTCGTTGCTTCAGCGACGCAATTGACAACTTACGATAAGACAAAAGCATTTGCAATACAAAACTTAAATCTACATGATGGTTTTCCCGCTCATCTTTTCGCAAGTTTTATTTCGTCATTGTTTACTGTGACGATGATGAACCCATTCGATGTTATATCCACACGAATCTATCAATCCAGTGGACGTGAAACGGTTTATCATAGTGTTTTCGATTGTTTCAAGAAAACAGTGAAGGCTGAAGGATGGTTTGCATTGCAAAAAGGATGGTTGGCACTGTATTTACGATTAGGTCCACATACGATCTTAACGTTTGTTTTTCTGGAAAAAATCCGGTCGGGGATCCTGAAATACAAAGCTGAGAAAAATAAAATCTCAAAAACACAGCATTCTATGTAAATATATCATTGTTTTCCAAATCAGCAAAGTTCCTACTCAATATTTTGTAGATTTGTTTTATAACTTTGATATTTATATGAACAATGTTTATTTTAGTCAATAAAGATAATCAATTATTACAGGTTGATTCAATGTCTCTCCTTGGTGAACAGCGAGATTAACAAATAAGATGTCATTTGATGGTTGATTGATCCGGTCATCTTCTAAGATCCGATTATCTTCACTTTTGTATAAACTAGCTCCAAAACAAGAATGCATGTGACCGAATAGGTGAATACGCGGTCGGACACGTGTGACGATCTCATCAAGTAGAGCTGGACAACCTAAAGCGTCTCCGGTCGATTCATTGTAGTCACGAATACTATAAGGCGGACCGTGTGTGAGAAGCAAATCGATATCCTCGGGGATTTTCGACCATTTATCGCTACGTATACGTTTTGAGTCGTAACCAAATGCTTCGGCTCGATAAAAACAACCGCGCTTTGGACGCCATGGACTACCATAAATTCGTATACCTTCGATGTCAATCAATTGATCTTGAAGATATATTAAATGACTCAATATCTGTTGACTTTCTTCCGGTCGTTTAGGATCAAAACACGTACAATGATTGCCGCTAACGAACAATTTGTACTTATGAGGTAATTTTCCGACAAATTCGTTGAACACTCTGATATCTCGAGTAGACGTTCGATGTTTAACTGCATCGCCACAGTGCACAAAAACATCTCCATCCGGTATTGTAATTTTCGCGATTTCATTGTGTGTATCAGACATACAAACAAAACGTAAACGTTTCAAGTCTGTTCTATGTTTTGAATGAGAATCTCGAAAGATAATGAACGGACTGTCTTCCGTTCCCGCGCCTATGTCTGCAGCTAAGCGTACTGAAAGAAGTTGCTCATCTCTTTCATTTTCTGGCACATGAGTCAAATGATGAACAACCGCAGACGGATGATCCTTTACACGTGGTACATAACACCTTTTGAAATGAGAAGCAACTATTAAGAATTTCGAGTATTTCATAATCGAATACATACCAACAACAGCAACTGTACGTCGAAGGTTTGAACATTTTGATAAACTGCGAAACTGAAACATATTCTCCCTACTTTATAAGATCAAAGTAGATGTGTCACCATTGCAAAAGAAAAACAAATGAGTCATATGATTAGTCATTGCATGAAGAAGCTTGAAAACGCCACAACAGATTATGATCATCATCACCGAATGAGGTTACGGCTGCAAACTACTTCAGTAGTCACATTCTCATTCATCAAGTCTACTATTCTAAATAAGAAAGTTCGTAAATTAATAAATATGTCATTAAAGATAAATAATCAGAACTTGTCCCGTCGAGATGTAGATCAGTGGAAGTAAACGTCATCGATGAGAATTCACATGTTACAACAGAGTCAATGAGAAAGACATTCATGCATTTATGGATGTATTTATATATCATAAAATACAAAGACTATGTTCAATAAACATCGACAAAAAAGTCACGAAAAGGAAACTGAATAAACTACATACAAAATGAATCATATCTTTCTTTTTTATTTCTTAACGTTTGCTTTTCCGAAATAGTTCTATGTATTTCATCCTGTACAAACATATGTATGTATATGCTGTGAATAACAAGAATAAAAAGAAGCGAAGATCAACAGAAGCATTTCTTTGTCTGGTTTTACACTACACTGGATGAGACACGTGTGCAAATACATGATTAAAGTAGAGAAATATAGAGAAGAAAACTTTGTTCGAAGGTTATTTCTCATTGTCGACAATGCGATATTGTTGATAGGGATGGTAGGGCGGTTGAAGTAGAGTTTTCTCATTATTGAATAGAGTTGATTGAACATTGAACTCTTGTGGTTCAGTATTGCTGAATCTATGTGTTTTTTGCCACAGATCATTGAGAGACTCATCATCAGACACATATTTCGATGACCAATCTTGATAGAATTTCGTAAAACGATTGTATTGATCGAGAGTCAATCGTTTATGGTCCTAAATAAAAGAGATCATGGACGTGCAAGTGATTTTGTGTATGTAAAGTTTGGTTTACTTGTTTTGTCGAACGGAATGAACCACGTTTGTAAAAGAAGAAACCAGCACGATGGAATGGTTTACGTTTCAACGTTTTACTATCGATACGACAATAATCATTATTGATTGTAATGATTTCTGGTGTCGATTGATCAGTTGACACACGAAGATTTCTATTGAATAGAAAAATACTTAGATGCTTCCTTTTCTTGCCGTCTTTTTCTCATACCGGTGTAAAAATCGCGGTTTTTTCCTCAATCTTGCTCGCAAACGTGCAGCAACAACTTCATCAATATCTCCTTCATTACCATGTAGATATGCTTCTGTGTAATGTGTACCATTTTCGATAGTTCGCTCTTCATCTTCGTCTTCAGATGCGTCAATAACAATCAACGATGTTGTTACTCGACGCTCATTTTTAAACTACAAGACACGCAATGAAGTTCGGTTCCAATGAATTCGATCGCTTACGGAACAAACACGGAATAGTCGGTTTCCATCGGCATAAGATTCCATTTCACGTTGATATGCTGCTTCGGCATTTTGTTGCGCTGTTGAATAGAGATTATCTACTAAACCAACAGTACTATTATGACGTGAATACAGACGCATAATCGAATCAGATGATTCATCAGTAACAATTGCTTGTAACTAAATGAGTAACCAAATTATAGTGTTTTTTATTTCTGTTTCATTATTTCACATACTTGTCGAACACAATTATGGATAATTTTATCCATTGTGAAGGCAATGTACGCGTGAATGCCAAACATTTCACGTAAAGAATCTTCGTAGGTTAAACTGTCCATGTTTCCGTCGAGTAAATTTCGAACCATATCGAGAAATACGGAGTAATACTCATCAACTGGAATATTTGCTATTCGAAAAAGGAATGACGATTTCGATGATTGAAAAGAAAATCGATCGATACTTACGACGATTTGATAGACGAAGTGCCGTAGCAGCAGATGGCTGTCGATTACGGTGCGAACCATTTTCTTGTTCAATTAAACGTAGTGATTGTTGAAACATTTTCAATAATCTTTCGCATAACAATTGATGAAGTCGAAAGAAATAATAATAATTATCATTGATAAAGAACAAGTGGAACATATCATCCTAATAGAAAATTTCTAGGAAAGAAAAACTCGTGATCAATCTTACCGGTTTCTGATATTCTTGTGCGACTTGACGAGGTTTGACTGCGGATGGTTCGTTGTTCCGTCTTCGGTTCGTATCAGTGTAACGAGTTGGTCGAGCTTTTTTGTCACGTTTTGAATTATTCTCATTTTCATCGTCATCATCTAGAGAAAAGAATCGATCAAAAATATGTGATTGTTTTCAAGTTTACCTTCTTCATCGTCGCTTAGTTCTCCACGCGGTGCGAAGAGAAAATCAGGCAGGAACTGATGCATGATCTTTTTGATATTTTGTTTATCTTCCTTGGCAAATGTTGTTTGACGTTTGACCAGAAAAATAATCAAAGATGCAGCATCATCAAGTACAGAAAGATCTTCGTAATGAAAGATCAAATGAGGTTGATTGTTATTCGAATTCAACTGTTGATCACGCTAGAAAACGAAATCGATGGACGAATAGAAACAATCGTCATTCTCTTTTACTTCTTCTTTGATATTCTCGATTTCATTTAATAAATGACGATTTCGAATGATCCGACCGTCAGAATTCTTGCAAATATTGCTCATGTAATCTAAGGACTTCAAATAATACTTTTCGCTTTGTTCTTTCCAGAATCTTTCGAAATTCTTCTTCGATTCACGCCATTCTTCATCTTTAGATTTCAATCTAAACAAAACTATTGGTAAACATCCCTTTTCTCGTTCACTCGAACAAACCGTTTTAAAACAATCGGCACAGCAACACGCGGATTTCGTTTTAAACCATCAATAATTTCATTTGCACGTTCGCCGTAGATTCGTTGAACCGCTTGTCGTTGTGTAAAAGCCGATTGTCCACCCAGTTGATCATCCAATTGAAAATTATTCAGTTGTTCCGGCGTCAAACTATTCATATGTGATTGAACACTTTCCAACGCTCTTATTGCACTTAAGTTGACTTCCATGACAATGTCTAATTCAAAACGTTCGTCTTCGATTTTATACATGTGTTCTTCATAAACACTCTTCTTCGCAGCTACTGACGACGATTCATCAGTAAATGTTGGAAACAAAACGCAATGATCATTGAGTACTTCTTTACATAAGGGAGTACGACCTGCACATGCTGGTGGCACGTAAGCACGTGGAACAGAACGATAACTTGTGCCATATTGTGAACAAGAGCCATAATCTGAAAAATAATGATATCCTTTCAGTCGTAATCCGATGCATGTCTATTTTTAACCGAAAAGAAACTTGAGTGGCAGGAATATATCTACTTAGAGACTAGAAATGAAAAGAACGACACTTGGCTCTGAAAGCGACTTAAAGTGAGATGTCTGATGGAAGAAATGCATCTCAGCAAGTTCTCTTATATTTCACGGAAAATGAAGCATTTTTATTTTTAGCAACCATTTCCTTACCAATACTAATCATACTGTCAGCATCATTCTGGTCATAGATACTTCTTGGAATAATTGCTTCACCTGGTTCTCGTAAACTGATCAATTCTTGAAAAGTTTTTAATAATTCTGGCACATGACTAGAACGAAAAATATTTGTAGGTTTGTCACAGACGCTTGTAGGTCGTTTACCTTAGGTAAGATTGAATGAGTTCGAATAATTCAATACGAGTAATGATCTTTTTCGTATAAAGAAGAATACATCGCAGGAAATTATCGAATACCAATGGACTACGAAGTGTTTTTTGTACCTGAAAGACACGACAACGCATGTTTGAAATACTTGGTAAGAAAAATTTACTTTATCAAAAAACGTGATTTCATCCAGAGAAGGTAAGTTTTTGTTCTGTCCGGTCGAATCATGAATCGTAAGATCATTTGTGTTTGACAATGTTGTTGGAGTGTTGTCTGGTGCATTCGAGCGTTTTTTCCTCGTTGGGCCAGTAGATTTTGACGGCGGAATTGATCTCTTGTTAGCATTAACCGAACTCATCATTGACGATCGTTTTGGCGACAACGGACGAGTCGGTTCTTCTTTCGTCACTGTTGATGATAGTACAGTAAAAGATGGAGTCAACGTAGTACTGGAGTTTATAGTATTATTGAGTGTTGAAAATGGTGCTGCTGCTGCTGCTGATGATGGTGGTGGTGGTGCAGTATTATTGATGATCATACGTGGCGTTGGAGTGATTAATGAAGTTGAGCTGTCCGATGACGATAGGATATCAGATATGGAATTTATACGATCCTATGTAAAGAGGGGAACAGAATGAAGATATGACTGGCGAGTCGAGTTGGAATTTACCGTTGAATGTTGACTAGCATCAGGTAGAAATTGACTGAATTCTGCAAGAAGATCTTCGTGATTAGTAAATAGTTGTGCAACTTTAGCATAGACTTCAGTTTCGGAGAGGAGGATCGGCTGATTATTGTTAGTATTTGTTGCTAATTCTTTCACATCTTTTTGTTGTTTTTGATACGTGTGAAGAATTTCAAGAAATGTTTTATATACATTTGGATTTCTAGACGAGAAGAAAAGATGAGGAGTAAGGAAAATCAGGAGAAAACATACTGATGAAAACGATTTTTGATTTTATTAACATAATTAATTGCATGATTGAATTCCACAGGTTGTCCATTTGAATTTGTTGCATTATTATTATTGTTATCATTAGTCGCAATGGATGTTTGTTGTTTACCTGATTTACCTGTCAAATTCAATCCACCTGTCGTGCCAAAATACGGTAATTGTGGTGAACTAGCTGCTGAGATTAATGCATTAACAACTTGTGATGTTGGATTCATCGATTGATGCTGAAGATCGCTGTTGCTCGATGTTTCCTCACTCTCTTGATTCAATAAGTTCGTTGTCTGCCGTATTGATGCTGATGAATGATAAGTTGTCGATGTTGGCGTCGTTATTGCCAGATTATATGTTGGATTGACACTTCCAATTGCAATCGATTCGATTCGGGATGATGGATGAGTGACTTGAATGTAACCCTGATGATCATCAGTCACTTCGATCTTGTAACCTGGTGGTAGAAAGGTGTTAAAACCGACAATCAAATCTGGATGGCCATGAAAAAGTGTCGAAACTCGATTGATTACTTCTTGAGTATCAATGCTAAAAGATATCCGTGAAGAAAACTAGTTACAAAAGGAAGAATGTCTTACCTTTGTGACTTGAACTCTTTCATAATATCCAGAAATTGATTGTATACTTGCGGTTCACCCGCAAATTGGTTTTTCACCTTATCGAGATAACTAAGTGCATCCTCCACTTTAAGGCGCTATGAATACGAAAAACAAAACATTAAATTTCGAAATGCAAACAGAGAAGAAGCTTGTCATTACTGATGAAGTCAACTGCCCTTGGCTGGATGTGGATGTATTGTTCGCTTGAAAGTTCCCACCCGAAAAATTTGTAAAAAGATTTACAGGCGACGAAGCGTTGGATATATTCGAAACTATAGTTGGTCCTGATCGTCTACAATGTTTAAATTACAATGGAAGGCACTGTTTCTGATTCTTTATGACTTACGTTGAAGGATTTTGAACAACAGCTGAAAGAATTGTATTCAAACCCTAAAAAAACTTATTGCATGAGAATCTGTTACTCATTCCACTTTTCTACATACCAAATTGCTACTATTCGCAGAACTTGAGTTCATAAGACAAAGTTATTCGAAAAACAACACAGATAACATATATTTCTCTTAACTGATCTTTTTATTCAGATTCGTCAAGTAGAAAAAATGACAGAGAATAAGTAATGATCTGAAAAATTTACAACCTATGTTAAAGCAAGAGAAAGAACGATAGCTAGCTGCTAGATATCATTTTTATCGATAAGCGCCACTTCTGTTTGTCGACTAACACTGTATATAACGACAAAAGATTTTGGACCAATGGAAATAAAGTATGTCACCATTAGATCTGTGTTGTCCTCCATTATCACATCATTGATCGAGGAAAGAACAAATAAGATGTAGCGATGGTTGGAAAGCATATATTTTGTTATTTTGTGTTCTGTTTCTTCTGGTGATTGTGCTAAGCTTGTGACTTTTTCTATCCTATTATCACTAATAATAACACACATAGACTTTGATTATTAAAATCTCTGTTTTATCGGTGCAGATCGAGATTCGCAGTGTTACAAAGGAGGTCAGTAATATCGTTTTCTTTCGTTTGTTTTTTTTGTCACGAATCGTACAATCCCATTTTGCTGACGTCGACCGAATGATATTTCACTAACGAGAATGATGTCAATACTAATACGTATGCGTATACATTCTTTTGACCAAACGTGTCTGCTTTGCACTCGATTCACCTAGTAAATATATTACCAATAGTGCATGACACACAAATAAGAGGGTAACATCCCATCGTTTTTCTTTCGCACAGAGGGGTTGTTATTTCTAATTTTCTTCTCTCATTTTCTTTTCTGTTGTATTTGTTATTCGTTCCGTACATTTAATAAGCATGATTTGATTAATACGAGACAAAAAACCACTTCAATATATATATATATTACTATGGGTAAGTGTCGTCAGCTGTATCTTCACGTTACTTCTTACGAATTCTTGTTATTGTTGTTGTTATTTCCCTATACTAAACGAACGACATACTTGAAAAGGGAAGCTATGAGATATTTTCATTGGAAAACATCAAATCAATGATGATGAAAGTCAGTTTTGAGATAGTCGATGTTTTTGCAATGCGACAAAGTAAAAATAGCGCGAAGAGTACATGGTAAGGAAGGCAAAAACAAGTTTCTCCTGGAGTTTTTCATTCTTTCCTTTTCTAGTTCCTCGTCTTTCTGTTTTTGCATCCATAACATGTTTTTTGCTTGTTCTCGTTGACTCGCAAGACATATTCATGCAATTCACGTCAACATACACGCGCGTTTACGCGCATCTCAATACTTTTACATACACATCTGATAAAAAAGGCAAAAAAACGTAGAAAAAAAAACAATTTTTCGAAGAATTAATTTTCGATTGGTCAGTTATTGTTGTTTCTTTCTTCTATTTTTATTACTTAACCGTAAGGTACACCTTAGTAAGAAGGAAAAAAGGAAATAAGTATGTGTCACTTCTATTTTTTCTTCTTTCTATTTATGGGCGCGCAGTATACGTCATCGAGTTCTTTCTAATTACTACTTTTTGTTAAAGATATGATTTCACAAATATGAATTAGGTTACAGCTTTTTTTTCGAAAAAAATTCACTCTTCTTTGTCTCGTTTGTATTAATAGAAAAGTAATCAAGACTAATCGATGCATATCTATTCAAACGCTAAATAACTAGATCATGCTTAAGTGTACTGGAAAGATCTACGTTTTCTTCCTGTCTTGCTCTATTTATATCGTCAAATAATTCAACGAGTGGAAATTAAATAGGGGAAAGTTTTAGTTCTTTATCATGTTTTTTTTGCTTTTCATCCTAGTCTTTATTTATTGAAAAGGATAAGGAATAGACAAGTCAATTATTCTGACTTTACTTTCTTATTAAATATTAGAGAAAAAAGACTCCTACGTCATCACACGCATAATGATATGAATATAAATAAAGCTTTTCACTTGTCGAAAGAAATTATGTATTCGATGACTTTTTTAGATTCAAATAAATATCAAATGGCATGTTGGTTACCTCAGCCAACATCTAACAAAGAATTGTGCGACGCTATCGATGAAATCATGAAACCCGAACGTGAAGATGTTACAGTCGATGATCCTCTTTCATCTACTGCGCCGCTAGATCTTGATTTAGAGTCATTCAGCGATTTGTTGGATAACTCAACAAATAATGTACAAGTTCTATCGCCGATGTCACCAGCGACATCAGCGACACATGATTATACTCAACCGTTGAATATTTATGACATATCAGCAACATCCAATTCAACATTTCCTGTTAATAATAATAATCCGATAAATTCACAATCAAACACAACGACAGGGTACTCTTCATTAGGAATTAGTCCGAAGTTTACGACATTAAGTCTTAATCAACAACACAATCCGTTTTCGTCGTCATTGCAAGATCCCACGAATTCCTCGATACTTCTTCAGCCATTCGTCCAATCGTCATTAGCACTGAATTCAAAAAACAATCTTCATCCACCACTATTTGTTCAAACTCAACAACAGGACAACTCCTCTTTAGGTACATCGTATCCATTCGAGTTACAAGTTAATAGTGGTATATCAGACGTGAAGCGCTTTCGATCTGCTAGTATGAATGAAGGAGCAACACAACATCAACAAGCAAAACTCGGTACATGTCGATTTCCGCAAACTACATCATCTATTCTCTTTGTTTTTTTTTCTAGATCCTCATGGTTTCGATCCGTATCGTCTTCGTTCTCATACATACGTAACTCCGCCCTACTATCAAAACCGAGCATCGTCATTGGCAACAACGACAACATCGTCTGTGTCATCGATTGCAACAGATGCTTCATCGAATTCAGCTTGGCCGTACGGTGATGGTCCGCGACCAGCGTCCAGTTCGTTTTCCGAAGTTTTAAGTCAACAACAACAGCTGCGTTTAAACAATGGCCTATCAGCTTCATACGGCGGCTCAGGACCGTTCTATTCACTTCAACCACCACCACAGCAGCAGCGTACCTCAGGTGGCTTTCTACCTGATATCAGTTTTCAGACACCATCAACAACAAATTGCACGCTGTTTTCGATAAATCAACAAGGAAATGGTGCTACTTCACCATCTCCATCCAACCCTGCTCGAAAACGTCCATCATTAGTTGGCTTTCCTGTTGAAGAAATCAAGGGTACGATAGAAACTTCATTTCAACATTCATTCTTGCATCTCTTTCGCTTTTTTTCAGTCGATCCGGATAGTCCAAGCTGTACTCTTGAACAAAGCGAGCCTGATCTTTGGTCTGACCTTGAGCAGAATTCATCGGATCGTTTTCAAGATAATGATGGTGATGAGATCACATCCGATGATGAGACCACCACCATATCAACAAGTTTGAACAACGACTCGACTTTAACAACACAAGAAAATTCTTCACAGCCGAACTCGTCATCACTCTTCTGGCAGTATAATGTTCAGGCAAAAGGACCAAAGACCAAACGAATACTCTACTTAAAAGAACGTGATCCACATTTATGTCGAGAGTTTAGTGATCCCGTCTATCAAATCAAATTGACTCAAACAAAAGGTCAACAGTTTACTAAACTTCGGAAAGGTGATGGAAACGATGTGACACCAAATCCAATGAAACTTTATCAACTCGGAAAGCAAATTCGAGATTTATCGATGGTAGGAAAAAGTCACCTGAATACACCATCCGTATATCATGGAATCTATCATGTCGAGCAACAATCGAACCCCAATGACACAGCTGAAGTGAAGAAAGAAAAGAATAAAATCGCCAGTCGGTGAGTATTGGCCTACGAAAAGCCAAATTGATCATTCGAAGGATTATGTTCATTGTTTGTTTGTTTGGAATATTATAGAGCTTGTCGACTTCGTAAAAAAGCTCAACACGAAGCGAATAAACTCAAATTACATGGCCTTAATGAAGAGCATCGTAAGTCTCGTCTTGTTTGACCTTGTTATGAGATACTTTTGTAATGATGCGATTCTATCTCACTTCTTTGTATCCACGAAGATAATTGAAAAAAAGAAATAGGCCAACATCTAATTTTTATTTGTTAGTTTAATTATCTTCAAATTTGTAATACTTCATTCATTCTAGGAACTCTTATCAATCTTATCGCATCAATTAAACTCATTGTTCTCAAACGATACCATGATGGCCAACTAAATACTCCATCTCTATCACCAAATCAATCACTCGAAACTGCACTCGACCAACTCATTGCTGCGAAATACAGTACTGTCTTTCCTATTCACATGAAACTAATTCTCATCGGAATATTTTTACTTTCTAGAGCAACCTGTTGCAGGAAATGCTGATGGTTTCGTTCAAGGTATACTCAACGATATGGAACGTATGTATTCTTCAAAACAACAACGAAGCTATAGTCTTAATACATAAACTAAACTTGCTATATACATATATACCTTTATTTTTGTTTTATTTTCTCGAAAAAGGTACAAGACAGTATCCGTGTGAGCGATCATTTGAATGTTCTCCGGTGACATGATTTTAATGTGAAACAAAGAGAAAGTTTCGTTTGTGTTCTTTTGATTTTTTAGTCCGGTGTGTTGTTCTAACGCGATGAAAGACGTACCGGTTGTTTTCTCGTCGTTGTATGACTACCTCAACTGTGTTTTCTTTTTTTCTTCTTGTACAAAGTATTTTTTTTTGGTGTTTTTTATGTTCAACAATAATCGTTTATTCAGAGTTTGTCACATGTCCTGTAAATTTGTTTTCCTTGATTTGTGTACAGAAAAACAAACGTTCGTCAGTGGTGTGCCAACGGATATGGTCAGTTTGCGTGTTTTTACTCGGTCAGTGTATTTCAAACAGATGAAAAACAACATGATGCCTTGTAGTCTATATCAAAGTTCAAATGTCTTGCACAAAAACCTAAGTTTTAACTTTGCTGAAATCTTGTTGGTTTTCATTAACGAAAGTTGTAATCGATGATTGAGAATTCTTGTACACTTTCATCAAAATATGTCGAAGATCATGTTTCTTTTGACTATTCATCTTATCTCGACGAATTTTTTTCGAAAATGTGAAGCAGTTTTTCGCTTCAGTCTTTTGAGATTGTTAACCGAAAGAACACAATAGACTTTACTCTCTTTGAAGTATATTCTTCATCGGATCACAGAAAGATTTCCTTATCATTCTCACTTTTCCTTCGAAGACATATAATGAAAGATCGTTACCTACATCCATGAGTGCAAAGACATCGTTTGTGCTGCTATTCCTTCCTTTATGAGAGAGAAAGAATAGACAATCGAAATACTGAGGTAGTTAACACAAGTTTATTTTTATCTACACAATTATTTCTGATCGAGATGGCATAGTCAAAAATGTTTTCTTTCCTGTGAATGTTATCAACGAGAAATTGAACATATGATACGCATAAAAATCAAAATACATCGCTCGAAGTCATATCCCTCACAAAAATCACGAAAACATGTGAGGAATACGATGAAAAAGTTATGCTTTCATTCGAGCTATAAATATTCGACTTTGATCATTCTACGCAATACGTATCGTGATTACGCATTTATGTGATTGTGTCCATTGAATTTATTTTTTATTGTTGAGATGTCGAATAACAATGCGAGTGTTTCTTAGATAAATAAATTGATCTGTCAATCTTTTCGATACGATTGTAATATGTTTTCTTTCTTTCGAGTCTAGAACAAAGCGCCTTCAACTGCTTACTTTGCTTTCATTTGATAAAATTTTCGAAAAAAAAAATTCTTATTATGATAGGTTTTCCTTTTTTTTTTATCCAATATGTTTCGAATATCAACACATTTCGAAGCAACCATGCATGACAAATGTCATCCCGCAATCGATTCATTCAAAGTTAAGTAATTATAATTCGCAAGAAAAACGTTTTTATGTATGATTTATTTTACCATACGTACAAGCACTTCCATCATAGAAATAATGATCCGTGAAATAAAATATAAATGACTTCCGTTTTAAAAAATTGAGATATATTTGCATATACAAAGTAATTTGAGCCATAGTTTCGTACGAAGACAAACGGGAACATTGATTCAATGAAAAGAAAACGGAACTGGCTGCTTTTCATCCGATTCAATTTCATCAACGTGCTCATAGGGTGGTGGTGGAGCTGCTTTTGGTGGATTTTTATCTGCATATGATTCCAGAAGTCTAAAACAAGCATCCTTTTCCATTTTCCGAGCGAGTACAGCTGGTGTAAAGCCATCGTCATTGATAGAATTGACATCAGCACCGTGCTGAAGTAAGAGTTCAGCAACAGGAATTTGCTCGCCGTAACCTTGTGCAGCTAGATGTAAGGGCGAATTACCTGAATGATCTTTCGCATTGATATCAGCTCCAGATTCAATTAATATATTACATATATTGCGATAGCCAAGAGACGCAGCTAACATTAATGCACTGGTACCGGTCTCGGGATTGAGAGCATTGACATCAATCTGATGTTCGATGAATTTTTTTAATAGTTCTTCATTTTGAAAACGAACTAAAAAAAGAACACATAGTCATATTTTTCCTTTCGTGTCGACACTCATTATTACCACAACAAAGCAACGGCGTTTCATGAAATGACGGTGTCTGTGTAGCATCGAGACGTTTTGCGCTATCAGCTTGGTATTGTACTTCATGTAATGGATTTGATCCAGCATCAAGTAAAAGATCAGCGAATACTGCTAGTTTCGAATTCTCGTCAGAACGTAATTTGGCCAAGATCACCAGTGGATGATTACCATCGAAAGAGTTTGCTAGGTTGGGATCACTACCAAGTTCAAGTAAAGTTTTAACAACGTCAACTTCACCCAACATCAGCGATAAGCCTATCGCAGTGTTTCCATCAGCATCGATCGATTGTTGCAACAATCGTGGTCTTTCAGCAGCTAATTGTCGAATAACTGCGATATTTCCACTGAAAATTGCGTCACGGAAGATTTTGACTTTGTAAGGGATAAGATAGGAAAAGAGTAATTTTGTGGAGTGAAATGCTAATCGCCAGGACATCGCTTCTTTTTGCTAGTCTAATTTGTAGAAGACACGTCAATGTAAGTGAATACCTTGTCTGGCGAATCTAGTTTTCTGTTGCAGTTCGCTGCACACACGCATAAATATACCGAATCATTCAGTAATATTTCTTTTGAAGTCATGTCTCGATACGCGTGATCTGTTTCGTTACAACGATGTTTTTTTCCTTCTTTTGATAACTTTTTATTCTCGCTCTTTTGATAATCATATACAACAAATAAACATAACGGAAGAATATACAAACGCAGTAGATACTTTAAAAAAACAAGAAAGGAGTATGAATGGTTTGTTTTTCCTCTCGTACAAGATTTACAACTATCATCATCATCATCATCATCATCAAGGGAAAAAGATAAAATAAACGAGTGTCACTTATAGCAAATGCATGTCTTGTTTTATACGTGTGTATGTGTTTGTATATGGTTGAAATGTTGAATATTTTATTGATTCCATAGACCTGATTCTCGAACAGCTTGTTGAAGAAGATATTGTGCTTGTTGAATTTGATTTTGACTACCGGTAATCGTAATCAAACGATCGTTTGTACCTGGCATCGGATCGGAATCAATTTTAATTGAAGCACCTGATTCCTGTCGAATCTGCGATATTTTTGAACCTTTTGTACCAATAATAACACCTTGGAAAGTCAAATCAAATCCATTTATTTTGTTCAAAAGACAAACTATAATCACATACCAGCCATCTCAGTTGGAATTGTCACTTGCGTTGTTGTTACTGGTCCAGCTTGTTGATGCGCAGGATTGTATCCACCACTACGATTTCGATGACCACCATAATTATTATCTGGATATGGGCCACCGTACTGTGAATAACCATGGGCAGGTGGTACTGGAGGTGAGCCATAACTAAAATGCAGGAAACCGAATTTGGTAAGCGAAAGAGCTCGTCTTCAGAACATACGAATTATGAGCGTATCCTGGAGCGTTATTATTCTGAGTTCGAAAGTTTTGCTGGTTATTACGCACGAAATTATCTGAATAACCTCCATAATCTGCTACATTATAACCGTCGTATGTTGATGGATCGTAGTATCGATAAGACCCACGAGCTGGAACACCATCGAGTACGCCATAAACTTCAGTTAAACAACGTAATACATCGTCTTTATTGCCACGCATAGAGATACCTAGATAAAAGAAGACTTGAAGTTTACATTGTAGCTAAACTTTAACTTTATTTACATCGTTCTGTTGAACCACCTGGACAGCATTGAGGATAAACCTTGACATCAATATTGTCTAAAATAAATTTCGATATAGGAATCCATGAATCTCGAAATTGCCCGGAAAACGTATTCTATTCGTTCTATTTACTTACGTTTCTCTCTAAATTCTTTGATTTTGGATGCGCCTTTGCCTAAAAACAAGACAGTTGTATTTTTAAATACGCCATTGTCATTCATTTAACATTTCTTACCAATCAATGCTCCTGCCTGTGATTGATGGATGAGAGCACGGATTTCACTTTGATCAGATTTGTTTGAACGTTGATGATTTTCCATTATATATGAAAGTACATCTGACATACAATTCAATACATCTGACTGATCGCCATGAATCATTAGAGCACGTTCCGGCACACCACAATCAGCCATTTGAATTTGACATCGATGTTTAAGGCGAAGATCTTGAATGACCTTTCCACCTTTACCAATAATCGCTGAAAAGTCGAAAAGAATTTCAAAAATTTCCAACAAATTTTTCAGAGTTTCAAACCTCCAGCATCACGTGATGGAATTAAAAAGCGAAAGTCCAATTTGCCGTTATTCGCCGAGCGATTTCGTCTTCCCTCTTGTTGTTGCTCATCACCCGTTGTTCGTCTCGAATTATATTCATTATTATCTGTCATATTGTGATTCAATCAAATACATATGCACAAACACCGTTTTTTTTCTTGAAATCACTTAATTAATCTAAACTAAATTTAGATTTGTAATAGAAGAAAAGAGAACTTAGTCAATCATGATTCATAAATAGGAATGAATGAATGTAATACATTTGAAAATAAAATTCTTTTGATAAAGGTTATTGACAAATACGTATGTCGAATAATTCTTTTTGAGTGATAGATGTCGCTTGGTGATAGAGGGTAAAAGTTCAATTAGTGTACATGCATATGGTAAGGCAGTGTTGCAGATCAGCTGAAATTCTGTGAATATTTTCCAGCAGAGGTTTGAAGACTTTTGAATTATATAAATACGAAATGAATTTTTCAACCGAAAAGTCCTTGCCGCATGTGTACGTTATCACTTCTAAAAAAACTCGTTCCGGTCCATAAACCATGTGAGTATTAGATGTAATCGATTGATTATTATAAATTTTCTCAGTTTTCAGAACACAACAAGAAATACTCGATAACCATGAACTTATCTCCATAGTATCGATCATCATCGTTATTTATAATAAGAACGCCTTCCGAATAATCAACATTTATTCGTTCTTTTTTGTTTTTCATGCACAGTCTATTGCCATTGATATATGGCAGTTACATATGGCTTTTTTTTCTAATATCATTTCACATTTTCACTCGTCTCTCTCTCTCTCTCACTATTCAGCCGAGAACACAAAAAAAAAACAAATATATGCCGTCAAGTAAGTGTGTAAAGGATAAAAAATACCGTATATACTTGATTCATTCGCAAGAAACTGAAAAAGCATTGACGACTGTGTCCATGAAAACACAATACAAATAAAGACTCCGACAGTCACATATGTATAGAGACAACGATTCCTGGTACGCGAAAGAATATATCTCCCCTCCAATTAGAAAAGAATCAGTATAAAGCGAGTCTTAGTCGTCCATGTCAGAACACTAATACTTTCGAGAGCGTTACCATTTCGATAAGACTTTTCATTTTTCGAAACAATCACTCTGTAATCCTTTTTTTTATTCGTTTAGTTCTTCATATTCTACTTCGTGCCTTTTTCTCTCATATGTAATCGAGTAATGCCGGTACTCAGCATGTGCGAAAAAGAAGAATATAAAACGGTTTTTGACCTTAATGTATTGTGTAAATACGTGCTAACTAAGCAATACGAGAGATAGTCGTTTGAATGTTTTGCATACGAATTATCATGTACATCAATATGCTTCGGTATTTTTTATACAGAAAAATTCTAATGTATCAAGGGATAATCATCCTCTGCAACGCTTCTTTTTATTTCTTTTTCTCTTCAAATCTATGCAGTGGTTTGTATCAGCTGCTTCGATTTTATGACTCGCGGTAAATGTTGTTTTTCTGTAAGATAAGATTGCTTTTAGATAATGCATCGCTTGATTTTCTTCGTTTTGCTCTCGAATATTCATCTTCGATCATGTTCGGATACAACTGATGTGATCCCTCCATTGCCTGTCGTTGAACATGATTTCCATTATCAAGATGACACTTCGTTGATATCGACAACAAATACAATTGTCGAAGATCTTGTTAATGCTGTTACAGATCCAATTGTTACGGAGGCAACGACTAAAACGGTCATAGATGAAACACTAGCAAAAGAATTTGTTACCAAAGTAAGTTTTCTCTTGTTTTAATGTGAACAATCACTAGTTATTTCAAGCAAAGCAACTAATTTTTTTCGAAAATTTATACTTTAACGTGTGTAAATTACCTATTCCGACTCACACATGTTACTTTCATGTACGCAAAGTCCTGTTTGATACTCATCAGGTCTTATCTATACTTTTAGTACCCATTAAACGTCAATCTATCATCACCATCGACATCTCATCTAACATTTCGCACGTATTTTAATGATTCAATTCTTCTTGTTTTCGAAGAACGTGAAATCGTTTTGTTCAACAAACACGATGGAACTATAAACAATCATTTTAAATACGCAACGATTATTCCAATTGATCAACCGAACGTGAGTGGAAAACAGAGACAGTCAATTGAATCGACACTGTTTCCTTTTAGACACTCGTCATCTATGATGATAATACTCAAGAACTTTTCGTGTTAAATTCTACTCATCAATCACAAAAGTCAAGTATCTCATTTAAACCCAAACAAATCTTCACATTTTCATCAAACACCAACCGATGGTTCGCGGAAACATCTGATCAAACTGCAGTAAGAACCGACTTTCTCCCATCCAATTGTTCTATTTTTCTCACACAGCTATATATCACCATGAATTTCGGTGTTACTTGGGATCAACTCGAAGATACCAGCAGTTCAACAATACTTGGTTGGTAAGTTTTCATACTAAAATTACTATAACTTTCAAAAGACAAGTGAATTATCTTCAGGTCGAATAAAACCAATTCGATAATTATTCTCCAACATTTTCGTTACTTGAAATCAATCGATGTGACAACATTCAAAACACAAGTTGTTTTAAATGACGCTTTACGCACAAAACTCTTCTCGCGATACTTAATTACAAAGCGATTGAATATGAACGTAAAACAAGCTTCTTTTTTACTATGATGTTCAGATTGTATTTATTTCTTCGGCTTAGGAACCGATTAGCATTAGCCATCGAGACAACTTAGCTGATGATGGTTTTCGTGCTTTGCCCATCCGATTTCAATCGCAAGGAAACGTACGAAAGTCAAATGTCGATGATCGGGTCTTCTAGATAACATTTCTTTTAGTTTTATTGTGCTATCGAAGATGTTTATACTCAAGATTTATTGCTGCTATTTACTACCGATAATAAATCTGGTGAAGCTAATGAAACAATAATAACAACAACAACATGTAATCTCGTTGGATATTCGAAAGGAAATTTCTTTAATCTTTCAAATATCGCCTGTGGATTGATCATTAACGAAAGTTCAACAAATTCAATCGAGTAACGTTTCTTGTGAAGACAAGATTTCAAAGATCATAGTTGTTTGTAGATGTTCTTCAACGCAAATACCATTGTATCAGATACGTGGTTTAACCAGAAATGTCTTTCTAGCGAATGTTGCATCCGAACAAAGTACACTGGTCTCATTTGATGGTGGAGTCAACTGGAATAAAACATACTATCAATGTGATCAAGTATGTAGAAATCATTTTATGTTGGATTCGACTTGTGGGTTTATCATAGACGATCAATTGTTCGACAAATGTATCTATCAATCTCAATTCCTTAGTCTCTTCAAACGAGGCACCGGGAATTCTCGTTGGTAAAGGTAAAAGGTGTAGCATTGAAGATTCATCTATGAAAACTGATTTTTATTGACTTAAAGCCACAAATGGTATAGATGAATATGTTGCAGTATCATCCGATGGTGGAAAAGAATGGCGACTAGTGAGTTTGATCTCGATCGCGGCCATCATGTTGTTTTTTCGTGTTCTGCAGAGTTCCAAAGGTCATGGATATCTCACAGCCATATCAAATCCAAATGTTCTCATCGCGACTGTATCGAATGAAAGCCAACATTCTTTTCAGTAAGTGAAATATCATTTCCCGGGATAATCCCACATTGTCTTATCATTGATAAAGGTATTCAACTGATATTGGTTACAATTGGCATGGAAAAACATTCTTGAATGAAACAGATTTTCAAATTTTATCACTACTTGCTGATTCTAACAATATTTTCTATGTTCTTATATCGAATAATACAAATTCTTTCAATATACTTCAATTTAATCTTAACAATCTCATTCGTAAGTCATACATTCCAAATGAGAATGAATACTCGAGAGTAGAATTAAACATTTAGTTGAACGATGTGTACGACATCAGTTGAAAGAATGGTCTTTACAAGGTATTTGTATCAACGGTACGAAATCTTATTACAAACGACGTATCGCGGGTTCACATTGTCTTAGCAACACAACGGATGTTCGAACAGAACGGTGCCAATGCTCTCTATCCGATTTTCAATGTTTACCTGGTTATCAACGATCAATCGATGGGTTTTGTTTGCCCAAATCTCATTCGATTGCTTTACAAGACTGTTCTTGCCACGGGAATAACACATTAGTAACAAAAAGTCGTGGATACGTCAAATCAGTTGATAATCAATGTCGACATGGAGTCGAAAATCACCTGACGGACGCTTTGGTCACACGACGCGATCCGAATAGTCGAAATTTTTTCATCTATGGATTGAACTCGCAAACAAAACGTATCAGTGCTGAAATTCATTCGAACGATTTCGATCAAGATGAGGATGATGAAGACGACGGACCGCGAAACCCAATTTGGTCAACTGAACCAGAACTTGAAATAACCGCGTTGGTTGCCGATGATGCTAATAAATTTGTCTACATGGCTGTTCAAAATGACGATTTAACCACGGTATATCGAACCGATCAAAATCTTCGTCAGACTAATCGTTGGAGAAATCAATTGAACTTTAATTCAAGCCAAAAACTGTATGAAAAAGCCAATCAGCGCATTGAGTATTTAACTCTCGATGGTTCAGCGCAAAATTTATATGCTCTTGTCCGAGATCAGATCACTCGTCAGCAAAAGATCTTCATTTTGAATACTCGCACGCATAAACGACGTACCATTGTAAAAAACCAACAAATTCAACCATCAATATTGATTCTTGATCCTATTAAAGCGAATATTTATTGGATTTCACACAATTCTCCATCGATCTTTCACATAGGGAACTTTCAAGGTCAAACAAAAAAAACAATTTCAACTGTTTTCAAGTAATTCCAATGTTAGCTACATGTCCTACGATGTGATAACACAAGAAATTCTTTTCATTGTCAATTCAACGGTCTATGGATTGAACACATTAGATCATCGTCGTTTGAAACCGAGAGTTATCTATGAACACTCATCGACTATTCACAATGCATTGTTCGTATATCCGATTGTTTATTTTACTGATGACGATCAAAATAATTCGGAAGCATCAGTGATCGATTTACACGCAATTGATATTCTGGCGAAAAGTTATGCGAAAAACGTAACAAAACTGAGAAATTTCAATTCATTGAAATTGTTTATTGATATGACTTCTAACGCAGTAAAAAGTTCAGGTGAGAATTATTACATTTATATTGAACTATGGTACTAAGAAATTAGTTTTAGCACCGACAATCAATCGTTGTGCAAGTCATCCATGTTCTGATATATGTATTCCGTTAGAAAATGAAGGTTTTCGCTGTTTATGCAATGATGATGCACAGTAAGGCGAATGCGAACGGCAGTTACCTGCAAAAAAGTTGTTTTTGTTTTTCTGTAAAGATATCAAACATGCTCCTGTCCAATTGGTGAACAATTTATTACTGGTGCATGTCAAGCAGGTATGGCATACGAAGTGATACTTTATAGGAAACTAAAAACTGTTTGATTTAGTAAATGATCAATGTGCACCTGGTCGTGTTCTTTGTCAAAATCGAATCAATTGTGCTGAATCAGGTCTTCTTTGCGAACAAGATCATACTCAATATACTGAATCTTTCAAAAACATGGCGCGATGTACACTGGAAAACGAAAATGACGGTTTTGATTGTTATTATGAAGATGGTAATACTTCAAACAGGACATGTATTCCATTTGAATGGCTCTGTGATGGTAATCGTGATTGTCCGTTGGGCAATGATGAAGAACATTGCCATAAAATGACAACAACAACTGAATCGATTGCATATGCTTCCGGTCGATGTTTAACAGAACAAAAGTGTAAGTGAAACTCAATCAATTTCGATTTCAAAAATTTGCTTTGTGTAGTTACACATGTAATGTGTCGCAATGAATGCTTGAAAATTAATGATCTATGTGGAAATGTGTCGAATACCTTGTACTGCGCCGACACATTTCATTTGCATTGTCAAAAAACACATGAAGCAAATGAAGTACGTTGATTCCATAAGAGTGCTTTCTTAGGAAGTCGCTTGTCTGTGATTTAGTATGCTTGTAAATGTCCGAATCAAGATCATTGTATTGCCATGACAGAACAGTGTGATACTTTCGAACATTGTGATAAAGTTTGTCAAAATGCAATCTATGAAGGTATGAACCAAAAATGTCAGAAAAAGTGAAATGAAATATTTTATTCTCATAGCTTCTTCGAAAACTAAGAGAATCTTTGAACCAGTATCGATGACTTGGATGATCCTTGTGACAAGCATTCTCCTTGTTCTCTTTGTTGCAATACTCATAATGACATTACGTTACAGACGTCAACGAAGAAATGTCAAACAGAACCCCGTTTCTTCACGTATGTGTTCGTAAAATACTGCAAATCGAGATAATATCTCAATTTCAGGTACTCCAGCTGACGATCCACCAGCAGATACGACATCGTCAAGTGATACTCGTCAAAGACTTCTCAACAATGCTGCCAATGGAACAAGTTAAACATTATCCTCTCTCCATCCCTCTTAACTCGAACGTCGATTAGTTTTATCTTTGTTCTTTTGCAATCAAATCCTAGCTTGATTTCTATGCGTGTTTTGTATTTGTCTCTATACCGGTGTAATACAGTCTTTCTGTTTGGTTTTTCAATCTTTTCCATTGATTTTTCAATTAGCCGAACAGTTGAAGATAAGAAAGCGTGAATAGCAATCTTATACAAATATAGATATAAGAATTCGTCATTTATATGTTTGTTTTAACCTATGAAACACAAAAAATTCCAGGAGTACACAGATCTGTAGTTTTTGTCTTTATGATACTTCGTAACAGATAGAGAAATAAAAAGCACGAACAAAATAAAAAAGAAAACGGCTTGAGAAAAACAAAGAAATACACACACAGATACACAAATCGCTTAGTTGATGCTTTTGATAATAACCGACGAAGGGAAAAAACACCAGCGCAAGAGTGAGTATACTTTTAAATAAGTAGGAAACGAAAATGTGTACGAAACATTGCGCATGGACGTGGTTAGTTTATCGTTTCGTAACGAAGTTCGAGAAAAAGAGAAAAATATGTACAAAAGGAAAAATAATGACAAATATGTAAAGAAACTGAACAAGCAACAATAAGAAGAAAAACAAGATTAGGTTTAAAAATATGTGCTTGAATATTTCTCGATATTTTTAATCGCTTTCACTTATTTCACCTTCTTCGCCTTCTTCATCTTGAGAGTTGGTTGTTTGTAATGGATTAGCCGATGTAGATTGTTTATTATACGATGAAGCTGTGGATAATTGACCGTCATTTCTATCACCGTGCACGGATATTTCATGTAATTGTGCTAATAGTTGCTTCCGTTCAGTACATGATTCACCTATATTTTGTTGATCTAGGAAACAAACTACTTCGTTGTTGATAAAGGATATCTTAAGTGATTTACCTGAGTTATTCATTTTCCTTTTACTATTAAAATCGTTCTGTTGAGGTCCAGTCCATCGACTATTATTATTGGAATTGCCTCCTCCCATTCCCATGTCTCGCTTACCGCCACCTCCGCCACCACGTCGCATGCCTAGATGATCATCAGATTCATATTTATATTGATTATAATTCGAATTTGAAGGATGTGGTCCCATATTTGACATCGCCATTGGGTGTGGTGGCATATCATATGGGCGAGGAGGTACAGGATATCGATTCATCGGCTGATGATGACCACGCGGAGCTGACTGCATCAATGGTTGAGGTAGTCCTTGTGGATAGTAAGGAGGATGCATCATAGGTGGATGATTGCGTTGGTGCGGGTTATGTGGATAATTATATCGGCCACTACCACCGCCGCCACCCGGTGGCTCACCTGAATGCATTAATGATCGATTCGGCGGTGGATAATACGAATGATTGGGTAATAGTGGTGGCACCGGTGGTTGTTGATGTCCATATGAAGGTAAAGGTGGGGGTGGCGGACCTGGTACAAGACCGCCAGTCTGTCGACCTGACGGCCATGGTGGTTGATGATGTGGATGTGAACGTTGCTGTTGTGGCGGCGGTAGTGGAGGTGGTTGCTGTTGTTGTCGCTGTTGCTGCTGATGGTGATGGGGAGGATAATGCATTAGAGACAGTGGATAGTTTGCATTAGTGCTTTCATTCAAATTTTGATCGTCATGGTAACTATCAGAACGATGCCGTTGATGATATTTATTGGATCGTCGTTTTGATGATCGATGTCGACTTCGACTATGGCGTTTACGTGACGATGATGATGAAGACGATGACGTTGAAGCTCGAGATCGGGATCGAGACCGCGACCGTGAGCGTGATCGAGAACGGGATTGGGAACGCGAACGAGATCGCGAGCGTGTACGGGACCGAGACCGAGAACGTGTTCTGGAACGAGACCGTGAACGAGAACGAGATAATGAGCGACTAGGAGGTGAAAGAGTAGTTTCTTTAGATGCAAACGAAGGATTCATTGAATTTTTTAATTCATCAATTAATGTCATCGATGTTGTTTTCAATGGACGATTCGTAGACGGTAATTTCTTGCTTGTATCTGCCGACGAAGCAGTCTTTGTTGTTGATTCAGCGATCTTAGAGACAGCTAAAAACAAGAAGCGAAGGAAAAACGTTTTATTATAGTTGATCAAGATGAAACCGTGTATTGAACAAACCTGTTCCGTTTGTTGCATTTTTACTATTGTTTAAATCTACGGTCGTATGATTGTTTTCACTGCTTTCTGATTGTGTTCGATGTTTCGGACTATCAATATCCATTGCTATACATTCAAAATCATCAACGGATGCCGATGCTTCAATGTTGTTGTCCTCGAACATTCCACCATTGGTAGCCAAACCTAATGATGCTTTTTGCTGACGTTTTAATAATTGTTCAGTTCGACTATCAATCGGAGGAGGTGGTGTTGTTGTTTGTGGTTCGTCAATTTTCAATAATTCTTCGTCGACTGCTCGCATATTTTGACGGAAAAATCTTAGAGCAATCGAATCATCTACTGGTTCTTCATCAGATGATTCCGACTCCCAAATATTGCCAGATTTATTTGTTGTCCAAGGATCTTGATGAGTGGTATGAGGTAATGGTGGAACTGATTGTGTATTAACCGAGTTTGTGGAAGAACTTGCTCGTAGCGGAGGTTGGTTGAGACGAGAATCATTTAATGATTTAGTTGATGGCTGTATCGATCTGGATGGAGGTGGTTGTGATAAAGGTGGAGACGGCGGAGGATACAATGTTGATGTTGGGCCCTATGTAACAATTTTAAAAAATCGGCAAATAGTAAGCTTTATTTCGAATAAAATTATTCTTTACCGGTGAGAGAGGTGATTGAGATTGATTATTGTCAAGGCCAACCGTACCAATACGAGAAAGAGTTGACGTTGATCGTGGATTCGTATCCAGTGCTGATGAGTAACGTTGATTAGATATAGCTGATTGTTTGGGTATATTTGCAGTTGTCTGGTTATCAAGATCTAGTGGTGGCAATGTTGATGGTGGTGATGGAACAAATGGATCGAAATCGTCGACGAAATGTTGAATTGGTCGACTTGGCCGCAATGGTGGTTGTGATACTGGTGGTGGTGGTGGTGAACGACGTTTCGGAGAAAGTCTTTGAGGTTTAGATGGATTCTTTTCTACCATAGTTGGTTCCTTTGTAGTTGTAACATTGCTACTAGCAGCAGAAAGATCAGTTTTTTTATCAATCGGGCTTTTTGATGCTGTAGGTTTCTCTGCCGACTTGAGTTTATTAGTTAGCTTTAGTTTGGGTATCTTGCCAAGTGTGGCAGCTGGTTTTTTCACTGATGATGATTCAGCTGTTTTCTTAGTTGTCGTATTCGAAATATCTGACGATTTCTTTTCTATTGATTTAGATGAAGATGTTATTGTCGTAGGAGTCGGTCGAACAGTTTGTTTGTCACTGTTGTTAGTATTGAGAGATTGCGGTTTATTAATAGGAGTCTTCAAAGGTTTCTTCACAGGAACCGATTGTGTGATTTTCTTTGAAGGTGTCACTGTTTCTTTTGGTGTCGATAAAGACCTAAAGACGAATAATTTCAGTAAACTGTATCAAAGCACTGTCTCTTTTATCATACTTTTTAATTAACTTTTGTTCCACTGATTTCGGCGTCTTTGTTGCCGGAGGCGTAGCTGTTGCGGTTGGCTTCGCCGTCTTTTTCGTTTGTGATGAAGACGGAATAGTTTTCAATCGTACTTTAACTTTTGATTGTTCAGTAGTTATCTGAGATGACTTATTGTTAGGTACATTATCATCATTAGACATCATCGACCGTGCTTCTTCCATGGAAGAATTTAATGGTGAAGATGAACTTTGACCGGTTGAATCACTAAAATCGAACTTGACATTTAACAGAGACTTAGCCGAAGAAAATATAGTTACGGTGTAGGATTTCGTTCGACAGAAATTGCACTTGGATTATTTGGAACGGTTGATTTAACCACATTCGTTTTTTTCATAGGTTTGGCCTTTTGTTGAACAGATTCTTCTTGATAACTTTCTTCACTAGGTGACGGGTTCGACGGTTCTGTTGCCGTTGTCAATGTATCAATTGATATCTTTTTCGACGCTTCATTCCTATCATCATTCAAAGGTAAAACTTGTTTGGGAATCGTAATTTTCGCTGATCTTATTGGTGGTTGGACAAATGACGGTTGATGATCTGGTGAATCTTCAAATGATGACGAATTCGATTGGTGATCATCATTTGCTTCTTCGTCATAGAAATCTTGTCGAGTACGATAATTTAAACTATCTTGAACTAATGGTGGCAATGTCGCAACAATCAATGGTTCGTCTTGATCGTCGCTTGCACTCGCTTGTTGATTATCAAGAATGATTGGACATGTCGGCGAGGCTTTGTATTGTCCGTCAATTTTCTGAATTTTTGTTTTGATCAACGCAGTTCGACCATTATTGTCTGTGGTTGAATGATGAGAAGAGATTGAACGTTTACGTAATTGCGCTGTTAATGCAATCGTGGGTGAACTTTCGTCCATTGGAATGTCGTTTATTTGTTAATAATACATACTGAAAACCGCAAGAATAGATAAAAAAGAAATGAGTTCGATGCCGAGTTCTTACCATTTAAATGTAAGAACTGAAGAAAATAAAAAGGAAAATGATGTTGTAGAATTCTTTTGAAGAAGATTTTTCATAATCTAGAAAAGAACAAACTAATTTTACTCTTCGTAGAGTTATTAGTATTATCGAACAAAAATATTTCTATGGATATATTTAAACAACTGTTAATGGCTGTTTTCTGAAAGCTAATTCAATCAATGATTGAGTTTGAATCCATAAATCTTCTGTCAATTTATGATTATAAACAAATGAAGATGGACAACCTTCATCGCAGTTATTGTAATAAATGGTCGGCTCTTTCAAAACTCGTTTCGTTATAGCACAATAGATTGGCGTTGCAGCTGCTTGTTGCTAAATGAGAAATGGAAAATTAATTGGTGCGGTTCGTGTCAAAATCCTACGAGTGATTTGGAAAATGGACGAGTAAGTAAAACAAGAAATTGGTAAAAATAAGAATGACGTGTTAAATTGGAATTGATTGCATTGCCCGGATGGCAAGCCACTGAGTAAATTTCTAAAATATAGAATAAATGTCGAATTTGAAGTTCACACTGAACGACTAACGTGGATAATTTCGACGAAATTCAGCGATGAACATAATTAAACAAAGTTTGGATTGTCCATAGGATAGCAGATGATCAAAATGATGCGGTGAGCGTGGACTCAGCCGATCGGTAGTGATTCCATTTATAGTTGAAATCCCTGGACTTCTGAAAAGAGAGAAATGACATTATTTGAAAGTCAAATTCATTTGAGTATTATTACTCTATTCGGTGGGATTCACAGCTGATTGCGATTATACGCGGTGGTTGATCGCTTTTTGTCACTAACATAGATGACAGTAATCCAGCGGCCAGATACGTTTGGGCCAAGTAATTCACTTGAAACATTTCTTCGTAACCATCTTCTGTTAGTTTAAAGGTTGTATTTAGAACACCAGCATTCAGAATAAGGAGATGCAATGGTCTAGAAATAGCACAGATTGTTTCGATGAAAAAGATTCGGTCAAGGCGTGTACAATGCCTCCTGTCGATATTGTTCGACGAATTGTTTCACACCACGTAATGAACACAAGTCAAGTCTACGACAACTAATATTTGCATCCTCCTGAAATATCAACAAAAGGCGAGACAATGAGATGCGATTTGAAGCACTCGTCTTACCTTTTCTGTCCGTATTTTTGAGCAAGCTGCCTCGCCTTTTGTCAAATTTCGGCATGCTAGTATCACTTGACAACCATGCTTTGCTAATGAACGTGCGATTTCAAAGCCTATTGAAACATACAGATATTCTCATTTTCATCCAGAAAAATATTTTACCTATGCCGCTATTAGCACCAGTAACAACTGCAGTCTTATTCGTTAGATCTGTTCCATAAAGGATCTGTAATGCATTCGACTGGTGCCCAAATGACGGGTCCAAATCTTTCGTTGATGTTTGATGTGAATCTACCGTCGCTGATCGTTTCTGATGTTCACTAAACAGCAGCAATTCATCTATTGAATAATTCATAACTGTTTATCATACTCGACGAAGACAATCTTCGTTTTCTGTTCACCGGATTCTAAATGAAGAATAGCTGCACGATAATTTGTCAGTGTTAGACAAACCTTTTGGAACAACTTTGATTTTCTTTGTGATCGGATGTTCCCATTGAGTTTTTTGCGTCTGATGATTTATATAAAACACGCGTCCATCACTTGTCTGTCCGATTTGCCAGCCGGTAGGAAGCTCATCATTATCTGATATATCAGTCATTCGTTTTTCAAAATACAAAACTTCGATCTAAAAAAAACAAACGTTCTTATTTTGATCCGTACTAAAAGAAAACATCACACAACGATAACAAAGAAGAAGAGTAAAGTGTTCATTTCGTAGAAAACAAGACTGTGTCTTTTCATTTTCACGAGCGCTTTTAGTTATCCTTGTCAACCAAAACACCGGAATCTTGAGGTTCTTTCTTTGTTGTTCCCGAGTCAGAACTATTCGCAGCAGGTTTCGATCCTTGCTGTTGTTGATTTGGTCGTTCATACGAAAAGTGAATATCATGCTTTTGTTTATAATTGGCTAATTCCTTGGCTTTGTCTTCTGTTTTTTGTTTAAAACTTTCAATAACATTGTGAATTTGTTCACGATTCGCTTGTAAGGCTGGAACAACTTCTCCGACAGTGTGTTCGATAAGAACACCGCCGATCATTCGATAACAACGACGCTGTTTATCCGTTATTGTTGATAAGGTTGACAAAACGAGATCGTGTTCTTTTAAATCCATTTCTAAATCTTGAGTCTTTTGTACTAATTGAGTTTGTTCATCACGTAATGCTTGAAAACCCGAAACAATCTTCTGTTGTTCCTCAGCTGTCAATGCTGATTTCTTTCCAGTTGATGAAGTTGTTTTACTAGCCATCTAAAACAAAAAGCTTAAAATCAATATGAATTGAATCAGCTGAAATCGACAACGACAAGTCATGGATGACATCATATCGAAAAAAACTTTCAAGAGACAAACAAACAAGAAGAGGAAGAAACAAACACATCTGTTCAATACCAATCAGATTGTCATTGGTAACCTCTAGATATTCTTGAAGATTTTTTCCTTTTTAACGAATATTTTCAGTATGAATACATTTGAATGTGATATAAATGAAATTTTTTGCTTTGCTTCTAACAGATGTCGCTAGTTGAGGGTGGCCGTTGTCAAGAGAACGGCTTGTCCTTTGCACGCTGTTTCGTATGATATTTAACTACTGACAGAAGATTGGATCGGATCGGATTGTGTTCATACATTTAATGATCGTAGATATTTTCTTTTCCTCATAGGTGTCATATTTCTACATTTATAAGTAACAAATAAATCGTTCAATGCAGCATCTCTAATAAAAATCAACAGCACCTCACCATTTGGAAAGGTATTCTGTCTTGGATACTATGGAAAAATAATTCATTTTGAGATACTTTCCAAAGAATATAAGTTGACGTATTTATTTATATTTATTTACTGTTCTCCACATCACTACCCCATGCAGATATCAGAGCCATTGATATTGTTTCTACGAAGAAGCATACAAAACACAAACAAATGACAATACTACGTGAAACGTTTCGGTAAGAACACCGAAGACATTTCTCCTTGTTTATTTTTCTTCTGTAAAGATACATTGCACCTGAAATTTTTCGCGCTGCAACAACATTGAATTATTCTTAGTCATCCATCTTCTTCTCCCAGTAAGTACATCCACAGTTGTCATTGTACCTTCAACAGTAACTACAAAAATATCTGGTCATGACGAATCATGGAATCTGTGGCCACTGGGTGTGGTTTTATGTACGATGTTTCGTGAAGAGGTGCCACTCATTTCAATCACAACTCATCGAACAGCTGAGCGACTTTTTGAAGATACAGTACAATCAAAATTATTCTATGATACACCAGCCTAGATGAATGTAGCTCAAATAGCAAAAGATCTTGTCAAAGATTGATTAACAATTGATCCGTCGAAAAATATCGCTTCGTGGTTTTTGTAGATCGACAGTGCATGACCATTTGATGAAGCCTAACATTCTTTGTCAAGTATCTTGATTATAGATTATAAGATTTTCTTCTATTGTTAAATTTCATGATGGAATAAATCAATAAAATTTCTGCAAGGTTCTTGTTGTCAAAATAATGATGCGTGCATTTCAGAAAGCCGCTCAATTTTAACCCCTTGAGGACGGGATTATTTTTAAGGGAGCAAACAAGACTTTAGACACTCTGGTGGATGCAAGAGACAATGTATGCGAAGATAAATAAAAAAATAGACGATACATGATATCGGCGGAACATGACATAACGAAAAAAGAGAAGTGATGAATACAAGTAGCGTTCATCCGTTGGATTCGCTGGCCTTTATCTGAAAGTATCAGAAAACTAGTAGATAAAAGCTCTCGCTCAGGTCTCAATCTAATCGGCTTCGAATTTAGGTCACTTTTATGCTCATTCTTTCATTTTCTGCTTCATTCATCTCAGATTACTTTCAATTTATTTGTCCAAAGACGTAAACAAAACGAATAATGTTTCTAAAAATTTATTCATCGACTCTCGTCAGACTACCCAAAATAAAAAATCAATTTACTTTCACTTATTTTATCTTCTGTAAGTAACGCAAATAAACGCCTAGTTGTTCATTGGTCGGCCACTTCGGCTAGCCGTTTCCATGTATTTTCCTTTTTTTCCTTTTATTCAGATGAAGATGTTATCCGAAAAGAAGTCCGCTCTGGAAAATCAATCCATAATCGAAAACGTAGGAACTTCACATAGGTATACCGCCCTCTGCTAAAGGTTCCGTTCATCTCTTCATTACTGGATACCTTAAAAAGTTGCCGGATATGTTCTTGCGAATCGATGATTAACTTCTGTCTAAAACAACATTTGTCAGGAGAAGTATTATTTTGAATGGTTAGCATAAGATAATGTTTGCGTAATATAACTGTTTGTATAATTGTGATGTTATCAATGTGTTGATGTGTATGAATATCCAACAATCCGACGTTAATCAGCTATTTCGTTTTGTTCTACATATTGCTGTTTCAAACAATATCGTCTAAGAAAAGCTTCCTTGCAAAAAATTGTCCTTTGTCTAAAAAAACAGCACAGAACTTTTTTATTGAAAAACTAACAACGGATTCGAGGTCTTGGATCCAGATTATCCTTCGGTCAACCCTTACTCTACAACCAAAAAATATTTCATTCTTTAATTAGTAATCAGGTAATTGGATTTTCGAAAAACTAATATCGGATTCGAGATCCTCGACCTCGATTACCTCATCAGTGGTCAATCTTTGATGGCTATAGATAAATTTCATTGAGTTATAATATGCTGCAATCTGATTTGTTTATGCAAACAGGCAAACTAAGTGCCCAGGTCAACAAATCCGATGCTGGATCCGATCGGATCTCACCGGATCCGACCATCTCACAAAATCCGATCGGATTCCTGGAAACGGAATTGCATTGGAATCCGACTAGAAAAATCCCGTCGGCTGTTGCAAATTTTATGAGCGATCTTTTTAGCTATGTTCTATGATGACCCTTAGAAAATCCAGGAAATTCATGTTTCGGATCCGAGACGGTCGGAATCCAATGCGATTCCGTCACCAGGATTTCATCGGATCCGTCGAATTCCTGTAGGATCTGATAAAATCCTATATTGGATCCGAGTATGGGATTGTTCGACCTGGATATATGCATTTTTATGATTGTATTTATCACGCTATATAACCCTTTCTTTCAGAAAAGGAAACAATGAAATGTTTTATAACTGCTCATGATTGAGCAATGTGATCGTTCTTTTCGATAATATTAAATCATTTTTTTAAAAGTAGAACATTACAAGCCACGCACCTCTGAAACGCAAAATAGACGCGTCCTAACACGCTTATGCGTGTTTTCCATAGTTGATGTATTCAAACGCATCCGAAATGAGAAACCCTTTTCCATCCAGGATCGAGTCATTGACAATCCTAAGGAGAAAACAAGACTTCTTCTACTTCAATCAGTAGTTGAAATGTGAAGTCTCGCTTTTCCTCCCTTCAGTAGAATTCGCATAGGCAAGTATACCGACCTCACCTTTCCAAAAGCTCATTTCTTTCATTCTCAAGAGTAGCTATAAAAACCTGAACAAATCCGTCTCTATAGAAAGGCCTCTATGGCTTCCACATTAATTTCGGATAGGATTTGTCAAGCGTCGCCGACCCCAACCGTAAGATTTACCCTTCCTAACAACAATCATATTAGCAATGTTCACTATCTAACGACATTCGATGTGTCAACTTATCGCCACCTCGCTCATAGAAACGTTCTTTGCGCATTCTAATGGAAAGACGTCGATAGAATGCTTCTCTAAAAAGTTCTATCACTACATATGATTTTGAAAAAAGAGATGAATTTATTTTATAGCACGAAAAGAAGAGTGCTGCAGTCCATTTCTCACACATTCCAGGTTTCTTGCGTACGTTAAAAGGTGCGGATTATTTGGTAACATTGAACACTTGGCAATTTGAACAGCGCGTTCACAATAGAAGTGAGCTTTTGGATAATCACCCATATTATAATACACCATGCCTGTGTTGTTGTAGGACGTGGCTATGCTAGGATGGTTTGCAGGGAGTGATTGTTGTTGAATCGAAAGAGTTTTCTCATAGTATTCGAGTGCTTTTCGATAATCACCCATATTCTTATACACCATGCCTATGTTGTTGTAGGATGTGGCTATACTAGGATGGTTTGCAGGAAGTGATTGTTGTTGAATCGAAAGAGTTTTCTCATAGTATTCGAGTGCTTTTCGATAATCACCCATATTCTTATACACCATGCCTATGTTGTTGTGGGATGTGGCTATGCTAGGATGGTTTGCAGGAAGTGATTGTTGTTCAATCGAAAGAGTTTTCTCATAGTATTCGAGTGCTTTTCGATAATCACCCATACTGTCATACACCGAGCCGATGTTACCAAAAGATGTGGCTATGCTAGGATGGTTTGCAGGAAGTGATTGTTGTTCAATCAAAAGAGTTTTCTCATAGTATTCGAGTGCTTTTGGATAATCACCCATACTGTCATACACCGAGCCGATGTTACCAAAAGATGTGGCTATGCTAGGATGGTTTGCAGGAAGTGATTGTTGTCGAATCGAAAGCGCTTTCTCATGGTATTCGAGTGCTTTTGGATAATCACCCATATTCTGATACACCGAGCCTATGTTGTTGTAGGATATGGCTATGCTAGGATGGTTTGCAGGAAGTGATTGTTGTTGAATCGAAAGAGTTTTCTCATAGTATTCGAGTGCTTTTCGATAATCACCCATACTGTCATACACCGAGCCGATGCTACCAAAAGATGTGGCTATACTAGGATGGTTTGCAGGAAGTGATTTCTCAAGAAGCACACGTGATTTGGCATATAATGTTACGGCTTCCTCAAACAAGCCTTGTTCGTATCGGATACAACCAAGTTGATGATAGATCAGTCCCGCATCACTGTCATCTGATGTTTGGTTGAGTAAAGCAGTGTAAATCGGCTCAGCTGTGTCATGTTGACCTAGCTGAATCAGCAGTTGGCCTAATGGCGTCCAACCTTTACCATCGAGATGGCTCTCGCGACGAATATGAGCAGTCAGTGTGCGTAACTCTTCGTCAGAATCAAGAGTCAACGAGATATTCACTTCATAGAGTGGTCGATCAGTGTCAATGACTTTGATGTCATGTATGCGAAACACGGTGTGCATTGAAAACAAGAGTTCGCTTTCTTGTAAGAAACGACCATGATTCCCAACAAAGGCAAACGGTGTTGTTGACTGAGAAGGATCGACCTGTATTGTGAAGAGAATTCCTACTAACTTGGGATTGTTTGCGTTACTTTCCGCGTAGAGAGACGAGATGTCACGTTTCGTACTGGTAGAGAAGAAGCTGTTGAATGACATCAATCCGCCTTTTGTGTTTCTTAGTTCTTCAAAATCTGTGTGAGATAGGCCTTGTCCGCGATATACTGTAAACACAAGAGAACTCCAAGTTGTGTTAACAAACTGTTCTTTGTGTAACTGTTCAATGTTGCGATGAAGATCAGTGACGAAGAACCCCATTCGAACTAAAACATCACCATCCATGATTCGTAGCGCATCGTTGAGCATGGAATGCAACGAATTATCTCTTGTGTACCACCAGATGGGTTTCTTTGCACGATAATCACGTACTAATTGCTTAACATCAGTAGAATGTGTACCATTGAGAGTGATTAGTCCAGGATGATGCTTGACAAACTCTTCGATGTGTTTGTCTTCGAATTCGATGGTTAACAAGATCTCTTTGAAGAGTTGTGTGTACATGAAAGATGGATTGAGCAGATCCAGTCTTTTGCCAGATGGTACAAAACTGATTGGTGTGACATTGGGCTCATCTTGGGGAAGTGTGTTCTGAATGGCTTGGCAGAGTGATGTTATATCAGTGAAAACATCTTTGATCTTGTTCCAATGTTTAGCCCATTGTTCATGGTATGATTTGTTTTGACAAAAGATGAAAATCGAGTGTAATAGAGGAATGTCGTGGATACAACGAACAAGATATTGTCCAAGTGCACCAGAAACGATTAGATAGACTTGATGGTCATTACAATTGAGTATATATTCGACACATTCATCATTATCCGTGAATGTAGTGACATTGTCAGTAATGTGTTCAAGTTGTGCAATTGTTAACTGGCAATCAGCATTATTATGATCAATATGATTGTCGAGCCAGATCATAACGACGTCTTGCATTTTTTAATATCGACCGATCGCCGATTGTCTACTGTGCTGAAAGTTCTGATTGTTGTTCTCCTAGTTGTTGTTGCCTTCACTCACTCTGATTTGATGCTCTGTCGGTTAAAGCACAATAAAAAGAGTAGCTTCGTTGGTAAATTTGTGTTTTTTCTTCTTTCTACTGCATTCACAGAGTTATCTTTTTTTATGCAGAACAACGGAAGAACGATAAAAACACGCCTGTAGAGAATACTTTTGTTGCTATGCAAATATTGAAAATGTGTAAAGAAAGTGTTTACTAAAAGACGTAATTTAACTGAAATAAATCGAAACAGCTTCTATTTGCATAACGCCCTTCTGTCTGCAAAAAAGTATCATAGAGAAGTTAAATCTTATATTTGCTCGACATGCTAAAAGTCTATTCGTCCTAGTGGATCTAAGTGTGTCCGTATCCGTTCAAAAAACGAATGATGAGATGTTGTTGTAATCGGGAAACATGAACGTTCGTTCAGCTTTTCTTACGTCTTGAACCAAATGTGATAAAATGAGCTTTTGCTTTCGTAAATGTATCGTTTGTTGTTAAATCTGATCGGGAAGTAATATTAATGTTGAAAAAGGTCTACTTCGAAGAGATATAAGTCTGAAGTTGATTTTGGCCGCTGCATTTAAGATCTCTTAATAGAGTTTTAGCAGAAATGGACAAAAAGCAGGCATATAATCACCACAGTCATCGACTAAGTATGAATGAATTTGCTGATACACAAAGAATTGTCTTACTGGCACATGCTCACTGTGTAAAAATTCATACAATGGCACTCTCTCATTTCAGTTTTATTTTGAAATATTGTCGATAAACTAATCCACTCGATTCGAGACAATTTTTATCCAATCCTTTTGTTCATCAATAACCTAATCTATTTGATTGACAAAAACGACAGACATCTATTCTATATGATATGATTGATCACTAGCTTCATGCGTTGTGTATGTCTTAATTGTATATTGATTTTCGATGGATTGAAGACAAATATCTTTCTATTATTTCATTGATCCTGTTATTTATGCAGATGTATGATGCATGCCACTTACAAAGTCTTTTGGATACGAAACAGCAACAGTTGATCCAGCTGTCGAAGCAGGTAAGATTGGAACAGCTGTTGCTGTTAACTATTCAGAATACGTTTACATGAGATTGAATGAATAGAGGTGAAAGGGAGAGAGAGAGAGTCTTACGATTACGAGTGTGTTGATCAAGAAGAGAAAACCAAGACTTGGTGTACTTCAGCTGATATCTGAAGTAAAGTGAAGTACGGGTGAATAAGTTGAAGTCTGAAGTCTCGCCTTTTCTCCTCTGGAAAATCCGTTTTCAATAATGATTTCTTTTAAAAACCGACTTAATTTATTCTGTTAGATCTTATCTTTTTTTATGTCGAAACTGTTAGTCTGACCATTCGGCATTACCTTCTGCCAATTGTTATGGTCCCAATTCATGAGAAGGATTGACAGGCTTTCTAATTGGAAAACTTGGTGACACAGACTGAAGCTGTGAGAATAGGATGCTTTTTTGGGCAAAAATCATAAACGTAGCTGAATGCATGTGAACAACGCGTCTGGGTGCGTTTATGTTCTGCGTTTCAAACACGTTTATACTAAAAAAATTTCACATGGGGAGGACGATTTATGTAGCAGACGAGGTTCAACCTTACTCAACTGGATTCAATTAGATTTGTTTTATCTGATGAAACACCTAGTTGAACAACAAGTAGCGCTTATCTGTTAGATTCGCTGACCCTTTTCTGAAAGAATTAGAAGGTTTTTTTAGATAAAAACTCGAACATATATCCCACTCTAATTCGCTTCGAATTAAAGTCACTTTGATACACATTCTTTTCGTTTAGTCCTTTTCTACTTTATTCAAGTCGAACTACTTTCAATTCATTTGTCCAAAGATGTAAGCAAAAGGAACACTGATTCTAAACATTTATTAATACTTCAGATATAACAGGCCATGAGAAACATCCATTCACAACATTCAGTCACTATTATTCATTGGCATTAGTAAACGAAAAATTCGACAAATAGAGCACAATAATTACTGATAGCTAGGATCCTTTCTTTTTTTTCACTTGTCTCAATAAGAACAACTCATTCCTACATTTTTCTGATCTTTTCTACACACCAGTTTTGTTTTTGAAAATGTTACTATTGTGCGTGTTGTTAGTTAAATCATGCTTGATTTTTATCTGCATGTGTATTGTATTTGTACCAGTATTGCTATTATTTCAAACTTTTTTTCCCCATTTTTTGGCAATAACAATAACAGACAACGAAGATTGAGGGAGAAAGTAGATACGTAATACGAGAAAAAATATTCTTAGTGAGTTCTTTCAAAGTTAAGAACAATATTTACATACTCAAATAACGATAAGAGTACGATGGCTTGATTAATAGCCTATGTCAAGCACAAGAATATTTATAATCCTCTTTTGTGCCGTACAGGGCATGTATTAATAATTATATAAGAGCTGAATGAGGTACTCAATGTATCTGGATGATAGCGAGATCCATTGTATCAATACACGATTGTTTACAATCTGATCTTATATTGTATGTTGTTGTTTACTGGATTTCTCCGATCATTTTTAGTCGGACATGATCGGTTAATTCTATTTAGAAGGGGAAAACATATTGCACCACACCAACATGTCGTCATATCTATGCACTTTTCATCAACACTTGTGTCAATACAACTTTAAAAAACTATATTCATCAAGCTGGTGAATCAATCCTTCGTTCGCGTGGATCTACTGTTATAGATATTCCTATATTTTTTATGTGGTTTCTCTTGTAACGAATGTATATGTTCTTCTACATTGAACAAAACTCTTGATCCACAAAGTTGCGTTTCTTCCTATACTATTATATTTAGTCAAATTTTACCATTCATTTCATAGTTGATTCACACCGTTCTTCTCCGAGAACTCCTTACTGTCAGTTCGGATAACTCTTGTTTAATTCGCCATGTTTTATGAATTATTTGCCTATTTTCTTTCACAGGGATGGAAATTGGTCTCTAACTTAAGTGATTGTTTTTATTCTCGTACAGTTGAAACTCTTCATTTCACACTTATACAGCCGATCGCTATTATTGTTTTTCGAGCAGCAGTTTTTGACGCCTTTGAAAAGTTAGTCGAATATTATAATATATCGGTGATAAATACTGATGTTCCCAAACGTTGGCAAGACTTCGTCTAAGGTCTCAGGGAGATACATGACTTTCGGCTCGTTTAACTCTGAATGACTTTAGTCTGTTTTTAGTTTTACTGTTTTCATTCGTCGCACTACGCATTTTTGTTCCACACATTTTTCGTATATATACACGACATTTATTTCTCTTGTTCATGTAAATAAATAATCTTCGTTTGCCGAATTTACAATTCATTTTGAGAAAGACATAGGAGGAGGGCGAGAAAGGATGTGTAATAAGAGAAAGGCCTCTCAACTAGTACTAGGCGTTTAAAAGAGAGTTTAGATTGTGATCAGAATAATCAATAGTCTGTAAAAGAAACGAGCATATTTGCTTAATAACAATCGGATTGTTAATGATAAACGTTTAAATATTGGCAGATAATTTCGACTTTCTATCAACATTTCCAGTAAGACACGTTTGAAAGAAAGAAGGATAAGCTCAGATTATTGTCGATAGATGTCGATAGTCGAATGTGGTCGTTGTCAAGAGAACGATTAAGTCGATGGAATATGGCAGACCAATAAAAGAATTGTCATCGATTTAGTACAAAGCTCAGTGCCCTCGATTGAAATTATCATGCCTGAAGATGATTTTGATAAATCGTTTTCTACTCTGATATCAAAATTAGGTAAAAGAAAAAGAACTTCAAATGAATGTTTTTCATTTCATCTTTCTTAGGTCATCCTGTAGAAGAAATTCGTCTTCGTGCATTGGAAAGTCTTCAAGCGAAACTTGATTTAAAACTAGTTTCTGATATAGATATTCTGCAATATAAGTATCTTTATATAAAATTACTCGAATGGTTTAATTTCCCATCACCACCTAAACGCGATGTAGTTCTTGATATTATTTTGAAACTTTCAAAAGTAAAACTTCTTTTCTTTATCGAAGAAATCGAATACATCGGCTCGTATATTTAGAATGAATCAGCGGCGTATAATCTTCATTCGATCGGTGCTGTGGAGTTCTTTAATGCACTACGAATTGATTTAACACCTGAACTTGAACGTCGTGTCGATGAAATTCTCGAAAATATTCTTTCAAAGCATTTTGTTACGCAATCAGTATCGAATATAAGTCGAGCAAGTTCCAGTAAGATAAAATTCATTTCAAACGTGTAATTAGATCATGTCTATTTACTTAGCATCATGTCAACTCTTGAAATCAAACATGGAAACGCAATCAGAAACATCGACAATGTTTCAATTACCTTTGTTGAACTTGAGTCAACAACAATCAGAGTTATCTTCGCGTCGATATGATTCAATGAGTGTCCGATCACAGTCGATATCGAATCAATCGGGAACACGAGGAATATTAAAAATGATCGCACCATCGGTTTCGGACCTGTTATCGACATTTGGAGGTAAGAAAAACAAACATTCGTTTTTCAACTCACCTAACAGACGAAGACTTTTCGTCTAGACAATGACAATCAAACAACATGCCAGTTTATAACGTTATTTCCGATGATTAACTTAACACAGTCCGATCGAACTGTTCTTACAAATTTAGAAAAGTAAAATCTTACACAGAAAAATGTTCTTTTTCATCTGATCATTTTCCTTTATATAGTGCATTGTTAGCGCGTGATGATCCGTCGACTGTTGTTAGTCATTGCCATTTTCTCTCCAACGTCGTACTCAATGATTTTCCTGCCGAACTCTTCTTACAACGATCGTTCATTCTCAAAGTAACTTCTTTGTCTGATGTCATTAGTAGAAATTGAACTCAATCGTTCGTCTAGCGTTTACTTGGCTTAATCAACGAAAATGATGAAGATCTAATCAAAGCATCACTTTCATGCTTAAAAGATTATGCCAATCATTTACAAAGACGAATTAAAATCTTGCGCGATCCCGCTTGTTTCTGTCCGAATCTTGATCTAAATTCCGGTACACATCATCATCTTCTCATATATTGATCTCAATCTTTCTTCCATCTAGACACTCCCAGAGAACAAATTCATGATGATTTCAACAATACTATGAATAGTGCTCGATCTGTTTCTACAATTAATTCAGCTACATCAAATGGTTATCGTCATCCATCTCAATGGTGCGATTAGCTTTTTTGAAAGATTTGTGAAAATCATTCTGATTTGTATAGGTCGCTGAAATACGATGAATCACCTCAATTAGATCCACCATCCTCATTCGATATCCTCGATTTTTGTTACACAATTCTTACAGGAACATTTGATTTGTTACGTCGATTAACTTTGAAAGATTGTCTTCATACGTGTTTACAATTAAACAATTCTATCTGTCAAATCATCGATCTATTTGTGAAACATAACTATGGATTGATGAATGTATGAGTCACATCTTTTCAGGCGATCTCTGACATAATTTTGTTCTAGTTTGAATATTATTCAGTGTTGTTTTATCGTTTACATTCCTTAGTCAAACAGCAGATCACAAATGGTTATACTTTTCAAAGTCGAACAATCTATACGCATAGTCTACATGTTTTCTCAACACTTCTACATACGATTGAGTGGACTGATGAGGTACGGGAGTCTCCTATTATTTTCCCATGTGTCATTCGACCTTTTGTGTAGATTGTCGGACAATTATCACCGGAATTCAATGAATTAGTTTATTATATTCTGATGGACGAATGTTTTCATTTGTCTTACCCACATATTCGCGAACGACTATTAACAATAGCAGAAAAAATTGATACAGATAATTATCAAGTCTATCTCAAATCTAATGATGTTTGCGGCTCATTTGCTGCAGCATGCCAAGTATTAACTCTGGATGGTGACAAACCTCAAGTAAATTGTTTGAAAAGCTCGCACGAATTGATAAATTCTCTAACCGTATTTAGAATTTTGTACCTATTATCAAAAATGCCGATGAAGCATTGTTAGGTTTGCCATATCATTTGAATTTCAATGTAATCAAACGATTTGTCAATATTTGTTCAAAAATGTAAAACTACTTTCCTAAAAAATTCATGTACCATGTTGTATTTTTAGTTCGACCAATAATTCACATTGTGATACAGCAGAGAAAACATTTGCAGTTGATATATTGATCAAATACATGACACATGAATTGGCAGAGATACGTTCGGCGGTTTATTCTTCTATTGCCATGCTAGTTGCAGTAGGTGTCGAAAGTTAGGAGAGATACAATGAGAAAATGTTGCTTTTGTAGAGTCGTTTGTCGGTTGAAGAAACAGTTAAAACGAACAAATTAAAGAAAAATTCAACGATGGCTGTGAATTATGACGATACGCAATTTGTGTTGAATATTCGAATCCTGACTGAATTATGCGTCAATGGAATGAATGATTTAGCAACAAAAGTAAGTGGAAAGTGGCTGCGGAATGAAAATTGATTTTGATTGACTAAAAAGGTTTCGGATTATTGTCGATTGATTCTTCTTCATCTTCTTCAATCAAAATTAATCGTCTCAACCGAATTTTGGAGTAATCTCATGAGTATTATCTCTGTCATTTTACCACAATTACAAGTAAAATCAAGTCGTTCTTTTAAAGAGCAGACAAATATGTGTCGTTTTAGTGTTACGGAAATAAAATTGATCCATTGGGTCAATGTATCTTAAGTTTATCATCTGATACCGAGCGAGAAAAAGAATGTTTATTAACTTTGAATCAACGTTTCCAAGCATCACTTCGATATTTATTCTCCAAAGATAAAGAGTTTGTGCTCATTGAAGTTTGACTTGAAGGTGCCTATTACTATTTATTTAGTATTCGAAAAACAGGTTATCGTCAATGTGTTGGTTACTTATTAACTAACACACGCATTCGTCTGGATGATTTCTATCAATTCTATCCAGCTGAGAAACTCTTTGATTTGTTCATCACTGCTCATCCAACTAATAACGCCGAAATTCTCACCAAAGAATATATTAACGTAAATTTGTTTTCTATATGAGAAAAAACTTGACAAGGAGACTCTGTTTAGGTTGAAAGTTTCCTTCGTGTTTATACAATTTTCACCGATCGTAATAAAATCGATGCGAACGTTCGTAAATCAGCATTAGAGCAAATGGCATCAATGTTAAGCGACCCATCATTGCATTCTTCATTTCTCAATCATGGTGGTTTGGAGAGAATTTTCGAAGAACTACGATTAAATGTTAAACGTGATGATCTTGTCTGCTCGGTAGGTCAGAATCTGTGTTCGATGTTTCTGATCGGATTATTTAGACTGATTATACATCGACGATTCCATCTTGTGCAAAAATTATTCGCTTGTTAATTCAATACAATCGAAATTTACAAAAGAAATTCTCTCTTGATAACGATGTACTCAAACTTCTATTCAAAAGTAAAATCCAAAACAGAATAATCATTATCTTTTAACTTCTGAATTTAGCAACTGTCTGTTGTCATAGTGATCTTGAAACGGTTTCAAACTTGACTCATGCATTTATCTTACTTCTTTTTGATCGCACCTTACTCAATAAATCATTATCCGATCAAGAATTTCAACAGCAAACATTTTCCATTGATTATCTTCTTGCAAAAAAGTAATTCATTAACAAATCCTTGTTTTTCATTTTTCCTTTTCAGTTTTCAATTTCCTATTCGTGTTCCAATTCAAACTTCTACTTCATCCATCATAACAACTTCACACAACCGTCCGGATCCTTTACGAGAACCGATTGTTCAACAAAAGTTTCGTTTTGTTTGGAATACACTATGGCATACCAATGCTCAACAATTAGACCAAGACATGGACACAACATCTTTCAATAATGACGATCAAGTCGAGTAGGTTTCTTCATTCTGAAGAAGATGATTTGAATCTGTTGATTTAGATTTGAAAACAATATGATTCTCAATGAAAACGATCGAAAATGTTTCTCATTAACTTATACACGGCGAACAATTCGTTTGCAATTGAATTTATTGAATGAATCACTGAATCACGAGTCAGTTATCGAGACTTTAAATGCGATTCGATGTCTTCTCTTACTTGTCACACATGATAATGTTCATTTAATCGATTTTAATCAACTAGGAGCGATACTTGACAAGTAACATCACTTGGAAAATCATTTGATTTTGCAGAGGAATTTATATTTAGATATTTCCAAATTATTCCATCATCTTCTCAAGATGAAAAACTTCTTCAAGCAGTTTTTGAACTTCTCGAGCAAATCTCCTATGGTTTGCATTTATCGAGCAAAACTGATGATCGTCTATTCTTCGATTGGTTTAAACACATTCTCTTAAATCCATTTTTATCATTGGTTTCATCGAACAAAGATTTCGGTGAAATGCGGCAAACGAAACGGTATGGAATCCGTTTAACTCTCATAACATAGTTTGATTTGTTTCTCGTAGAGATCTATTGAAGAAACTATTCCGCTTTCTCACATCGTTTTATTCGCATTCGAGTGTGACATCAGAATTTTTCACGGAAAAACTCTTCACAAACGTTCTCAACTACATTAAACAAAGCAGTAGTCATACATTTTCCAAATTAACGTTAATCACTGGCGCGATCGATGTTTTACATCAAATTACAACAAAGTAAACAAATTTGTTTTTCATTTCTCTCAGAACGAAAATCTCTTTTGATTAGATCGAGATGGTTTGTTATTTTCGACAATGAATATCTTCTACAGATGACTGATCTATTAATTGCTGTATGTAATTTTATTGATTATCATGAGAAAGCTTGTATTGATTTTTTGTGAAATAGGTGATTGAGATATTTCAAGAAGGACGGAAAGAAGCTACGTCAGGTTTTATGGCTCATGCATTGATACGATCCTCATCTCAAATGCTATTAAATGTCATATTAGCATTGAAGAGTACATTGTCGACGTCCAATCGTCGAAAAGAAATAGTTGAGAACATTTTATTGAGATATTTGTCGACTAAATTGAGATTTTATTTTAGACACTTTTTCAAGAATGGTTAGAACTATCGAGAACAACATTTGACTGGTTAAGAAGTCTTTGGCATTCAACAGACACAGAAATTCGAGCGACATCATATGCATTAACTGCAGTTTTGGTTAGCGATGAATACGGGCGAGATATATTCTTCTCTCTTCAAAATCGACTTGAAGAAGCACATTTACTTGGAATTATCCTTGATGAAGATGAATGTAGTTTAGTGAAAGAACAAGTAAGGATCTTTTCTTATTCTAAAAACATTTTGGTAATGTATTTTCATGTAGGTATGCAATGTATTGATTAATTTCACTTTCACATTGATCAATGATGAAGCAAGACTGGCAAGTGAAGTAAAAGAAAATGGAATTTGTATCGAGAAACTTGAAAGTGTTGTATTTAGAATTCGGCGATTACTCTTCCGGAATTGATTTCTACATTGAATGATTGTGATTTCATGCAACGACTTGGCCCGAATGTTCTATCCAATCTATATCCGTTCGTTGCTTTGGATTTAGATGCACTACGAGTCAATCACACAACTACATCGCCTGTTTCGCCATTATTCGTCGGAAATCTATGTTCATTTCTATTCAATTTACATCTCTTAGGCATTCCCACCGATACAAACGATTTAATCAAACTTTTCCTCTCGTAAGTCTCCATTCTAATTTCGAGTATGTCTATGTATCTTTCCTTTAGTTTTCTTGATGTCCGCCCATTAGAATCCAAGATGAATACGAATGTTACACATAGTGAATATCATTTATTTCTCGATAATATGTTTTACATGTATACGAAGATTGCTCAGTACCTGCGACTAATATTCGAATCGAAAGTTGAGAGTCTCAATGAAATGTTCAATCCTGAGAATTTAATTCAGTTAATAACACTTCTCGCTTATTTTCCCGAACTTGATCGTGACCGATCGGAGAATTTCTGGCAAACGAAAATCAATCTTGCTCATATGATCAATCATATTTTATTGCAACAAACATCATCGTTACATCATTTGATCAATCAGACCATCGTTCGGCACGCATCCACACTTTTCAGTAAAATTTTTTTCTGTAAAATTCAATAGAATCGATTTCTCATCATCATCGTTTTAGGTATTCTCACACTTCCTCTGCAAACTATGATCAATGGTTCGATTGGTATCGCGATATCTATCCTTCTTCAATTATTATCACTTTCCATTGCGCAATGTACATTGGATCAAGACAAGACGCTCTGGAAGGACTTCTTCGATCAATCCGCAGAAAAGAATGGAATGAAAATATTCAGTCAGTTGTTAATACTCTATGAAAATCGATTGAACACGGAATCAAACGATGCATTAAAACTTACAGTATCCAATATGATCAAATCTTTGTTAAATATCAGTGCCACTGCGAAACAAGAAGCAATTCAGAGTAAGATGATAGATTGATCGATCAGCTCAACAATTTTCATTTTGCAATTGTTTAGAGGGTTTTATTGAATCTCAAATTGATCACTTGAAACGTATTCAAACAAAATTAACTCTTTTCTCGTTACAATCAGATAAATGTGTTAGCAAAGTAAAGAAAATGCAAAGCATCTTTACATGATATTCATTTTTCTCATTCGACAGGATGAAGTTTTGCTCGATGAATGCGTTCAAGTCTTATCAATTCTCAACAATCTCGCTTTCGAATGTTCCATTGCTAAAGTAAGTCTTCCTAGATTATCTCATCTAGTTAACATTCGATTTCATCTAGGATATTCTTGCATCGAGCGGTCTGATCCCCTTTCTTCATCAATTGTGGTGTTGGGCAGTTGTCGATATCCAGCTATTAAGCGTTATTCTTCTCCTTTTAACCACTCTCACTGCTAAACATCGAAAAGGTTCGATTATTTTCCATTGAAATTCCTTTTCTCTATCCATTATTATCTGTCGGCAGGTGTTGTTAGTATATGCAGTACGGTTTTACCATCAGCGAATTCATTTGTTGTGCAAACACCGGATCAACAACGTCCATTATCGAATCTGCTTTCTTATGTTCATCGCCTACTGACGAAATCAACGTTGTTATCAGTGACCAATAACAACAATAATACGAATTCGTATAATAAAAATCAAACAAATGAAATGGCTTTTGATATTATACAAAATTGTTCGATGGAGATCGAAGGACGAAGTATTGTGTATAAATCGAACTTTTTTCAGTTATGTATTGATCATTTCGAACGTGTTTCACGTGATATTAATCGTTATGATCGTCGTTTTCTGGATGTTATCATTAATGTCACGTTTTTCAACGATGGCCAAGCAAGTGTGTTGAAAAATGCTGGTAAAAAAATCCTCATTCGAATTTAACTTGCTCTGTTTGTACGAAAGGAGTTTACTTTCTAGAATTATTTGCAATTATCATTCGTGTTGCTCATTCATCACCATCTCCTGTCTTGCAACGACAAGCCCTACTCATCCTGAGAAATTTAGCATTTTCAACAACGCACAAAGCAAGAATTGTATCAGAACGTAAGTTTCTTCTTTTTACTACGTTTTTTACTTCAATCGGTACTTAAATTTAGCGAAATACATTCCAACAGTGATGTCACATGTTGTCTCAAAGACATCGGATACAGCTTACATTGGTTTAACTGCCCTATGGGCATTGATTGTTGATGCTCAAAAGGTTGTTATTTTGATTTCATAATGAATTCGAATTGAATTTTGCTTGATGAATTTCTAGAGCAAAGTGATTGTGCGAAGTAGCAATGTCTTACCGGCTCTCTACGACATTAAAACTCAACAGCGGAATAAAGAAAATCTCATTTATTATCACGCTGTCTCGAATGTTATTCAACTATTGACAGAAGATTAGATTGGATTGTATTCATACATTTAATAATCGTAGATGTTTTCTTTTTCTCTTAGGTGTCCTATTTCTACGTTTAGAAGTAAAAAATAAATCGTTCAATACAACATCTCTGATAAAAATTAAAAGAATTTCACCGGTTGGAAAGAGCTCTGTCTCAGATCATACGAGAAAATAATTCATTTGGATAAATTTCATGGCTATTATGAAAATTGGACGTGTGAAATTTATTAGAAAACAAACAGGAATTTATAATCACAAAAAATTGACCATTGTTGTCGTTATTCGTCAATATACATTCAATTTTGTCTGTACAGTTATCGAAACACAAAAAAAATACATTCTGAATATTTACGTCGGCTCATCACTTAGGCTTTTATCTCTTTACTAAGTATATCAGAAACATTTTCTTTTTCTTCATCATTATGGTTCTTATTACCAGATGGTTCATGAGTTGCGATTGAATTCAATGGTAATTTCGAGATGGGACGATAATATTTCAACGCGTTATTCCATTCATCTCGAGGAAATCTCATATGAAATCCGAATTCATCTAAAATAACGAAGAGTTTCGAACTGTACAATTGCGCACCATCACTTACTATCATTTTCGTTCGTTTCATTTAATTTAGTCTAAACAAAATCAAGTTTGTATGAATCATTACACTAGATAATCAAGGACTTACTTGAATAAAATTAATAATTAAATCAAGTGACATTTCAGTTTGAAGAATCGTCCGTGTTGTTTCGCAGTCGAAGGAACAAGCAATCAGTGTCGGGAAAAGTATATCCATATATTTCGATTCGACAAAATAACGAAATGGTAAACATGATAGTTGTTGTAGAACAGTAGGCCGATTTCCAAAAGCCAAACGACACTGGAACGAAACAAAGATTTGTACTTTTTCAGCTGAGAAAATTCGGTTTACTTGATTATCTTGGTTTAAAACGCAATAATATCCAATGAGAAGGATAATTTGATTAAGAAGAGTGTCACTAATACTTGTTTGTTGGTGATTACAATAAGCGAGAATATAATTTGTCACATGTCGAAGTTGCAATGAAATGGTGTCTTCGCCGAGAACAGTCTAAACGAGAAATAAGTTCGTTTCGATAACAATAACTCCTCGTTTAGTTTTACTTGAAATGTCTCGAGATCGAGAATTGCAATTGTGTTCAAAAGAATTAAAGAATTTTGTACGATAATCAATGTTTTTTCATGTAAGGTTATCGTATGATGGTTGTCATGAATGATTTGATTGTTATTGTCTGTTTCATGAACGAGAATGCCGTAGAGTAAGAAGAATATTTCACAGAAGTTGGTTGATTTCATTATGTTCAGTACTTGAGCTGGATCATTGCTGGATTTCTTCGATGATTGACCAAACGGTGAATGACATTGCTTTGGCCGAGAAAAAAGTATCATTTGTTGTACGAGATTGAGTAGATGAGTTATCATATCTGGTAAACGTGATTTTGTAGTATTAATAATCGCTCGAGCTGTACGAAAGAATGTTGCAATACGATCCAGAACACCGACATTGGCCATATAACTAAACAAAGCACAAACAATGGTATTAAAATTAACTTTTAGTTTACCTGATGATGTCAGTTAAACAATTGATGGTTGATTTATCCTCATTGGTTTCCTTTTCGTGTTTTCGTATGTCATCCAGGATCGAATTATATATTGTCATTGAATTAGCAAGAACTTCAGCTAAATTGTTCACTAAATCAATTTGAGCAAGTTTTTCACTTTCATTGTGATCACCATTGATTGTTGTCACATCGTCAATATTTAAACCCTAAAATCAGTTTCATTGAATTCTAACAACGCGAAAGTGATGCAAACTCACAGTCAAATGTCGAACTAAACTTTCAATAAGCGTCAAAATCTTTCCGCTCTTTAGTATGTACAAGGCATTCTCGAGATTATTTTTTGTAGCGGCGCGATATACGGATGCGGCCAAAGCGATGAGACTGAAATTCATCAAATGAATTGATCTGAAAGTTTAGAAATGAAATTACCTTTCAGGCGCAAGAGCTGGTTTATGACATTCGGCACGTAATTCAATCATTTTTGTCAATGTTGAATAACCATTGAGACTGAAAAACACTCGTTGCTCCAATGGAGAATCCTGAATAACATGAATGTTTATATATATCCTTTGGTTGTCATTCACTCACCTTCTCGTAACCATGCGTGTCGAAAATTTTGACAAATTCAGTTAGAATTCGTTGACATGCTAAATAATTCGTCGTGTTCAATGGTTCTTTTCGAGCGGTTGTATTTAATGATTTTTCTAACTCGTGTAGAAAACGTTGAATACTGTAGAAGATAGAAAGAAAAGATGATTATTTAGAAGATATTCGTTCATACCGTGGTTTGTGAGTAGATGTTAAATGCGGTCGTTGAGCATTTTCAGCTTCGTACGCTGTTGAACTAGAGGAGATTAACAAAATCTACTAAAAAAAAGTGTCAAAACTTTTGAAATAAATACCGTTGAGTTATTCGAAGACGTAACTTTTTTGCTCGTTTCTTCATCGTATGTTTTCGTTCCTTATTGAAAGCGAATTCTTGTCGAACAATATCATCATTTGTCACTGTTGCTATACATTCAGTATTGAATGTATCCTAAGAATACAACACAATAATTGATCTTCAGTAAAACCTCGAAGTCACATACAATTTCTTCTTGTGTCGGTGATTTTTTCGTTCCATTTTCATTCTTTTGACTCGTTCGTTCGATTAATAATTGATTATGACGTGTTCCACGTAAATGTGTTTGTAAATGAAGATCAGATGCTAACTAGAAAAAGATGTTTCTTCCTCGCTCGCATTAACTAATTGAAAATGAGACTCACCAAAAGATTACAAAGCGTACAGCATTTACGAGTAGCAACCGGTTCTTCAGTTGCTGAAACAGCTGTTGTCGTTGTCGTTGCTTTATTGTCATCTTGCGGAGAAGTATGGTGATGAGAATTTTCCGCACTTGGTCCACGCATTGCACTCATTTCTACAGCCTTCCGACGGATTTCCTCGATTTGTGTCACATGTCGTCGATCACTTTCTTCTTGCTATTAAAAATATAAGCCGATCGATTCGAATGAGCGAGTAAATAGAACACGTACTTTTAATGCTAATTTCTTCTTCAGTTCGACTGTGGTAGATTTGAGACGTGCTACACGCTCAGCTCGTTTTTGTTGAAAACTCCTATGAACAAAACCAACATTTTGAACATCTTACGACAATTTTCTCAACGAACTTTTGTTTGGCGATTGCAGCTGTTTGTTTTTGTTTTCGTTTTTCATTCAAATGTTGTTCAATCATTTTCTCTTTTGTTTTGCGTTTTTCTTGCATTTCATTCAAACGTATTTGTCGTAGAGCTTCCAGTTCCTTTCGCCGATTTTCTGCTGCTAATTCCCGTTGTTTATGTTCATCATGTTTCTTCACTCTCTCGTCTTCGAGATACTGTTTAAATTGCTCTTCCTTTTGATAACGCTCTTTTAATGTCTGTCGACGGTTTTCTTGCTGTAATAATTTGATAAATGCGATCTCTTGTCCTTTCAAATCTTCATCACCGGCTTTTCGGGCTCGTAGTAAAAGTAAATATTGACGTTTCTCTTCAGCGCGATGCATCTTCATTTCAATAGTGGCTTTACGAGCCTTGATCAGTTCCTCTTTCCACTGGCGAACTTCATTGACCTAGAAGAATTTCAGATCGAAAATGAAGAAAGATTTTTCAGTACGAAAAGTTTACTCGTCGAGTTAATTCACGCATTTTGCGTGTGGTGGCATCTCGGAGAATTTGTCGGCGTTTTAGAGCTCGTGCTAAAGATGAAAACAACTTGGTGTGACAAATAATAGATTGTCTTTACCTTGTCGTTCAGCGGCTTCACGAAGAGTTTCATTGATTGGTCTAGCAGAAATTCGAAGTGTTTTATTTTTTCTTGTATAGTCAAGAAAGTTACCGAATGCGTGAAGGCGAAGAGAACTTTTTTTGTGCATAAAGAGTTTTTGCTCGAATTTTCCCATCGGGTTCAGAGTCAACTACATCATGCGATATATCTAAAAGACTTGTACTTTTTTCAGGACCTTCGCCTTGTAATGACATAAAGTACATTGATGTTTTTGTTGTCTAAATCGACACAAACGATCTAATACAGAACATAAACTGTCCCGAGTCTTTGACATACCGATAATTCACTTTCTTCTAATTCTGATCCATCATCACCACCTAATAGAAGGTCATCACTGACATTATTCAATTGATGTTCGAGATCTTCTTGTTCAGCCATCAATGAAGCTATAGTTCGCTCTTGTTCAGCTTCTAGCGCTGCAGTTAGTGATTCTTCTTGGTCAAAAGCATCAAATATTTGCTAAAAGATAGATTAACCACGCGAGAGTAGATGTTCGATTGTGTGAAATGAAAGAATAACGCTCTCTACTCACTCGATCCATGAAGTCAATCATTCCACGATGATTCGTCAACAAAAGTTCTTCATCATCATCTTCAGATGTGATATTCTGTTGTTTAAGTCGTGATGTTGATAGTTGATGGTAATATCGATGAGGTCGAGTATTATCAGTTGACTCATCTCGAATATCTTTTTCATCATCAGCATCTGCAGCTGCTTCATCTGTAAATATTCTTTTTGTAGATAGAAATAATTGATTCGGGCTGGGGGTTAATGTCATTGTGGAATCATTTGTTAATACCGTTGAAGAAAATAACGCGGGCAAGGACAGTAAACTCGAACTTTCAGTTGATTTTCGGTATCTATTCGATTTTTGTCTTTTGAAACGGTGTGTATCGAGTGTAGTCAGTGGAGTTACGTGATTTATATTCAAATTGATATCACTGTTATGTAAACGCTTCTGTCGTCGAGCTAAATCATCGGAGCCCAATAATTCATCTAATTGGAACAAGCAACAAGTCTGAAAGAAAGGATTTGTAATCAACTTACGATTGCACATGGATTGCGAATTTTCAATCGGTCTAAAAGTGGTAGAAAACGATAGTTAGATATCAAATAAATCTTATGGACACTATCAGCGAAAAGGTATCACACAAAAAAAAACAATCAGCGGATGTAAAGGCAGATTTGATCAAGAATAACCTGAAACGTGGGATATCTATCTGAAATGGATATGTGCTTGATGAGAGACTACGAAAGATTCTGAAAAGTAACGAGAACTTTTCAAATCAGATTTCGTCCAGTCGTTTTTCTCACCTATTCGTATCATCAGTTTGTCTATGCTGAACATTATCGATGAGAATTTCAAAATTTTTACAACATTGACAGAGGTATTGAAGAACTTCCTAAACAGAAATCGATGTTCTCATTCAAAATTCACTGAGACCTTTACTTGGCATTGCAAAGTATTATGATCTGACTCGCATGCTTGATAGATTTGTTCAATCGATCGTTTTAAGTTGTCGAATAAAAATATCCAATACCGCGAACGAAACTCAGGTCCAATCGAATTGAGATCACGATTATTCATAGTCCTATTGGAAACAAACATGGCACAACTTCATTTCTCGAGTTATCAAAACATTTCGCTTACTGATTCACATCTTGTGGTGAAGATTCTTGCCCTTGAACAGAAATATTCGTCATCTAGAAACAAAAAAAGATGTTTTCAACATTGAATCTGGATTAGGAATGTTTTATTCTTTCGTAAATAACGAACAGCACAAAATAACTAAGTTTACGACACAAAAATACAATCTTCGAATAGATATACTCATTCGTGCGATTCATAATGCACTATTACAACATAAAAGGTATAATAGAGAAAATCATAATCTGACTAATCATCAGGGTGTTGAAATAAACTGGCTAATCCATGATCTTCGTCCTGATCTGCATTGGATTGACGAAGGTATTGTAGAACCGGATGAAGTGCACGTTTCGAAAAACGTATCAACGGTGGCAAATCACTGAGTGCTAATGGTTCACGTTTAAACATTTGAGCAACATTTTGAGCCATTAAAGGTTGAACTAGATGTCTTAAAATATCACGTTTTTGTTTATCATTCAACGCTTTGCCATTCACTTGTTTCTGCATTTTATCACGATAAGTATTTACTTGTTCATTAGTTACTTCGGGAATTTCTACAAGAACACTATCAAACAGATTCGATGATGTCTGCTGGAATGTTTCGTACATTAACACAGCTAATGAAAGTAATATACAAGCAATGGGTTCGTTATCACCATGGATTTTTAAAGCACATAGAATATAAATGTAAAGTTGACGTAGAAAATCATGATTGCCATTGATAAGAACAGACAAATGTTTGATTAATGCATGGCAGATATGAGACAGTTTAGTCACTGAAGATGTGTCTGGCCAGGAAAGACCATCGAAAAGAATCAAAAGGCAATATTGACAAATACGTGATGATTCTTGTAAAATTTTCAAACCAAATTCACTTGGAACTTGTTGATTGCGATTCATCGGTAGGACTTTTCGTGTAACATTTTCGGTAGCATTCTGTTCATCTGTTGGCATGGTATCATCCATACTTGTTTCATCAATATCATTCCCATTCGTTGCTAACGGTCCTAGATTATTATTATTTAGTTGACGTGTTAGTAAACTTCTTATTACATCGATGAAATCACGCGTTAAGTAGCAAGTTACCTGGAAGGAAAGGATAGAAAATAAATTTGATTTTCGTCCGTAGTGATCGTGTTTATTAGTAGGAAGTCTTACGTACTTGTTCTTCGACGACTTCTTCTTCACATCGGTCTTGTGATTGATGGTCTTCGCCATTATTCACGATTGTATTTCCATTTGTTACTTTGATTGTTTGTCTCTCCGTGATGATTTTCCATTTATCTTTTAATTTTGTGTACATAAATGGAAGCAATGGTTCTAAAACTGCAATGAGAATTGTATTCGCCGGACAATGACGAACAAATGGGAGGAAACAGTTGCGAATCATATTTCGTACACGAAAATCTGGTAGATGATCAAGTGATGTGAACAATGTTGTGCCAATCGTATTCAAAGCATCATTGATTTGATATAAATCAGGTTTTAAGGTAAAATACGTTCCGATGAGAATTTGTAATCGATCAAGAAATGAAGAAAATCGATTGTGTAGACGACGATCGTTTTCGGATAGAGTCGTCGCTGTTGTTGTCGTTGCTAATGATGCATTATAATCATCGTTATTTTCTTGTTGAAGATAAACGGCTTTTTCCGCTTCAGTCATGGTCGAAAGAAAAGAAAATGCACCTTGTGCTAATGGCGAATTTGGAGCGTGTAAAGCATGGCAATAGGTTAATAATTTAAATACACAATTGGTCAATTGAAGATATGCTGGTGCAGCTGGATTACGAATGAATACTGTTCCTTCGAACGTTTCCTGATAACCGTTCGTCGAACAAATCGAAGGATCAGTTGGTAATACAATACGTCGTAGAAGACCGCAGAGAATATGAACACTGAGTAGAACGAAACGTTGATTATTGGTTGAGTTCGCTAAATCATATCATGAGATGAACTTTTAAGAGAGATGGACAGTTTCTTACCATCTGGTGTTGGTTTCAGTCCAATATAATCAATAAAACCTTGTATATCGTTGACATTCGTATTAAATTGTGTTAGAATTTGCGCGAAAGGTTCAACAAGTCCATTGATGTACATTGCCTGTTGTTGATACGATTGAAAGTAATTCAAAAGAATCGCTAAACATTCTACTAGAATACTCCATTGCCAACCAGCAAGTCGAATCGATTGATCTTTTGCTGTCTGTTGTTGAACTAAATTTTGTGTGACTTGAAATAAATCATTGAAGTAAACAAAGATTGAAGGACCATAATTCAGACATAGATCAATTAAGCAACTTGCTTGCTTTTGTAATGGGCTCATTTGGGATCCCAGATTTCTCTCTGTTGTCAAAACACGAAATAGATGTTCGAGAATTCGTTGCGTCCACGATTGTTCTCCGCGTGTAAAAACATACAAACATGTTAACAAACGTAGCGAGTATGCTACAAAATCGAGATTTTCGTGATCATTTATCGATAATAGCTGTTGAATCAATGTCTGTCCACGTTGACAAAAAGCTAATTGATCTGCATCTGAAAGGATATTCAGATGATTGAATACTTCCCGCGGTGTTAATAATGCTCGTGAATGTCGTTCGATTATTTGCCAATAGGCAATTAGGGATTCAAAAAGTAAGAGATTAGTAAGATTCGCTGGTTGAAAACAATAATCCGCGTAATCAAAACCGATCCGTATAGCTATTGCCAACTGATCATTGTTTTTACAAACATTATCAATTGATCGAATGAGAATCGTTCGATTTTTGCCAATAAATTTCTGATAATCAGATTCGTCTTCATAATCATAACGAATGTAATAAGATGCTATCTCTAACAAGAGAAAAAAAGACAGATTTATGTCGATCTGAAGTCGAATTCTTATTGATCACGTATCATTATAAACATCTCGTCTATTTTACAATCAATTTAAATATCAATTAAACTCATACAGTGTACAAGGCGAAATCAAGTATATCGTTCCGTTAATTAAACTATGATGTACCCAAGTCAACAGGTTCGCCATCGATCGGTGTGTACATAGATGTAATATACTTCGTGTCAATTTCGTTCGATAGATGACCAACTCAACTAAGTTGCTTAAGAGTCAATTTGTGTAAGTTCTTACCTTGTTCTTGATCTATTTGTTTGTAAGGTTGTTTAACTAATGAATGACATAGAGCTCGAAGAACAATGGGTGAAATGTTTTTATAGTCATTTTCTTGAAATATATTTGCTTTGAGTAATTGTAGCCACATCTGATAGCCGTACAACGATATATAAATACTCGGATGTTGCATTAATGCTATGAGAACTTGTAGAAATACTCCGTTGGAAAATTGTTCGGGTAGTGGCGTCTTCTTATTTGTGTCTTCTCCGCCACATAAGTAACATAACTGTTCACACAGTGCCGTGATAACCATTGCGTATTGTTTCATGAAATCATAAGTTTCGTAGGGTTGTTTGACTTGAATGGCAGAAAAGAGATCGTTGTATTGAGATCCAGATTGAAATAAATAAGGGTAGAGTTGAAGTAATGGCAAACGTTCTTCGTATTTTCCTCGACGATCGGAAATAACACTAAGAAATTCAGCTGCTTTCATTCGATGAGTTGATGAGTTTAGTAACAGAACGATTTTATCGATGATTTTCGTAGAAAAAAATAAGTCGATCGGCAGAAATGTTGCAAACATGGTCAATGCATAAAGAGAACTGGAAATTGTATTTGGTAAATCCAGAAAATATTCAATAAACTCTAAAAGTTTATTCCCATGTTGTAATAATGTGGTTTGAATGTCTCGCTTTCGTATTTGATTCAATGTTTGAAGAACAATCACATCTTCGATGAGATACGCTAAGATTAACAATGAATACTCGTTCGTTGAATTCGTTTTCGATAATGAGACAAGTTCATCAAGAAACGAGGGCCATTGTTGTGGCCATTCACGTTTGGCTATCTCACAAACACAACGAACTAGAATTCTGAAAAATGAAAAATGCTCGTTTTCCGACAACAACATGTTTTTCTCTCACGTTTTTAAGTGCGTAGGTAGTTGATCTTGTTCGTTCATTAACAACCATAAACGTTCCTTAATCGACACTTTCAATTGCGAATCGAGCGCTGTCCACTTGTATTTGATTGTTTCTTCAATACATTGCAAACCGAAATGCTTCACTAATGGATCGAACGTTTGAGATTTATCGAAAAAGTCAAATCCAATCGATAAGGATTGATTTGGATCAGATTTGATCTTTTCGACGTAGTCATAGGCTTGTTGTCGACGTTGAGCATCTGATGAAACGCATGACAAGACAGCTGATTCGATTTGTCGTAGAAGATCGAGATTTGGCATTAAAGTTGATGAAACACAATGGAAAAGAAAAGTTTTGAAAGAAATTTTCTGCGTCGCCGGTAAAATGAGAAACTCTCAATGAGTCACCCACCGACACTTTCTATTGGCGGAAGATTGTTACGAATAGAAAATTTGTTGTTCAGTAAGTACATGGCAATTTCATGATTGGCCTGTTCGATGAAAATCAGCTGTTTATCTTTCTTTTCACGTTGACTAACTGACTGACTAACTGTCTGTTTTTGTTGTTGTTGTTGTCGTTGGGTTATTCGCCTGTTTATTTGTTTAGATAAATGTAATGATTTTGTCGGCGATTGAGAGAGGAAGAGAGCGTTTATCACTACGAAAAATCTTGTTTTTTAGTTGACATGGAATGATAATGAATAGAGCATATGTAGACACAGCTGTTTGAATGATATGTCTACTTTCTCACTGTTCGTCTCGAGTTTTTCTCTTTCAGTTTTAGATTTTTCCTCAGTTTATTACATATTTTTCTAACTTGCTAATGAAAACATTCATGTACCATAAACATTTGCGGTATGGTTTTTGAATATCCAATTCGAACATAAATATCTTCGATTCTCCCAGTCACCTATTCATTTCGTTGTATTCGACATCAAGCACGTAAACGTGATCCGTTTTCTTTCCTCTTAACTAGTTGTATCTTTTCTTTTATTATTTTGTGTATATGTCTGAGGATGATATTTCGGCGACGTGTCTTCATAATGACGTCCTTGCCCGATCATTGACACAATTCGTTGTCGTTGCGTTTTTTTTTCTTCGTCAACGACAACGACCAAAAATGAGAGAAGAAGATGCATGAACCATCAAGTGAAGGGCACGCATACATATGCGCATCTATATCATTTGATCACTATCAAAAAAAAGGTTGATGGCGGGTGAGCTATGAGAACCTTGAAAGTGTGTTGCTTTTATGTCTACTTTTTACGTCGACATCTTTCCTCTCCGATCGAAACTATTTCGTTTTACTGCTAGTAGATTATCAATGAAGAACAGCGGAAGGAAAAACGAGGTGAATTACAAGTATTGCGTTTCTTGGTGGATATTTCGGGAAATATTGTCTTCTTTTGAGATGAATGGGATGATTCTCTTCGTTGTATTCACAGTATATTTCATGATAAGGACATTCGCGTAACCAAACAAGCTGTGCTCTTTCTTTCTTTCGTTTTTTTCTCGTTCGTTGTTTCTCGATTGATCCTCCACCATATGATGTGCACTTTTTTCAACCCTTCCTATTACTAAGTTATATACTACGACCATTATTATAAAACCAATAGGATTGACGAAGCAAATTTGAAGCTGAGTATGTTATTTGATGAATAAATAAAGAATATCTTGCATATCAATAAGGTTCCAAGGACAAATGATGTCTTATTTTGGATAAAGACAGAACAAAAAGTGATTTTTTCCGTGAAATAACAGTTACTCAGAGGATTTCTCCATTTCTAATCATTGATATTCTCTCTTCTAGATCATTCCCACACACACATACGTTTCATTTCAATTGCAACTGTGTGTGCGTACTGACTCTCTTCATTTTCCTTGTTTTTTTTTCGGAAAATCTTTGGCTCAATTTTTGTAAATATTATCTTTCATGTTCACCTACGAACAACTCGCAATTGCCTAAGAAGAGATTCCGCTTTTTGAAATCTAAGGTATGTTTTCGTATTTTTTTCATTTCATTTTGTGCTTCTTCTTTTAATATTAAGACTAGGGACGAAATGACTGTAAAAGGCGATATTGACATTAGGGTATGCGACATACATACGGTCTTCATTTGTTCGTTCTTTCTCGTGTAAAAACGTTTACTTGATGATGAAGAAAAAAATCGAGTTGATGATGGTGACGAAAAGAAAAGAAGAACACATTACAGACATAGTGAAAGTGCGCAGAACTGGTTTGCTTGTCGATAAAAAGAAAAGAATAAGCAAAAATTATATTTATTAACATATTCTTCTGAAAATTCTACATCAGATCGGAGATTTTCTGTAAGTACTCCCATTCGAATTCAAAATCGCAAAGGTTAATTCGCCCGAAGATTGATCGATAAGCAACACACTGATCGATGGTGGTAAACATATTCGTTTCTCATATCTGTTCTAGTGGGAGGATTGAATCAAGTTAGCTTTTCTCGTTTCATAAGTTTTGTCTCATGAGAACGATGTGTGACAGTGAGTAGCAATTTGTACCTTTGTTTAAGATGCTTAGTTTTGACGGCCTGTTCATTTGATGGGTACTAGAAGTTGTAAAAATAGAAAGAAGAATAACAATGTCGTTACTATTTTTACCCAAGAATTAATCATTCAAAAGTAGTTTGTTCGTGCGAATAATTTACTTTCATATTGTATTATTTATTCATACATATATTTATATGCCAACTTGAGTTTAGACATTCCAATGAAGTTTTCATTTGAATGAATACTCTCTCGATCTTTCCCATAGTAGTATATCGAAGGAATTGCCTTCAGTAGATAAAATATGGACAATCGTTCGTATTTCTTTTTCTTCTCGCTCTTTTTTTTCTTTTCTTGACACTGTACTATCGACAATAACAACAACAATATAAATCGTGCGTTGATTGTTGTCTATATTCTTTCGACGAACAACATCAGCAGCAACACCTAACACATTACGAGAGGAAAGAAGGTGGAGGAAAGCAAAATGGGTAGAGAAAGGCAAGGAGAATCTGTCTTTCTTTCTCTCTCTCTCGTTCGCTTCTCGTTTTTTTTCTTTACCCTATATACGATGTTCGATGAGAACTGACGCACATCGCACACGGCGGCTGACTGCCCTCTCTCTCTATTTCGAACACTACTGCATCTCCTATCCTTATGATTAGGTGAAAAAAGAGAGTAAAAGAGACGATGCAATTTTTCTTCTATTCTCCATATCATTTTGTCTTTTTTTCGTCATTTTTTCCCTTTTAACTACCTTGAAACGATGATGACCATTGTATGATGTTACTGTTATTTTAGCCATGGTGGTCGATATTGCCCCACAGCCACAGCTGAATGAGGTTTTCACCACTAATCGTACGCATCATAGGTCATCATCGTCAACGCATAGACGAAATTCAGCAACGACGAATAATACATCTTCATCAGGATCGAATACTACAAATAACAATACTATGACCAATGGTCATCGATTTTCGGTAAGCATTGATCGTAGAACAGCCATCGATATCACTGACCTATTTGTTTTAGACTGATGAACTCAGTAGAAAAGCTGTACAAATTCTTGGTCAAGCTACAGCTATATTAGGTTGTCGTAGACAAACAAGTATAGATTTCCATGGTCATGCACCTCGATTGAATATTACGTATGCATTTCGATTGTCTTACCAAAATGATCAATAGTTCTATTTTGATTTGGCAGAGAATCGAAATCCAATGTATCCTCGCGTAATTCGACATCAAATACGGCTTCATCGACTATTGTGCATAATTCATCAACGATAACGACATCTTCTCAGTCGGCTAACAATACCGTATCTTCTATCCACGTACGTTTTCTATTGATTCTACTCGAAAGAACGATTCCATTGTGAATTCTGTCTATTCAGAAGGGTAGATCTCCAGTAACTGTTGAACGTCTTGTTCCGCTCATTCTGCAGGTAAATCTTCGTGTAAAATACCACTCACACAATTCGAGCCTATGTTTATTCGATATTTTAGCTAGTCGCGGCACCCATCTTGATGAAATTTCCTGCAAGAATATCTAGGCATCAATCAAAATCCAGTAAGTTCATGTTATCAAGTTCAGTACCATCTTTACTCGATTATTTATCTGTAGAATCTGTTGATGATGTTCTCGAAAGGTAATTCGATTGAAAAGCACTCTTTTTGAATACAAGAGTATACTTATTCATTTTGATTTAGTCGTAAAATGGCACTTGTTTCACATCGTGAAGGTGTTGTGAACCTGAGTGACGATGAGAATGATGAAGATGACAATAACAATGAACATGATGGTGATGATGATGATGACGATGAGAATCAGAATCATAACGAAAAAACATTTACAGTATTGACTGAACTGACCGACACTAATACAACAAGCAACAACAGCAAGAATCAAAACAATAGTAATGATAATCATTCTTATCATTCATATGAGAATCAAATGTAAGATAAGGGAAGTACTTTGGAAAATGTACATATTCCTTTGACTTTCAGTGAACTCCAACATTCCGGTATAAGTCATAGTCGGTGTGAAGATAATGAAGACAGTGAAGATGAAGACAGTGATAACCAAGAGGCTACGCACAGTGATGCCGAGAATGATGATGAAACCAATGAAACCGTTCGTGATTAAAACTTCTTCATTGAATAGAATATTCTTCATTGAATTATTTTTAGAATGCAAATACATTGTCATTAATGGATTTTGTACGTGGAAAAGAGACACTTTCTGAACCTGTTGATTCTTCATTATTACAGTCATCAGAATCATTATCAACTGTAAGAAAACGCAGTATTTCACCTGAAAACAAACCTGATCATGATAATCATGTACATAAATCTGAAGAACATCAAAATAAACGGAAGAAACTACTGATTAAACGAGCATTACTGAAATCATTTGTGTCATCTGTAAATACTAAAATCAATTTTAAACGTCCTTCACTTCCTATAGCCATTCCGACACATCTATTTCTGGATCAAGGTACGAATGGCACTGTGAAGAAGATAGACAAAGATGAATATCTCCTTGCAGAGGAGCAATCCATCGAACGATCACAACGAACATCGAAACGATATGCAAATGGTTTACTCAAACATGACAACAATACAGATGTACTCGATGGTTTATCTCAAAATTCATTATCATCATCATCGTCATCATCATCATCAATGAACAATCAACCCTCGACAACACATGGTGTACATCAAAAAAAGAATAAAACTAGTCACGTTCAAGATAAAACTCTATCGAAACAAGAGCCATCAACATTAACCTCAACAACTATTGCCAAGAATGAACAGATTTCAATTACCAACAATACTACACCATCAAACGACTTAGATAGTAAGACTCGGACAAGTTTTCTGTCAACAACAAATACAGCAACTATTTCACCAATATTATCAACTCAACCTAAAAAGGAGAAGCCAACAGCCAAGTAAGTTTTTCATCAAACTAATCCATCGACATAATATGAATATTTTTCAGTGTTAAACCACTCTTACAATCAGCACCATTCGAGAATTCATCAGCAACTAATTCTCTTGGTAATGGTATTAACACATCTGATAGTTTAACAACAGCTAATACACGATCAATGCATTCATCAACGAGAAGCTGTTATACAAAATTTAAGTAAGGTTTTGAATGGTTTTGTTTTTTTTTAGATCATTCACATTTGATATCTTGTAGAAACCTGTCGAAAGCAGAATTAGCTTCATTAGCACGTCGGAAAAAGAAGCAAGCTGATCGTGGTAAACGAACAACATTCGCCGAGGCTCGTGAAGCCATGGGTTTATATCTTGAATCCGTTTGTTATTATATCCAATGTGCTAATGATGAAACCAAGCAAGATCAACGTACTTCATTACTAGCAACGACATTAATTATGTTAGAGTAAGAAATACATTTGAAAAATAACCTTCTCGATGCTGATCTTCTCGTTATTCTAGTCAACTTGCTCAAAACCATAAGAAAATGTTCTGTTTAACGAATCCGTCTCAATCAACAGATTTGTATAATCTGCAACAAAAATTTCTTCTAATTAAGTAAGTGAAAACGATTTTTCAGTTCAAACAGACGAAAATGTCATCTAAAACTTCTAGTTATTGGCTTCAATCATTAATTTATTATTTACAATTCAATACTAGTATGCCAACAATTGATCGTTATGCTACTCAAGTCATAGAATATCTTAACCAATCAAAAAACCCTTCATCAACTGCACCACCAGCAACATCAACAAGAACAACAACAACAACAACAAATCCCAATCTTCAACAACAATCAACACCTAATAATGATAACAATCCTATCTCACCATTATCAACAACATCCCAAACAAGCTTATCGGACTTAAGTACAACTAGTGGAAATAATCAAATAGAACAACATCGATCTATGTGCGAATTTTCGAAATTGATGTTAAATTCATATCATTCGACATACTATTGGAATAAAGCTGAAAGTCTATCATGTGAAAGATCCCTCAAAGGTAAATCGAAATGCATGGCATTGTCTCTTAAGTAGAATGTTCTTTGTTTAATTAGAATTTACCGAACAGTTGCTGAAACAAAATCAAAACCGACGTCTGTCACGTGATGATACAACTTTAGACTTTGTATTGTATATTTTCGATGCCATTGAGCTGTTACGTTTAAGTGTTGCTTAGAAAACAGAAGAAGAAAACAAAAAAGAAAATAATGTTCTCCGTGCTTTCTCTAACTTCCTCAAACATTGTATATCTCAGTCTATTTATTTGCCTTTTCTTTTCTCGTGCATTGCGCACACCTACGTCCTTTTACACAACCTCCTTAGACAGTTTGTTTTCCTTTCGTTTGGTTTTTCTCAAGCAGCTGATATCTATTTTTGCGCTTTACTCTTCCAGTTACGTTGAACATCACCATGCATATATTCATGTATATATTTCTACACACACATATATATATATACAAATGTATGTATACTCCGGTTCAGTATGTTTCATTTTTTCGCTCTTTGTTTATGTGTGTGTATGCCTGAATTGATCTCGATTTCTATTTTCCTTGAAGTTGATGATTCCACTCTATTTGTGTAAATGTATGTCTTATAAAACAATCTTAACTAGTATCTAAGCTATTTGACACTTGTTGTTTGTGAAACAAAACAACATTGATATGCACCGGAGAGTTTTTGCTCGTTGTACCATGTCTTTGCTGTGTTGTGCATATTTTCTTAAAAACTACTTTCCTCTGTTTTGTCTTTGTCAATATAATGTTTTTCCCAATCTATGTAAGATGATAAAACGAACGAAAAGTATGAACGCAAATCATTTTCGTCTTTCCTCATGTCTTTTTTTCTTCTTTCTTTCAAACTCAAACATACAACAAACTAAATACAATCGACAACTCCGGTGGTTGATCATTTGCTTCCAACACTGCTGATATAACTCGTTTTAGAATGTCCTAAACAACAACAAAAATCCCTTGTGTCGTATTTATGCATGTACATGTCTTTGTCCATTTGTCCACTGTTGTCCTCTATGTGTCTCTCGTCGTCATGTGTCTTTCACAAGCTACCAGATCCTCTTTTTAACTTTGTTTCTCCATATATATACGTATATATACCTATCAAGCTATCTCATTCACCGTACTTCTCTGCACATGATGAGTTCTGGTTTTGTATTCTTCTGGCTGTATCTACTGAAGATGAAGAAATGTCTTTATTCTTGTTTTTTTTTAGAAGAAAGCAACATGAAAAAAAAGGAGTGTTTAAAACGATTTGTTCTTGTTATTGATGTTGTTTTTTTTTGGTTGTTCTTGTTCTCTTTCTTTTCCCTTTTTTTGATCATGATTGATATAAACATATAAAAACAAGCAAAAAAAGAGCCAATAAAAAAATTTGGATGAACAAGTATTGTCGTTTGTCTCCTCTTACTCATGCATTTAGTTAACGATTCGAAAGTAGGACGCACGTAGAAGGTAAAGAGAAAAAACGACTAATGAGTAGTCATATATCAAAAAAAGAATCATCGTTATTATGTCGATTACGATAGACGATGTAATGTATATTTTTTTGCGTTTTAGATATTCTGCTTGGCGAAGCCGATAACGCTCGATCATGACGCGTGGTAATCAACGGTATGATAGATTGCGTTCGAAATACGTTCAATGATATTATCTTCCATGTCGTTTTAGTGACCTTGCTCGGGAAAAGAATCAGAAAAATCAAAAAGGGAAAAACGTGGCATCGTCTGAAATGGAAGGGAATAAAGGTTTATCATTACAAGAACGACAATTGCGAGATGCTGCTAAGTAAGTAACTTGTTTTGTTGACGAACTCCGAATTACTTGATGTGTTTTGATTCGTTTCAGAATGCGCGAGAAACAACAGTTAGCTCAACAAAAGAAGGGTACTGATGGTGGTGCTGGTGGAAATAACAATGCATCGGGCGGAGCAGGTGCCGCAGCTTCGACTCATTGAGTCTAAAATATCATAACGACAATATATTTGCAATTCGAACTTTCACATTTAAGCATTATGATATAATCTTTTTTGTGTTTTGAAGTTTTTGTTTAACTTTTATGAATCTCAGCGTTCGCATTTCTTTATTCAATATAAAAAGACTCATTTACATCAATTTTTGTTTCATTCAAATCCAAGTTTTACCTAAAATCATTCTACAAGGGCACATAAATGAAAATATTTCGATGGATGAAATCTAACCAATGATTCATTGAAAAAAGAACGTTATAACAATTATTCTATTCCGTTGTTTTAGTTGGTTTATTGAATGATCAGAAGTTTTCTTCGCCGTCACCGACTGTTTCTCATCAATTTCACATCTGCATCTGGTCTTCTTGCTAGCAGTGACGTTTGTGTTCAACTTTTCTATGAAAAGAAACAATCTCTCGATGACAAACGAATCGGTACATACCCAATCGTGATAGTTTCTCTTCAGAATAATCGAGTGTCGTTTGTTTTGAAAAATTCTAGTTGCAGCCTTAGCTACTGGCGCTGTGATGGGTGTCGAAGGACATATTTGGTACTCCTTTCTTGACCGTGTTATTGTTCAACCGACATGGCGTAACGTCTTTAAAAAAGTGCTCCTTGATCAGACGATTGCAGCGCCTGTGTATACATTAACATATGTTATAGGTAAATCGAGATGACTTGTGGTCAGTTTGACACATTGCTTGCTGATTTTTAGGGACTTCAATTCTTGAAGGAAGGACATCGATCCGAGAATTGATGAGCGACACTCGCATGAATTTTCTTCCTTTGTATATCGCTGATTGTCTCATCTATTGTCCTGTTCAAATCTTTAATTTTCGTTATGTTCCATCGTTCTATCGTGTACCATTTCTGTCTTTGGTTGCATTCATTTTCGATGCCTTTATCAGCGCATATAAACATGAACACGAGTGAATTTGTTGACACTCTACAAGTGCCAACAAACAATAGGCGACTTTGCTTATTAGTCATTGATGAGTCATCTGTCTTTTGTAGACGATTGTTTTTTTTTTTAGTTGAATAATACTTTTTACTAGGAAAATTTTTGACTGTACTAATTCGTTTGCTCCTCTCCGATACAAGCCATTCTATTGATACTGTTTTCATAGATTTCATAGCGAATGTCAGGTAGCAAGGAGATCGATGATCAACTTTTTTCGGAAAATCAAGGCGATAGAACATGTCAATGTGGCCTATTTCATCTTCTTCCGCCCGAAATTTGGTAAAACAAATGTCTTTTATGAGTGTTCGAAATAAGATCATTTGTCTCTAGGTTAAATCTGTTTGGTTATATGTCAGCGGAATTCATTGCCGAGAACCTGAGTCTTGTTTGTAAACCATTACGACAATTTATTCTCTCGTCTCAATCGTATTGGAAATATCGATATGAACGCCAAGTTCGTGCACCGTACCGATCAATCCCAAATAGAAATCGTACATGGCTCGATGTTTGTCATCAACTCGGACGTATTGGACACGAATGGAAACAATGTGCTGAACAACATCAAAACATTCTTTCCATATCAGGTGTTCATATCGGTCCAATAACGGATACGATTCTTCTTGAAGTATGTAACGAATATCCTGATGACGAAAACTGCAAAATTTCGACCTTATATAGGATGGTTATACATGTATTACTGGCAGTCGAGATTCATCGATTTGTTGTTTCGATTTACGACGATTAGTTCGGCCAGAAGAGACAAAAACATCAGATGAGTTCGGCTCACCATACGTGGTCAAACGTGCAGAAGATTCTCAGCTGGTAAAACCGAAAATTTCTTCAGATAGACACATTGAACTAGAATTATATACTCATCATCTAGCGTTGGATTTGGTCACTCAGCCACGAGAAACATATTCTGTCAAGTACATCATCTAATTCAGAAATCCGTCTTTGGGATATGAATGCAGAAATGCGTGAAATCTCTCGAATCAAGTAGACAATTCCTCCAAAACTTTTCAAATGATTCTTTTCTATCTTCTTTCGAAGATTACAAGCAACCTTTGCAATGACACACAGATTACAAAATTCTCTCCTCTATGCCGGGATCTACAATGGTCATTTACATGTTTATGACACGCGAACAGACGACAATTCTCTTGTCCGTAATGAACGTGTCACCCCAAGAGGTTATATTCACGCATTGGAACTACAAGACGATTATATATTAGTGATACATAAACCAAGTACATTATGTATTTATGATCGTCGAACATGGCAAAAGGTTGCAAACGTTCCGGTATGTTATTGAGCGAGAATTGTCTCTCGACAATTACATATTTTCGTTCTAGTTAAATCTTGGTGAACGTGTTTCATCGTATTACCAAGATTCTCTTCTCTTTCTCGGTGATAATGAAGGTCATGTCCATGTATTCAATTGGAAACAAGATCATTGCGAATTTGTCGAAGTACACTTTTCCACAAACGATTTTCCATAATAACCGATTTTCTTGTAGAAAATTCGAACTGAACATAATTGTCCGATCACAGCATTGCATCATAGTCGAGGTATACTGCAAACCTGTACTGCTTCAACGAAAACTTTAGCTATTGATCAGTTATCAACTCCAATAACGCACGTTGGCCGAATTGTAGCTGATACATTCGATCAGCATCTTTGTGTAAGTGAAAAAAAACAAATCAGAAAATGAAATTTCGAATTGTTTATCTTTAGATGGCTGCAAATGATTACGGTTTAACAGTAATTGGTGGAAGTGATAATAATTTAATTAGCGTTCATCGTGATGAATTTCGACGTTGGTATGCTTCATAATCAATTCAATCAGATGTCTTTCTTTCTCATCCGTCCATATCTTCAGTTCTTCTCTGCTTCATTCTTTTTTTAATAAAAATAATAATCAATGGGATCCATTTAGACAAATAGATTTATTAAGCAGCATAATGTTCATTGATGATTTTTGATTGGCAAAGTGTTTTTTTAGTGTCTGCTGAGATATGATAATCAATCATGAAGACAAGAAATANAGACGAGTTCTTCTCCTCCTTTAGGTGGAAGGGATCTGCGTTTCTTCTTCTTCTTTTTCGAATAAACACATAAGCAGAGGTCGAACAAATCTAAACACACTTATCCTGCCAGTGTATATGTGTTTGCCGTTTGTCGAATTTGTAAACGACTCATTACTTATGTCTCGAATCTGTCAGGCTTAGTTTCTTTCTGCTACTGCTGTCTCCTCATCAATGGGATAAACATTTTGTTTCAAAAATATACATAGCGAGATATCTATATTGTCTTCCGCTTTTTCCTGTTGTCATCATCATCATTATTATTATCATCATTATTATTATTTCTAGTAGTACTAGTTGTTGTTGCTGATATTGTATACAACAAACGACTAAGATATAACAAATTTGTATATATATAAATAGATAGATTCTTAATGTTTATTAAAACTCTTCTTCTAGAATAAACAACTCGCCAATAGTCAAGATTTATAGACAGGTAGATATGATAATCTGCTGTTTTTGTTTATTAGAATATAATAGTATAAGATACAAAATAAAGGATATGTTAATAGATGTCCTAATTGGCGTAAAACTTTACTCTGACGAAAGACGAGAAACTTTTTCCTCAATGATTTTACTTATTTCATTAACTTTCTAACCATTGCCTTGTATTTCTCTAGATTTGGAAGTAGTGTATGGTGATTATTGGAAAAACGTCTTCAACGATTGACACTTGTCAAATGAATATCAAAATAGATACTGATAAACCAGTTACCTTGTCGATCAATACGACAAATGAACATCATCATTTACATACGACATCAGCACCAACATCCATCTACCATCCAAGAAATCCTCCTACAAACAGTCCAATGAATGGAAATACCACAAACCCAGGTCATTTCCATCATCATTCGCATTTATATAACACAACTACTGGTTATAATTATGGACCAGTTCCACCACAAGCTCCATCAACAGCTAGTTATTATTCAATGCAACAGAATAATCTTTACAATGATCCGTATTCTCAATGTTCACCTTATTGGAAAGTCTCGGCAGCTGCTGCTGCCGCAGCATCATCGTCCGAACATTCAAAAGGAAGTTCTAATCATGCAAATCGATTATCGTATCCTGTAGATCATCTCCATCCATCCAATATGCATTACAATTCATCGTCATCGGCTGGTTTATCTTCTCAAATTGATGTTAAATCTGAACATTTATCGCCAATGAAAAACATTCATTCGGCAATGTCAGGTGAAGATGATTCAAATGAAAGTCATCCGACAGGTACCGAAGAAGACGATGAAGATGACGAAGAAGATATGGATTTCAAGACTCCAGAAAAAGAAGAATCGAATAATGCATCAAACAATGCACCAAGAAAATCCAATCGCCGTGCAGAAAAACCACCATGTGAGAATGAATTTTTTTTCGATTCGTCTGTAAATCATGATTGACATCGTATTTAGATTCGTATATTGCATTGATTGTCATGGCCATCAATAGCACACCAACGAAGAAAATGACATTGTCAGAGATCTATGCATTTCTACAACAAAGTTTTCCATTTTTTCGTTCGACATATATGGGTTGGAAAAATTCTGTTCGGCATAATTTAAGTCTAAACGAATGTTTTATTAAATTGCCAAAGGCAATGGGTAAAATCTGGAGATTTGAAAAGACTATTAAATATATTTTTTGTTTTTGAAATAGGCCGAGCTGGTAAAGGGCATTATTGGACGATTGCACCTGACTCTGATTGTATGTTTGATGATAATTGTATGCGAAGAAGACCTAGAGGTGATTAATTGCCGTTTTTATCTTTTTTTTACGTTTATTTTTGTTGCCTTTTTCATGTAGGATTTCGACGAAAATTAGGAAAACAACCAGTATATCCTAATCTTCTAGGTCAAATCGATTCAACTGTGTCGACAGGAACAAATGTGACGGCAACATCGTCATCAGCAGCAACATCCGTTCTAGATCCAAGTGCTATTAGTTCCTACAATCAGAATCCATCGTCATCATCACCTTCGACAACAACAAGTGTTGGAGCTGGAAACTATTTCGATCTTAGTAATTATGCTGCTTCGTCATCAACAGCAGCAGCAGTCAATGGACATCATTCGTCAGATCTCTATGCAGCTGCAGCTCTCATGGCCTCATATTCTTCTACTTATCCTCATCGTTCTCATTTTACAGCAACCAATTCATCTTGTTCTTCGTCGGCATCATCAACAACTAATACGACAGCCTTATCGACCAATGCAAGAATTACAGATGAGACAGATTCAGGATCTCATGCACATTTTACCAATAGTGTACATTATGCATCAGGCCCATCTCAATCAGCGTACTTTTCATATGGAAATCCATCATCTCATCCACCAACAAGTTCATCTTTTGATCCACATAATCATTTCTATGCCAATCCATTTGCTGGTTTTCTTGATCAGAAACATGCATTGTTACCGGCAACATTATCCTGTTATGATCATCATCCGTCTTCATCGAACTATTAAAAAATGCTTTCTCTTTCTTCCTGTCTTTTACTGGTTTGTGTGTGTATTTCTTCTCTTTCTCTTTTTTCTCATTTGTCTCGTTCTCTTTCATTCTTTCGATGATCTCAAAGATCGTTTGTGTTTGTTTCGTTTCCGGCAGGTGAAGACTTTCACTGAAATATGATGATGTGCAATTGACTAATATCATTTATTGCATCAGGAGAAAGAAGAAAAGGAACGATAGAGAGAAAAATATAGACAAGTGTAACAATCGGATGCTTTGTTGATTTGCATGCATCAATCGAAGAAATGGTTGGCTCTTTCTTCCTTTCCTACTGCGTAATCGTACCAATAGATCGATGTCGTTAGATTGTTTGTCTCATCGGGAGACAGAAAACGGATGATATCAATCCATCAAATTGATCGATATATATCTTTTCTCAATAATATCATCTGCACTTGATATCATCGTAGTAAATAGAGAATGATGGAGATCGCGTATCCAATGATGTCATCGATATCATCTCGAACAAAGAGTTCCACAATTCTTTTCTTTTCGAATACACTGATTAGTTTTATTATGGAAGTAATGAAATGGAAGAAAAGATGATCTAGTGTCAATTAAATTTCACGTTTTTATAAACCTCCGTTGCACCATCGACAAATTCTGAAAAAAAAAGCAAAAGAATAGTTTTTGCATAAAATAGTCAAACGATAACGAACGTTCATAAGTCACTTTGGAATGTTCATCTTGTTGAAATAACTTTTGAAATATATTAATTTGATCTTGGTTCAGGTCTTTGCCCTTCTCATTCATCACTTGCTCAAATTCTTGTTTATCCACACATCCATCACCACTCACATCTAACAAAAAAGTGTCTTGAGAAATCGTACATATCTTGTCTTACCGAACGTGTTAAATAAATCTTTTAAGCCAAGTGTACTTGTTGGCACATATCGATTCATCATGACAGTAAACTCTTCCATGGTTATATCTCCACTCGCTATATGAAAGAAATGAATTCAGATTGGAATATGAATTTTGCTGAGATTCTTTACTATCTGTATCAACAACTTGCATAAATGCATCCAATTGTTCTTCGGACCATGATTGGCCTGAAACTGTTTCAACTAACTGTTTAATTTCATCTTGTGAAATACGACCATCATGATTAGAATCAAATAATGAAAATAATAGTTTTAATTCTTAACAAATAATCGTAGGAAAAGTATTAAATCCAAGAAAAATAACTTACCGTGAGTATCGTGTGTCGACATTCTAACTGAGTTGATACTCGTTTTGTTTCACAAATGCACTGTCTCTTATCTTTTGTAACTTGCTTTCTTTATGTAAATATGGAGAAGATATATTTATTCAGATGACTTCTGCTTGGCCATAATCTTTTAGAAAACATAGAATTAAAACGGAAACTTCAAGGCAATTGTTTCGATTATTCGCTGAGACTGATGTAGCATATCTATGGACACCTGCAATGAATTCCAGAACGAAGGGAACGATTACGTTGATATTGCCTATGTATGGCTGCAAGTGACACAAACGTTCGTACAGAAGGGAAATATCTATCAAATATCGCTTTCTAGATACATGTAATTCGTCTCCTTTCTACTGATTAGATATCTGTTTGGAAATATTCCTCAAATTACTTGTCGAATGAAAAGTGGAAAATTGCTTAGTCAGATGTCTTATAGTTTTCCACGCTCAAGCATAGGGTCGTTGTTCGCTATGATTTATTTTTTTCTGTTTAATTATTAGAAAGAAAACTAATCCAATCGTGATTAAAACATAAAAATAATCAATTTGTTTTTGTTACTATTTTCTCAATTCTATGTTAATAGTCAATGATGATGAAGAAAACATTCCTTCTGAATCTTCAGCGAACAGTTTAAAGTCGATTTCAGTTTCTTCTCTGTCCAGTGCAAATAATTCATAATTCCATTAAATCAGATGAATCCTAAAGTTGATTAAGCGTTTGATCTAATTGTCAAGCTATAATATTATCCTATGATCTGAATATGTGATATGGTTGAACAAGTGTAACATTATAAAATAGTTAATCGAAGTTTAATGTTTTGTCTCTGTCCCATCAATATCCACCAAAGATATTTTAGTTCCGAGCTTGGTTCCATTGAGAAGTAATGCTAACGCAGCAATATATTTAATGACACACATAATGGAGGAAGAAAAAGAACCACAATAAAATGTGACTGACTTTTGGTTGTTGATCGTTCTGTATTGTATAACATGAGTAGATAAATTAGTTTCAATAATGGTGAGAGACATTGGAATTTCTGGTTCAGAAGCGATTGATCGTTTGTTTTGCCTTGCGTTCTGTCGATCGAATAAAAACATCAACTATAAAAAATATTTGTAATTAAATATCACATAATAACGAAAAAAGATTTTGATCCATTTTTGATTGATCAATCGAATCAAAGCTTTCAAATGAAAATCATTTTCAGTCATGGTTTATCTAGTTAGATGGATGTCTTGTTGCACAGTCAATTTTTTCAAGTTTTACTATTTTAATTATACTTTCTTTTCTTTTTATTCCAATGCTAACTTTCATTATTGAAGTTTATTTGAACATCGTCTTAGTGTTGTTTAAATCGTTAATATAAGTTTTTCAATATGGAATAAATTCTTCGTATTGTTCTTACAGTATTACCAATATAGACGTGTCCTTTTACCAAAAAATATGATATTATACGGGTTGATCAATGTAAAAATAAACGTTAATATGCAGTAGCTGTCCGATGCAAGCCCAAATGGAAATGAAGACTTGGTTCCTCATTTTAGCTTCGAAAATAAACTGGAAAACGAAATAACGTAAAGTTTGAATTTCATGGAGCTTTATGCTTAGATATGAAAATTTGAATTATTCTTCAAGAATTAAATTTGTATCTATTCGAACTCGAACGAACAACCACAAAAGGCTTCAATACATTCAACAAAATATTCTGTATTAACGAATGAAATAGTCAACGCTAATTATCCAGTTTCAGAGTTGCATTTGATTTTCTTAGTCTCCTAATCCTTCCGAAGTACAACATCTGATTTCATAATTCCTCACAGATAAATCTGATAGATTCGCCTAGCATCCTACTACAATTGACCGGGTTTGTGAAACTGAGCTACTCAGCTTCAGAAAAACAGAACCAAAGTTCCATATTAATAGAGAAATTTACAGATTATTGATGTAAATAGCTAAATTCACTTTTCGAGTTTGACACTACTAATAATCCATGAGAGTAATAGCATGCTATGGTTGAAATGAATGTGATAGATCATGTGCATATTTTTTCTCTACAACGTCTCTCAAATGTTAAACGAGTTTAAGTTCAGTGAGTTGAATATTTCTGAACGAATAATCAAGAAAACATTTGTTTCAAGAAGAAGTTATTCAAAGTGTCGTGTGTTAACAATCTAACTGATGTGATACTCTTTTTTCTGACAAAAATACACCATCTTTTATCTTTTGTAGTTCACTTTCCTTACGTAAATATGAAGAGATGTTATCATTCAGGTGAGTTCTACTAGGTCATATATTTGATTAGAAAACACAAAATTTAAATTACAAGGCAATCATTGTATTTTTTTAATCATTTTCCAAGACTGGTGTAGTATTCATTGACACCTTCAACAAATTCTAAAAATAAAAAAGAATGATTATGTTTATTGTATATGTCTACAGTGTTCTAGTACGAACGTTCGTAGGTGACTTTACTGCTGGAATCTTGTTGAAATTTCTTGTCAAAAATACTAACTAATGTTTTGTTCAATTGTTGGTTAGTTTTCTTCACCTGTTCGAATTCATCTTTTTCAACGAAACCATCGCCACTTGTATCTACATTCAAATTGCACAGAAAAGTCATTTGGATACAGAACAAGTGAATCTATATTACCGATTGTTCGAAAGATACTTTTTAATCCATAGGCACCTTGTCGAACATTCGTATTGATGAAATGAACAAATTCATCAACCGAAATATCGCCGCTATCTATCAAATCAAACAGATACATATATATGGAGTCGAAATAAATAATCAGTTACTATCAGTATCAGCTAATTTCAAATAATCAGCTACTTGTTGTTCGGACACAGATGGACCATCAGGATCAGGTGATTGAAGCAACTGACGAAGTTCATCTTTGGTCAACGATCCACTGTTATCCACGTCGAATAAAGCAAAAAGTAATCGTAGTTCTACATAAGACACAAAAGGAGCCTATATCAAAATGTAAAACATCGGCCAACATTACCTTTGTCTTCCGTTGCCATAATGAATCTGCTGCATGATCAGTTTGGATACAGGAGTAGGCTATATAAGCCAGTGCTAACCTTATCTTATCATTATTGCTGACGCAAATGCTCGAAAGTAAACTCAACATTAGTCCGATATTAAATGCGCTCGACACTTGAAGCAGATGAAACAGCCAAGAGTTATTTATATGCTAACAAAAATATGTCGCCAACACTTTTATCATCTCATTGTTTGTTCCGAAAAGGATCCAAAGATATCGCACATCACGATCAAATCTAGTTTCAAGTATATCTGCACACAAGATGTCGCTAAGTGTCATTTGATAAATTTGTAAAACTCCTATTGGATGTTACCTATTACCATCACAATTGAATTGAATGATGATTTCCAATTCGTAAAAAGTTTCATTGTCTTAATCGAATTCATTCTGTGCAAAACGATCAAAAAAAAATTGTTTGTTTTTGTCAACGGTAGAATACTTTCCAATTGAACAATGCCATTATCAATTGAATCAGAGATTGATCTTCTATATCATTTATCAACCATGTCTGAACATGTTTTACCAAAAGGAATCTTTTATCTTCTTCTTTGGAAACGTCTTAATCAGTCAAGTATTCCGCCAGCTTTCACATTCAATGAAATGATCGATCATCTTCGTACACTGTAACTATACTTTCTTTCTTTTTTATGACATACAGTTGTATTTTCATATTACATAGATACGATGAAAGCGTTTTTGATAATCCAGAGCTACCTGAATCCAACGATCATGATTTCGAATGGCATCCAGCTGAGATTACTGAACAAGAAAATGAAGGTCAGCAACAAGTGGAGAAAGATTTATCTAATAAATCTGAACCAACAGCAATAGCTCCAACGCCATCGCCCGCTGTAACTAAATCGCGAAAACGACCGCCTTCTCCATCATCTGGCACGTCGAATGGTGATAGTGGCCGTCGAAGTGGTCGTTCAAAGCTGAATGCTCAGCCAAAAGATGACGATGAGCAGCAACAGTCGAAAACTGACAAACGAAAATCGACCAAAGATACATCTCGAATATCAACACGATCAATACCAGCAACTGACTCGATTGGTACACGTTTACGAGGACAAAAATAGAAATATTTTTCCAATATTGTACATAAAGGCTTTTTCTTTCATAAAGAAATGAAAAAAGAAAAAAAAGAAATGAAAATAATCCTATGTATAGATAAAGAGATCTGTTATTCTAATGATTTATATTGTAGAAATTCACAAAAATTTCACTTCTAAGAAAAAAATAAAGGTAAACTAATTATGTCACGAACTCCGGCACAAACTACTCCACAAATGCAACCACCACAACTTACTCCGGATGAAACACGTGTTTTAGCTGAATGCGAACGAGAGTCATTGATATATCGAAGTATTCCATTGGGTTTGATCACATTTTTCGCAACACAATATGCAATGCAACGAAATATCATCACAGCAAAAGCAAAATGGGTTAAACTTGGTGCAAGTTTATTCACCGGTTATCTAATTGGAAAAATCTCCTATGCTCCAACATGTCGCAAGAAAATCCTGACACAAATACCTGAGAGTCACCTCGCTCATGCACTTCTTACGGGTGATGCTCGAGAACTAATCGCCCCTCAACAACACGATTCTCAATCATCATCAACAAGAGATCCAAACGAAGCAGTCGTTTTTGTTCCTAATTCAGCTGAACCAGATACGCATACTGTACCAGTCGGTGTAAATCAATACGGTGATCCAATATACGATACAACAAAATGATTCATTTTCGCTTTATTTTCCTATGAAACTTTGCCCTTCCATCTGTATTTATAGCTGAACGTCTTTTTTCGAACATTTTGATATTATTTAATTCAGCGATTAGTTATGTTTTCCTCCCGTCTCTCCTCATAAATATACATGTTGACTAATGTCTTATGTTTTCTTGTCTGAATTCGACAACTATCAGATTAAAAGTAACCATTGAGAGTACATTATCACTGATCAATAGAATTTTTATCTTAATTGATCATACGCATGATTAATTTTTACGATAGTTATGTAGACCATATGGTTGTTTTAGTTTGAATACACTCTAAACATAAGATCAAAACATTTGATCGACTATATTTTGTTTCATTCATCTATCATATCTAATTGTCTCGTATATCCAGACAAAACTGATATTCAACCGATATTTTATATTCATGAGAGAATTCCAAATCTGTCTTTTGTTCTTCTTTTTTTATTTTACACGAGAGAATAAGTTAGAACGACTTTTGATGATATCATCTGCTTTCGATTACGTGTTAAGAGAGGGAGACACCCTTAGGCGATGACGCACATACATGCACATATATCCTCATGATGATTTATGTGAAAATGTGTTGCTCGTGTATGTTTTGACTAGATGAGTATAGACCAACGGACATTCTCATCGAAAACATAGGAGTGTAAATAGATAATTGTTGTATAATCGTCATCTTATCGATAGAAATGATGTGTTCGCGTATATATACATCATCATTATGTTCAATTACGATGCTCTTCAAAGCCCGTTTCAACGTCAAAAAGGCGAGAAATATGTGTAGTAATGATGGAAGAGAAACAAAAGAAGAGAAAGAGTCGAAATAGTCTTTCGAGTGTAATCATATGTCTTCAAATAGACGAAAAACTCCACGAAAGAAATCGATTACATAAAACAAAGAAAAATGATTTTAAATTCAATCTTCTTTTTTTTCAAAGACTGCCATTGATTGTATATTACTTGATAAGGTCAAGAGCAATTTTTCATTTTCAAGCTGAGAAGTAATTTATTGAATGAATTGAGAAGAATATGGGTTTAACATATCGATTTTTCTTCGGTATGTCTCATTTAGACAATGACCTATACTCATGACGTGAGAAGAAGACAAGAAGGCGTTTTAGGTTGTATATGGATATGTAAGCATTCATCAATTCGTTCGAACTCTTCTCTCTTCCGTATTATCAAGCTCACATCACGCTGGGTCACTTCGCTACGTCTATACTTCTTATCTTGATCCCCATCTGACTGACCGACCGCTCGTCGAGCATATTTCCATTCTTTTCTTTCTTTCTTTCTCCCACTCACTCGGGTATGTTCATTCTGCTAATAACACATCGACAATCCTGGATATGTAGTAAAACAAAGAAGAGAGCAGTTCTTCTTCTTCTTTTTTTTCTGCATTATTGATGATATCCTTTCTTGTCTGCTCTCGAACAACAGATGATAACAATCAACGCGCGAATATCAACAATAGACACAAGAGAATAAGCATAGATCGTATATAAAGGAAAAAGAAGAAAAAAAATCATGCTAATAACAATAATACAACGGCAGTACTAGTAACATATTCTTCATTCTTTCTGAACATTTATTCACAAAGTCAGTGTATGTGCTATATAAACATCGAATAAAAAACGCGAAGAAGAAGAAGAGGAAGAAAAGGAGAGAACGAGAGAGAGAGAAAGACGAGAGAAAAAGAACGGTCTAAGTATATCACTTCTCAAATACGTACAATGATCATGCTTGATTCACGTTGTTGGCCAAAACGGTGACTATTAACATAATAAAACAGCAACAAAGAAAGACATGATGTTATTACGAAGTTTTCTTCTTTTGTTTATTTCATATCCGCAATTAGCGGAAATGGTAAGATTAAGTTTTAATATTCTCCTTCTTCTCTTCATTCTCAGTTTCATTACAATCATAGTTCGATCAAAATGACCATTATCAACGTCTTCATACATCATCTTCATCAACATTAGTAAGATTTGATAATAATAGGAAAGAACAGGCTTTTCACTCAATTTGGATTTTCTTTGTAGGAATTCACAGCGAATGTCGATTACAATAAACTCTATCAACGATATTTGAACATTAATAATGCACATGTGAAAAATATTGAGCCAAAGGAGAAACTTTGGTTTGCGATTGAGAATGGAACGATCTTTGCTTTGCCACTATTTGGAGATTATTCAGGTCCATTTCGAATTGAATTCCAACAGATCAATCATCATGTAAAACCAGGTAAAACAATTCAATAACGATTCGCAAAATCCATATTTTCTATTTAGAATTAAATAACATCATCGAATTGCAGTTAACATTTAATTTTACTCCTTCGTCATCATTATTCCATCCATCGGACCATCTTCTCCTGGCTGTCTTTGATATGTCATCAGCAAATTACAATCATTCACTCTTGAATCGTTATTTTATCGTTCGTACATTATCACTCGCACTCAATCTAAGCGAATCCTTATTAACTGTCCATAGAATTAATGGTTCTATGATAAAAGTGTATTTCTCGTGTGATTTGTATTTCTCCACGAATTTGTCGTATCATTTAACAACATTGCTCGATCGTTACTATTCTCGCCGTTTGCAGCTTGTGCCCCTCTTTCCTCTACCATTAATAGAAATCTCAATTGTTCGATTAACCAAATCCACGACAGTCTCCACATCGACCAAAACATCAACAACATTCAAAATCCATCAGATCGATTTGCGCAAAGGCCAATTAACACTTCCACCACGATTATTAAATGATAATACAATGAAATTCAATCGAACAGTACCATCATTTAATAATCTTGTTCTCAAACAACTTTATCAACCTCTTGTTATTGTACCATTAACTGTAATTGCTATTGGACTATTCATATGCGCTATTATTGCATGTTGCCTTTGCTGTAATCGACGTTCATCATCATCATCGACATTACTCTTACCAAATGGAACGTCAACTAGTCCAACAACTAAACATCTTTATCAAAATTATTCGTATCGTAAGTATAAACAAGAACACGACTATTACAAAGAATCACTTCGTCATCACGATCAACGCCAGTTCATTTCGAAAGGTAAAGAAAGTCAATTGAAATAATAATTCATCGAGAAAACGTTTCTTTTTCAGGTATTCCTGTTGTATTTGCTGAGGAATTGGATGAAAAAGTTGAACAAACTCATACACCATTGGTCATGCGTATTGAAAAAGCTCCAGCAAATGATGAACACGAAAAAGCGTCGGAATAGCATCTTCGAATGGCAATGTTTTCTTTTGTAGATTTCTTAGCACAATGTTGTTGAAATGTGTGCGAGTGTTTTTGTTTGTTTGTTTGTGTGTTCCAACAAGCGAATATTTTCGTATTATATTTCTTTCTTTTTATGTTTTCTTCTGATAAATCATTCAGATGTTTTCAGAGCTGTGCATTTCTATCCCCCGAATATGTTATATCCATCGAACGATTGCGTGTTCTCCACCTGTCAAAATGAATTTCATGATTCATTTATAAAAAAAAAAGAGAAGGGCGTTGATCTTGCGTCGTTTTCAAACTGATAATGACGAGGATTATCAAGCCAAATTGAAAGCAACAATATAACGTTGATATAATATACGATTACAAACGATGCTGTAATGCTTGTGTTTATTATGATAGATGGAGAGAGAGAGAGAAGGCGAACGACAAGCTAAGCCTTTTCATTTATTCGAGAGTGAGCGTGTTCGGTGAAAAAGATACATTTGATAATCTTAAATAAACAATAACCGTTTATTTAATTTTACTTCTAGATTTATTATCTAATTGTATTTATTAGTACGTTAGATATGGAAAATACAATAAATTGATTGATAGAATACATCATGCAGAACGGAACTAAATCATAACATTGCGGTAAAGACGATCTGTAACAGATGGTCAATCGTTTATCAGTTTCTTTTGTGCTAAGCAAACCGTGCAGAACGACTAGACAGCGAACGTTTATTTGTGAAGACATTTCTTGAAAATTTTAGATGGGTAACGCATCAATGGATGATGGAGACATAACACGAGAGTTATGGCAATCACGTTTACCAATATGTTTCATTCTCTCGGACGATGATATGAGTAAAGTCAACCGATCTGAATTACCAGAGCCGCTTTACTTAATGCTTTCTCGTCATCTCTATTTCCCATGCTTTATCGAGAAAATATTTCGCTATTATTCAACGTATTACAAGGAGAATCTCGCTGATACAACTAACCATCTTAGTATTCATAATTTATGGCTTGAATATGAAAGTATTCCTTTGAAATGGCATTATCCTATTGGGGTACTCTATGATTTATATACTTCATCATTAACATCGAGTACATGTCATCTTCCATGGCAAATTACAGTTCATCTCAGTCAATTTCCTGAAAATGAATTAATACGTTTTCCAGATAGAGAATCTATTGAAGCATATTATATGTCCACATTAAAAGAAGCCGATGCATTGAAGCATAAAGGTCAGATTATAGGCGATATGCAAAGGCGTGATCATAAACAACTATGGAATTCTTTATTACAAGACAAATACGAAATTTTTTGGAATATCAACATGAAATTAATGTCTTACACAGATAATTTATTGTATTTTCGTTACATACCTTATCGAATTTATTTATTAGACAGGCCTTACCTGCAAAAGCTGTTCGCACCTTATGACTCTGAACATGATCGATGGATGACGTTGAATGACCTTGTACAATATTCATTAAATCATGAATTACATTGTGAACAATTCGCGAATGGCAAGAAGATGTTAAATACGAATGTAAACGATTATCAAATAATTATCCATGGGGTTCAACCACCACTTCATACGCCTGTGCAATGGCTAAGCGAATACTTTTCTTATCCTGACAATTTTCTCCATATCTGTCTTGTGGAAAAACGAACATAATTGACTTTTTCACTCTGTTCATTTCTATAATCTAATCTAGTCAAATAAAAACTCAGACAAGCTTTCATTACTCAGAAAAGATGTCGCTTATTGAGAATCTGCATGATTCTCACCGATGACTAATATGGCCATGACTGTAAGTATCTGTCCGTATGGCTTACTCTCACGGCTCAAATTGCATTCTTAAGGAATGATTATCTTTTCTTCGGCATATTCCATCTGCGTTTGTCACGTCAGGTGGGTCTGAAGTTTCTGCGCATTCGAATAAGATAAGATATGGAGAGTATTCGATTATTATTTCAAAAACATGGTGGAAGCGAATATTACGGTGAACCTGTAACGCAATTTCAGCATGCAGTGCAAGCAGCATACTGTGCCGAACAATACGCTCCAAACGATGCGGAATTGATCATTGCTGCATTTCTTCACGATATTGGACATTTGTTGGGTGAAAAACAAGAAGATCTAATGGGTAATTTGGGTGTACTTCGACACGAACATGTTGGTGCGGAATATCTTCGTGAGAAGATCGGCTTATCAGAACGAATATGTTATCTCGTGAAGAATCACGTCAATGCAAAACGGTATTTAACTCATGTCGATAAGGATTATTACAATCGTTTATCGGATGCATCGAAACAAACACTTGTGTATCAAGGTGGACCGATGAATAACGAAGAAGCAGAAGAGTTTCGTTCGCATCCCGATTTTGAACTGTGCCTTCGAATGCGTACATTTGACGAAGCAGCAAAGGACACTGGTTTCGATCAATATGACGAAAAGGCTGAACAGTATTGGACTTTAGTCAAGAAGCATCTGAAAGAGACTCGTATTGATTGATACGATTAATTGCGTAGTGTGGTGTCGACCTCTATTGATAATATCTTTGATTAGTCTATAGATAGAAAAAAAATATGAATGAGAGAAACAAAGTATAATCAAATGACTTGAATGAAATTTTCTGATCATTAAAAAAAGTACTTCTCTATCATAATAAAGTCATATAACTTCTTCTAAGTGCACTTTTATTGTCAACCATTGAAAGACAACGATGTCGATGTTGATTTTTCATTTTTAGATACTTCATAATCTGTCTTCTGCTCGATGTCTGGGGAGACTTCACCAACTGCTGGTAACAACAGCAATATCGTTGATCTTTTATCTACCTTGAATCCAACAGCTGCTGCTGCTGCTGCGTCAGTAGCAGCAACAACAACAATATCCGCAGCCACACTTACACCATCAACCGGTACCATTCGTAATAATGATATGAACGTTGATTCATCAGATTTTGTACCTGCCAACCGCCTGCTTACTCAACGGCAAGCATTGTATCACAATAAACAACGTATGTAGTTTTGAAATCCTGTTTCTTCGTGTTTTTTATCATTTTGTTTGCTTATTCTTGTTTTAGTTGAGTCATTACGAGAACAACAACAGCAATTACAACACATGGAAGTCGATGATCAACAAGCGTTTGAAGTCTCCTTTACAAAACACAGGTGAGTATTTCGGAAATGAGATCCTTCGCCGAGTTACCCTGTGTGTTTGTTCTTTGTAGCAATGCATTCCATACTTTATTTGAATTTTATCAAGACCAAATTCTCTGTGACGTCGAAATTGTTTGTGATAACCAAACATTTCTTTGTCATAAAGTTGTTCTCGCTGCAACAATTCCATATTTTCGATCGATGTTCACATTAGGCATGCTCGAAGCTGACAAACGTCGAATTGAAATTCAAGACATTCATCAAAACTCATTGAGAACAATCATAGAATTTGCCTATACTGCGAAAGCCGTCATAACAATTGATAATGTTCAGAATCTTCTATTTGCATCAACTGTTCTGCAAACAGAAGATTTAGCTGAAGCTTGCTCGAGTTTCCTACGGCAACATTTATCGTTAACTAACTGTACAGAAATACGGCAATATGCCGAACTACTTAATCGTAAATCATTAATTGACTTAGCTGATGAATTTATTCGTGATCATTTCTTGGAAATTATTCAAATTGATGATTTTTACAAAATTTCATACAAACATTTGAAAGTACGTCGGGTAACAACGATTTCAGTTGGATATTCATTTCTATAATGTTTAGGAATTGATTGCATCGTCGGATTTGGGTATATTGGACGAAAAAGATGTCTATGATGCAGTAATCAAATGGGTTAAACATGATCCACGAGAACGAGCTGTTCATCTTGCCGGTATGCTTGATTTTCGATTAGGAAATAATTTCTATTCGATTTCATTTGCAGATCTATTACAAGAAGTCAAATTTCCATTGATCAACACAGATTACCTGTTTAATGTGATTGCTCAAGAAGAGTTAATTCGAACCAATCTGACATGTCGAGATCTGTTGGATGATGCGAAAGTGCATATTTTCAAACGAGCGAATCTGTTAACAACAAAATCTCCAATGGGATCAAAGATAATTCCACGAAAAACAGCCGCAGGTAATGCGAGATTGAAACAATTTATTCGTCGAAAATATTCATTTCCTAGGTGTGTTATTGTGCGTTGGTGGCCGTGGTGCTACAGGTGATCCATTTAAATCGGTATGATCATGACGAGCTATTCACTGATGCAATCGTTTGGATATTTCTAGGTGGAATGCTATGATCTGAGACATGATCGATGGTTTTATATATCAGAAATGACAACTCGACGTCGTCATGTCGGTGTATGTGCAGTCAATGGTCGTGTATATGCTATTGGTGGTCACGATGGTAACGTTCATTTAAATAGTGCTGAAGTTTTCGATCCACAAACAAATCGCTGGGAACCCTTGGCGCCCATGAACACATGGCGGTAAATTGATAGATATGATTAGATACTGAACTTTTTCTTGCAGACGAGGTATTGCTGTTGGTTGTCTTGGTGGTCCATTGTATGCGGTCGGTGGACTTGATGATTCGACATGCTTCGATACTGTTGAACGATATGACATTGAACATAATACGTGGAGTCCGGTAGCATCGATGTCAACGGCACGTGGTGGTGTAGCTGTTGCAGCGCTTAAGGTTCGAACAGATTAACAGTTGAATCAATTTTTATGGTAAATGTCTTCGAACTTTTAGGGTTATTTGTATGCTTGTGGTGGTAATGATGGCAGTTCGTCGTTGAATTCATGCGAAAGATATTGTCCATCTTACGATAAATGGGCTCCGATCGCCCCAATGAATAAACGACGTGCTGGCGCATCGGTAACGGTACTCAACAATCGACTCTACATACTTGGTACGACTTAGTTAAAGATAATGATAAAAAAATTTAAAAACAATTTTGATTTTAGGTGGTTTTGATGATAATTCACCACTTGATTCAGTTGAATGTTTTGATCCTGACACAAATGTTTGGACAATGGTGCCGAATATGACATCATGTCGCGGCGGTGTTGGTTCAGCTACACTAGGTAAAAGTTCGATTCTCTAACGCACTTACATCCTACTCTTGTTTTATTGCAGGTGGCCGAATATATTCTGTCGGCGGACACGATGGTTCAACGTATTTGAAAACAGTTGAAGCTTACGATGCCGAGACTCAACAGTAAATAAGATATTTTAGACTATCGAATTTGAGTCACACATGTCGGCTTTGTTTTTCTTAGATGGGCATCAGTGGCAAGTATTAACATATGTCGAGCAGGTGCCGGCGTTTCTCAATGTGACATAAGTGTTTCTCAACTATGCGAAGTGAAAAATCCTACCAATCCTTCTAGTTGTGTATAATAAAAGAAAAACAGTTCAAAACCGATCATCGTCATCTATGCAAAAGAATCCTATCGTATTTCTGATCTGCAAGTGTGTGTTGTCATTGTAAATAGATACAGTTCTCTCTCTCTCTTTCAATCTGTCGTTGTATGTGTGTATATCTTTTCGCTATTTGTGCTTAAAATATCGAAAATTGAACCATATTGGCTATATTTATTTGCAATGTATAAACATAAAGAAAAGATCTACGGCAAATGAATAGATAAATCAGTGTCTTTTCTCTCTTTTCAATGTGTTCTTTTTTCTGTGTTTTGTAAACATCTCGTTTGAACATTAAAATGAACATTGCATTTCGTTTTCTGATGACAATTTTGTAAACTTGGAAATATGTCGAATACTTTGCGTTTTGTTTTAAATTAAAGAATACTTTTTGCGACATATTTCATCCACAAATGCCAATCTTTTCAAAGAAACTAATTTATGTCTTTTTCTATACAGAAATGATAGAACAACGACTTGTTTCATTTGTATTTATAAAATATTTCATCATTATTACGTTACTTCAGATATCAAGAAAAACGAAGGTCTCTTGGACTTATGAAGATTGTCGGAAATCAAGTGAAGTGAAACCTCGATTTTGTTATGTTTTTGTAATGTTGATGATTTAAGAAATAAAACAAAACGATGAGAATACTTTGTTTTTATCTTAGACATGAAAAGATGAATGAGTCATTTTCTTTGCTTCTGAGTTACGTAAACCTCAGAAAAGTAAATGTTCCTTTTTACCTTTGACATAAATTCATTTGATTAGATTTTAACAAATCGAATATTTTTATCCCAAAAGAATTTATTATCGAAAAAGAGCTTATCTAGAGCAATAAATGTGTCGAAAACTAAAGTATAATTTCGCTCTCATTCAGTATCGAGTAACTAAGAGAGTGAATTGGTTGTATTTTATATGGCGCCGAGAGTTCATGATAGTTCTCATCAACCACCACCGAAAAGTAAGTGTTCGTAACATTCTTAGAGTGTATTCGAGGATTTTAGAGTATGACCTGTTATTTTGTCATTCTTGATTGCTTATCTTGTTATATATAATAGTGATAAACACATACATTTCTACTTCGTTTTACTCCGCTAGAGCGTCATTACCAAATATTTGTTCTTTGTCCCCGAAATAACTTTGCATCATCAATTTGCATGTTATAGATATGGTTGAAAGGTATCACAAAGGCTGGCGCCGTGTTGGCAGGCATTATTTATTATTATTATGGAAAAATTTTCTGTTGGCAAAGCGAATGCCAATTCGTACATTCCTCGAAATTACACTTCCAGTTTTCTTTGGCTTTGTTCTACTTGCTATAAGGCATATTGTCAAATCAGAAACATTCAAAGACGATACGACTTTTCAACCGTTCTCAATTACCAAATTTCCGACGTTCGATGGAACTCAGCCATCGGTGATTGGTTTTGCGCCGATGACAGTATTCACTACGGCTGTTATGAATAGAGCTGCGAGAAGAATCGGCTTAACCGGTAAATATTTTGCATTTTCTAGTCATGAGTATGTTTTTGTTGGATTTTAGCCCAGGCATATGTAAATGAAACTGCACTTGTCAACGAAGTTAATACTCAGATGCCGGACTCGGTATTTCTTGGAGGTGTTGTGTTTTCGAACTTGAACTTAACGTCAAATATTACGTATAAAATCCGATTATCTGCCAAGCTGAGAAATTCCGGATCAGGGTAAACATTTCGGCTAATGTTTCATATTAATCTGAAAGAAATTCATCTAGGGGAATATTCAATGGAGAAAATAATTGGCGAACTAATCTAATATATCCAATATTTCCAATTCTTGGGCCGAGAAATAAAAATAGTTCATCTGGAGGAACACCTGGTCAGTCATTGGAAATTTCTAGCTCTTCTCGTTCTAATGAAAAATTTTATTTGATTTAGGCTATTTCAAAGAAGGTAAAGAGACTAACAATGCATGTTCTATCGAAGTAAGTTGATTATTGTAGGTTTTCTTGCATTACAACGAGCTGTGGATATGGAACTTCTTCAAGAACTGAATCCAACGTTTAACTCATCGAATTTTGACATTGAACTTCAACGTTATCCGTATCCACCTTATAAAGCGGACAATTTTGTTCTGGTTATTCAAGTTTGGTTTCCATTCTTACTGGTCATGTCATACATATTCGCTGCTATTAATACAGTCAAAAATATTGTCTACGAAAAAGAAANAATGCACTGATTGATTGTTTTCGATTTTCAAGGTCTAATCCCGCCAACCAGTGGACAAATCATCATCAATGGTTTAGATATTGCAACATCAATGGATAAAGTTCGTGATATTCTCGGTTTATGTCCGCAATATAATATTCTCTTCGATCATCTGACTGTTCGAGAACATCTGCGATTATTTGCTACAGTAATTGAATATCATTGAGACCTTTTTTCCACTCCGAATTTTTCAATTTTGATCATTTAGCTTAAAGGACATCCATCCAATGATATTGACAATGAAATCAATCGAATGGTTGAAGATTTGATGCTTACGGACAAATTGGACACACTTTCATCAGCTCTCTCCGGTGGTAAGATAGTCGAGTTAAGAGATTCTCTGTGATCGCAAACTAAACTTGTAGGTATGAAGCGCAAGTTGAGTGTTGGTATTGCATTGATCGCTAATTCTAAAGTGGTTGTTTTGGATGAACCAACTAGTGGTAAGATAGTGAAGTGCATTCATATGATTCTTAGGCATAATTGCAATGAATTTCGAATAGGAATGGATCCTGCTGCTCGACGATCAACTTGGGAAATGCTTCAACGTTTTCGTATGGATCGAACGATTCTTTTCACCACTCATTTTATGGATGAAGCTGATGTTCTTGGTGATCGAGTATGAAACTTCGTTTGACTTCGATTCCACTTATTTTTATCCATTAATGTAGATCGCAATTATGGGTGAAGGTCGCGTTCGTTGTTGTGGTTCACCATTTTTCCTAAAGACACGATATGGTATGAAAATATTTGTTTGACTATTTCGCAAAAATGACATCTAACAAACATTTTAGGTGTTGGTTTTCACCTGATCCTATCAAAAGATATGAATTCTGATTCTTCGCGCATTCTTCAATTAGTTCAAAAACATATTCCCCATGCACAATTAGAATCAGCCATCAGCGCTGAATGCAAAGTGCTGTTACCACACGGATCATCATCAGCTTTTCCGGCGTTGTTTGAAGACATCGAAAGAAATAAAAGCGTCTTACAAATATTTAGTATTGGATTATCCGAAACATCAATTGAAGAAGTGTTTATGAAAATGTAAGCAACGGATCCTTTTTCTCAGAGAAAGTTACTGTCTTTGATTTTAGTGTAGAAGAAGATGAACCGGACGAAATCGTTACTGTAACTAATCCACAAATAAATCATTTACCGATTGCGCATGACGATACTCTACAAGAAATTCCGTCACAATTTATTAATGTTGGACCTCAAAGTAAATTCAAATCTAAAATACTCTTGTCGTCTTATTTAATCAAGCTTTTCTAGGTGTTTTTGATATAGTTATACTAAAAAATTCCGGTTTACAACTGTTCTTTCAACAGTTCTATGCTTTATTACTCAAACGCATTATCAATTCCTTGAGAAATTATCTTGTTCTATTTTCTGCTCTCTTACCATTTTTGTTTGTTATTATCTCATTAATTATCGAACAACAAATACCAAAACCAGGCGATAGTCCATCACTACTAATGTCACTTGATCGATACGAAGAAAGTCATGTTCCGTACACGTACGACCGAATGTCCAACACAACTGTTGATTTTATTCGTTCCTATGAAAAATATCTTCAACAATTACCAAAAGCACCAAATCTGATTGACTTAACTGAAAATAATACTCGACCCTGTCAGGACGGAACGTCAACTAACGTTACATCATATTTAGCGTGTATCGGCCAACGAAGTCTACTAGATTTATCTGATCGTTATCATATTGGAGCGAGTGTAACGATGAATTCTACTCAAAATGTACTGAATATCATTGCACTCTTCAATAATCAACCTTATCATGTTCCACCGTTGACTTTAAATACCATTACAAATGCATTGTTAAAACAATATTCTTCACCAACCATGAGCAATAGTACTATTTATGTTACTAACCATCCAGTTAGTTCTTAACAGATGTCTTGCGTTCGAATATTTCTTTTTTTTCTCTGCTTTTCAGTTGCCACGCTCATTGACAGAAGCAATCAGCGATTTTCAATCTCAACAATTCTTCGGTTTTCGAATGGCATCGAGCATTGTGTTTGGCTTTGGATTTTTAATGGCAGCATACGCCGTGTTTTTGATCAAAGAACGGATCTCCAAAGCGAAACATTTACAATTTCTGAGCGGAGCGAATGGATTTACATTTTGGTGTAGTACATTTCTTTGGGATTTAATTTACTACATTCTCGCAACGGTATTAATCATTTTCATTTGGGCGATATTTTATTGGGCAGCTGGATCAGTCAAAGAAGACCTGAAAGTTTATTTGACTAGTGGTCGATTAGGATATACTATTTTATTGTATATTCTATACGGCTTTTCACATATTCCAATGACATATTTGATTTCATACCTTTTTCAAATTCCTGCTAGCGGTTTTGCTTGGATTACAATCATTAATATAATAACAAGTAACATTATCGTATACTCGATTTCTATATATCTATGTATTCTTTTTCACTTAGGTCAAGCGACACTTTTGGCAATTGTGATTCTTGCTATTCCACAACTTGATTTGTTAGATATAGCGAATGCTCTGGAGTGGGTGTTTCTTATATTATTTCCAAATTTTTGTCTTGGTCAAGGTCTCAATGATATTTATCAGAATTCGTTTCTAAATGAACTCTGCGAACCGTTAATACCGCTCTGTGCTTTTGTACCAAACCCATGTTGCAAAGGTAAGAACGATGTAAGATTCTCGATGCAATATTTTCCTCATTTTTCAATAGGTAACTGTGGTTCGAATTGTGTTTCTTACACAAGTAATTACTTAAGTTGGGAAAAGCCTGGTGTTGGTCGTTTTGTGGTATTTATGGTGATTCAATCTATTATCTGTTTTGCTGCTCTTTTTGCCATTGACTATCGACTCTTTTCAAAACTTGCCTATTGGATTCGTCATGGTTTCACAAATAATCAAACCTATGTCGAATTTGGTAATAACACCATTTCAGATCTTGTACCAGGAGCCGATCAACTTCGAACGGAAGAGCCAGGCGATGATGCTGATGTTAAAGCCGAAGTTGAACGACTTCAAAGCACATCACATTTTGAACTAATACAAACGGATGTTCTTGTTCTGAACCAAGTCGAAAAAGTTTACAATGGAGTGTTTCACGCCGTTGATCAAATCTCTATTGGAGTCAAACATGGCGAATGTTTTGGACTATTAGGTGTCAATGGAGCGTAAGTAGTGGCTACACAATCATTTGATGTTGAGAAAGTCTTGTTTTGTTTGTCTAGTGGGAAAACAACAACATTTAAAATGATCACTGGTGATGAAACAGTCGATTCAGGTTCAATTATTCTTGATGGAATCAATCTGAAAGAAAATATGCGACGCGCTCAACGATGTATGGGTTACTGTCCACAATTCGATGCTTTGATTGATTTGTTAACTGGCGAAGAAACTCTTTACATGTTTGCACGTTTACGTGGTGTACAAGAACATTTGATCTACTTGATCGTCGAAGCACTAATAGATCTGATGAATCTGAGAAAACATGCCAAAAAGCCAGTGTATGCTTATAGTGGAGGAAATAAACGTAAATTATCAGCTGCTGTAGCACTGATTGGTGATCCGTCAATTATTTTTCTCGATGAACCAACAACAGGAATGGACCCGAAAGCACGACGACATTTCTGGAATGCGATTGCACAGTGTCGTGATCATGGCAAACCAATTGTGTTAACAAGTCATTCGATGGAAGAATGTGAAGCTTTATGCACACGTTTAGCCATCATGGTCAACGGTAAATTTAAATGTTTGGGAAGTATTCAACATTTGAAATCGAAATTCGGCGCCGGTAAAAGCAGAAAATCGATTGATATGAGTTCGCTTTGTATATTAATGTTTATTTAGGTTATACATTGATGGCTAAATTAAATGTATTCGACGACAATCGTGTCAATGGATTTTATTCCATTATTCGACAACAATTTCCGCATAGTGAACTGAAAGAAGCCTACGAAGGTTTTGTACATATTCATGTCAATGAACCTGATCTATCATTAGCTGCACTTTTTCGTGTTATTGAATCATATAAACAAACGTACTCAATTGAAAATTATACAGTTAGTCAAACTACATTAGAACAAGTTTTTCTTAACTTCGCACGAAGTCAACTCGATCCCGATGAACTACGCCGTCGACTACGTGGAGAAGCTAGTTACTTAGATAAATGCTTTCCATGTTGTTCATCACGTTAGTCATACGGCCGACAAAGAACCACAATTAAAAGTAGATTTTATTTTTCTAAATTTTTATTGTGACTTTTATCTTTATCATCTTTTGTTTTGCGTTTTTTTTGTCTTCAGAACAAATAAATAATTGATATACAAGAACATTATATTCTAATACTGTACGACGTATAAGTCCATGAAAATGTTGGAAGAAAATATTTGTCAAAGTCCAAGAAGTATCCTTTCTCAATCGAATGCACTCATCTTTTGTCGATGAAGGCCTGGTTCGAGTTTCATCTCTATAGGAAATACTGATAATCTCCCATGTTAACTCTTTGATTTTTTGCTGCCGAGGATTGACGAAAATAAAAATATAGGCGATAAAGATAGTATTATTTTAATTAAACTTCCTAGTGCAATAACAGATGAACAGGGTAAATGTCAATAAAGAACGAAGTTATAATTATTGTTTGACCGCGCATCATAAATCATGATCGTTCAACATTAAGATCTTCAGCTGCTCCATTAATGATGATTTTCTTGTTTGTAAGTCGTAGAATGCTGCCCGCTGATTGGGTGACATATCATGTATCATTCGATTAGGAGCATTGTCAATCATGATATCCATTTGAAAAGTTATTTTCATAGTTTCCAAGGCGAGATCATTTTTCTAAAATAAGAAAAGAAAGTTAACGTAAACAACAAGCGTAAATTTAGTTATGTACTACTCCACGAAAACTAAGCAACAAAGAAAATAATCTATGCTTCAATGTCATTTCGAGCAGACATAACATATATATGTATGCACATTCCGCAACAACGGTCACCATAAGTCGACGTATTTCGATTTTCTCGGTGAAAGAACAAAAGAAACGAGGTAATTGTTACACCCACATCCTCATCCTCAGATAAACGCTGTTCGATTCAATTCACTGGAAGAAAATGATAACAACACTCAGAGTGACGTTGTTAATAAGCAAGCCAACAGTTATATTTAGTTTCATGATCGAGAACTATACTACCTGATTTGATATGTGCTTATCGATGATCAGAACATTTGAAATTGTTATGAGAGATTGTTGTATTCTTCATTATCGAATATTATTTCAACTCGTTTGTAACATCAGTATTTAATCAAAGCATCTTCAAGAGATAAATAGACTTTCTGATCGATGTCTATGTATGATGATATAAGAGAGGAGTTGATTACTAAGATTTAGTATCAAAAGATACATAATCGTCTTCGATTCAATACACGTTATAAGGACAAAAATGTGTCAATTGATATAATTAGAGAGCTAACAACATATCGAATAACTTTGCTGAAAAGAGCCGATTAGTTAGTCTAACGTTTTCTTCAATTCTCTAGATCCTGTTGACATGAGAGATGCGAAGAGACTTTTTTATCAATAAGTCTTCAGATTATCTTTTCTTTGAACACGTCATTATCAACTCTTATAACTCATTTATTCTATCATACATCTATTCACACTAATCATGAGTCTGTGCATAGTTTATGGGTTCATAGTCACCAACATCTTTGCTGCAAATTGATCGCTGTCAACCATGGCACTTATAGTGATATCTCTATCTTTAAAATGAATAGCGCTCTATTCACGTGACTCGCTAGACCCTCTCGACTGATAGAAGTTATCAATAAAGTTCTTCTGTTCGAAATCAACACTGGATGCAAATATTGTGAAGTAACGGAGCATTGTCATTTGATCTTAAATAAGAAAGTCACAGCTGCTTTGTTGCAAATTGATCGTTTCTAAACAACTTATCTCGGTAATCTTCCTGTCGATAACTATTCTAATCACTCTAAATAAATCGAAAAACACGTTTTGATGGTTATTCTCCATTCAACGATGATACTGTCATCTGTGAAAATGTTTGTTTTTCTTTCGAATTTATTTTCTTTGACATTTCTTCATCATGTCCACGTGCTTTTGTATCGTCGTAGTCAAACGGTTCCGATGTGAAAAGAATCATGAGGCCATGGGATTTTCTTCACCTTCATTTCACCACATCGGCGATACTGACGGCGCGCACAAGCAGAATAATGGTATATAAATAAATTGTCCGAAGAATGACGCCGTTTAATTTCTTTTTTGGCAGGATTTTTACGCGAGGTACATGAAGGCTTTGCAATGGAATATTCCTATTCTGTATCGTTTGGGTCTGTTTATTTTACAATGTGCTCTTTTGATAATAATATCACATATCAAAGATATTTTAATATCTGTTCAGCAAACGACAGTTATAGTTGTTCCGACACAATTTTGTCGTCTTATTGATCAAGTTGATCGGTCTTTCTATTGGGTCCAATTAATCTCTGCGCAACTTTGCATTAGTCTAACGAATTCACTCCTATTGGATTCAATGTCAAGTTTTCCATTCGGATGGCTCATGGGTGCAATCATTACCTTATTAATCGATCATTTCTGCTGGTTTGTCGCAGACAGATATCCACGTCTATTCCAAAAACCGGTCACAGTTAGGGCACAATATCAATATTTATCCGACAATCGACGGTTGGTTCTTGGCATATTTTCGATATCATGCACAGCACTCGGTTTAGCAGGCTTCACCATGATCTGCACATTGCCTGCATAATTAACATACACAGGACGGACTGGTCATCCTTTTTTTTCTTCTCTATTATCGTCTATTCTGTTCACATTCTTCTACTGTTGAACAAAAAGAACAAAGCTGATAAATTATGAATAGACGGAAAGGATATTTTTCTCAATAGATTGACCTTGCTCGCATACATATATCATTGTTAAATATTGAATACGTGAATCGACAAAGTTATGTTTGACAACGTTCCTTTCATTCTCTCCAATCAAATGTCATCTGTTAATGAAATAAATTATTTACAAGCAAACCAACTCTTTTTAGTTAAATCGAACTTAACGCTATGTTTACTTGACATGAAATTTCGACTTCTTAGTTATATGTGTGCTACATACTTCGTTGAATGCTACTTTTTCACTTTTTTATTGGTCATCGCGTTTTTCTCACCAATAACTTCCAATATACGTAACGTAATTTATTATCACCGTACGAGTCCAATGCATTTAGAAAGATATTCATCAATAATTTCTCTGTTGAAGAAAGAAACGAAATTAATATTAATTTATATGAATACGGTTTTTCTATTCATTTGGCTACAACCACTTATTCGTTATAAAATAACAATTTTCAATATTCTCCGTTGGTTAATTGAAGCTTCAACAATTCCACAAACCTTTTTATTCCATTTGGGCAATTTCAATTTCGAAAACTTCATTGATACATATCATTCAAATTGTGTTTTAAGAATAATTACTCGAATTCCTTTATTCATTTCTATGCGTTATATTGAAATCCAACCTGACTGTTCTTTGGGTTATTTTCAGTTAATGTGGTGTCGAGGATTTTGTTTTCTATGTTCGCAGTTTCACAGTCCAAATAAATGAAGAAAGTCATCACTTTTTTTAGCAAAGAACAGCAATACTTTTCTCGTTGATGGTATAGTTTGATGTTTTCGTACGATGCATAATTTATAAATAATCAACAGAGTAGTGATGCAAGGAATTTGATTGCACTTGTCTATGACAAGTTGAATCGAGATATCTATTGCATTTGAATTAGAAATTTTGAAAGCCGAAAGTTTATGACTTAGGTGTTCGTTACTACTGAGAAGTGGATCCATCCACTTCAAACCTCACTCACAAAACTTCACGCTCGCTCTTTTCGACATTTTATCAACATACCTTTTAAACTTGATACGAAGCATGGAACAAGTCGACATCTGAAAATTCGTTTTTCTTATCTCTGCCTTAAAAATGAAACAACTTCTCATGATATTTGTAATAATTTTCTTGAATCTAAAAAAGAATGAATTGAAATGTCGTCAAGCTTGGAATGGAAGTGGAACTGAGGGTGTGGTATCGTGTGGATACAATCTGTTATTCTTCATTCATCTCAACAGAACTCATCGATTGTTTACCAACGATTATTTTACCTTCAAATTTAACAGCATTTACTGATGGGTTCTATATCAGTTGAGGAGTTTTCAATGGAGTTTTGCTAGATATTGGTTTAACATTTGATTTGAGGAAAAATTCGTTGGTTTTCTTACGGAAATGATCGATTGGGATGAAAATCCGGAAGTATTTCAATTGATTCTAATGAAAATCGTTGCATCAGTGTTCCTTTAAGTATTTTCAATGATTATATTCATTATTCTGAGTCGAATGGTGTATAGTTTGCATGGACGGGACACATTCAATAAAAAAAGTTTTTAGCTAACAGATCGTTTGTTCGTGCTAGCTTCACACCGATTATTTTGCTTAACTTTTCCCAACTTGCTTGTCAGACTTGATTAATATTCTTGTCGATATGGTCGAATTTCTTCACTACCTGTCAAATCGTCATTTCCTTTGTTCCATCTATATTTATCAAGATCTATCGAGCTTATTATCACACACACACTTCCTTATTTTGTACAATTAAGTAACATAAATACTCTTTATCAATTGCCAAAGGTCTTTATAAAACAAAAAGGTTACACAGAATTTGATCAAGTTACTGCTCTCATTTTGCCATCAGTCTGAAACTTTAAAAGAAATTGTTAGGAATCGAGTTTGTTTATCACACCGTCGCTTTATATTGTCATTAGAATAAGAAAACATGTTGCCATCTAAGAAGCTCCTGTGCAAATATGGTAGTCAGTGTCCGATACTCTCTCGACTTGTTGAGGATAATACTTATCGGCTCGACGACATAGATCATTGTTCAATGAACTTTCATCCAGGGCGTCGTGGTGGAATGACAGTTGAAGATAATTTCCAATCAAAAAAGTTTAAGTCAGCATATCAACACTGCAATAGATCACGTGCTCATCAATACAATCGAAACTTTTGGGCTGGCAAAGCGAATAATGACGACTTAGAAGAGGAAGTTAAACGAAATGGTTACGGAGATATATGGAGCTCGGTATTTTGCGATCGTGTTAGGCAAAGAATGGAGCATGATCGACACAGGCAGATGGGCTCACCATTATCTAATATTCAAATGTCAGCAGTGATGCTTTATACAAATACCATTTTGCACGAGAAATTAAAAGAAGACGAACGTTTATTCTCAATGCAAGATGTAACGAATGGTAACCTGTGTACTTATACACAAAAGTGGCCAATTTTCGGTCGAGCTTTGAATAGCGCTATTTGTTGTTTGAATAAACATGATTATGTCAACCGACCGATTACTGTCTATCATGGTTTAGCTAGGATTATAATTGATCCTGATGAGTTGAATAACTTTGATTATGGAAGTCGAACAAAAAAGAATGCATTTTTTAAATGTGGCACGTTTATTAGTACAAGCCGAGATAGAGATGTGGCATTATTTTTTGCATGTCCTGATTCTGACCCTGCAAATTCTAGCTCTATCTTCGAAATCCATACAATGCCGAATGATAATGAAGACGAGCTAATTGGCGCTGACGTGTCATGGATATCATGGCATCATGTAGAAGATGAATATCTTATTGCTCGACTAGCACAATTCGGTATTGATGATCACTTTTTTGATCGACAGAACAATATTTATATTGTTAAACTTAGTGTAGAGTTCTTCTGCCATCGAGGACAGATGTGCTATTCTCTTGAACATGATAGCGGCAATTGTAATTGCGAAATTAAGATCGGTCGTCGGCCAATTTGGATGCCACCGCCAGAAATTGTGAGTTCATAAAATCTATAAACTTTTTCCAAAGTGATGGATTTTATCCCAGCCCGTTTTTTGCCTTATATAATAATTTTGGTAACATTTGCATTTTATTTTTGAAGACCGAGTGATGTGGCGACGAATGGGAGTAGATCTAATTAATTAGATAAGGACTTGAGCAACCGACTTGAGACATCAGGATACATTTAAGTATATATATAAGTAAATATGTCCTGAGATCTCAGGTCGATTGCTCAAGCCCATAATTTACTAGTCCACCCTCACCCTCATCCTTTCCGCATAGTCAATGGAGAGAAGCCCACGAAAACTCTGTACATATGTATGCTAATGAAGCTGATCTGTTATTAGCTGCACTTTCTGTGCTACTAAATGGTGTAAATAAACACATTCAGCTAGAAGACAGATGAATATTATAGGAACACTCACGATTAATATCGGTTGAATAGAAAATCGTGTACAACTTAGTATGTTCCACGAATCAAACGAATTCTCTGTACTGAATTTAAATTCATGATCAAAAATATCTTCAAACGATAAATTAGCCAATAAATCATTTTATCTTAAAGAAAACACAACCCTCACACACATCTAAGTAGTTTTCAAACGTTTCTCTTATCTATGTGATGTTTTTTCTCTCGATGAACACAGATCAAAGAACGCGAGAGCATGTCATTGATTTGATGATATAATATGCGCTGTTGTCTTTGAAAATTACACAGTCAGTCAAACTACATTAGAACGAATCTTTCTTAATTTCGCACGAAGTCAACTCGATCCCGATGAACTATGCTTTCCATTTTGTTCAATACATTAGTCATTAGGTCGACAAAGAAACACAATTGAATGTAGATTTTATTTTTCCAAATTTTTATTGTGACTTTTATCTTTATCACCTTTTGTTTTGCGTTTTTTTTTCTCTTTAAAACAAATAAATAATTGATCGCCTTATATGAAATTGTTGGCTCATAAGATAAGCGAAGCGATAATGATAACCAGCGATTTTGTAGATTGATTAGCTGACATCGAAGTTTTTTTTCCTTGAACATATGGTTACATTGAAGTGTGCGAATGAAACATGTATATCCACTTGAAAGGTTGTCAAAAACAAGTTCGATATCTGTACATGCATGCATAATGAAAGCTGTCATTAAAGTTTGTTCTCTTTTGAAAATGATCTATTGGTATTGTATGTTCATGAGAAAAAAAGTTCAAATAAAACTGATCCCATCAAGATCAGTGCGTATGGACATTTAATTTCTCGGACAGGTGGACAAATGTCTCACACATTAGTTTGTTCAAAGCAAAACTAAGAACGACACAATGCAAAGAAGAATGAAAAGTGCATGCACGTTTCCTATTGTCTCCTTTCTTTTTCTTTTTTCCGTCGTCTGACTGTAAGGAAAATTATTTTTTAATTTGTGGTCAGCAGAAGGTTCACTCGGAACAACACAGAACACATATCAAGATGAGACACGCGTCGCACTTTCCTATAGACGACGAAGGTCAATGTCCGGGCATATAATGCGCGCTGCCGCTTCCCGTCTGTGCCAGTTTCTCATCATTTTTTTTATATGTATGTCTTAAATTAACGTCTCTCTCCCCTTCTTTTTTTTGTGTTCCCTTTGTCCTATCAAATGTGCGTGTGTGCCACCTCTTCTCTTGAATGAATGGACAGAGGCGAGCGCGTGCTGACCATCTGCCGCCGTGTTTTCCATGTTATTGCAGACGACGACGACGACGACGACGAGAGAGAAAAAATGAAAAGAACGAATGCATTTGTCCAAGCATACGTAACGCAGTAATGGGAATAGAGAGAATAAGAGAGAGAGAATAGGAAGTAGACACCCTGTTTAATGATATAGCAGACACACATTTCGTACATTGATTCTTTTATTCAAGATTTGTCCTGGTTAACATCACCACCATCGTCATGATAGAGGAACAAACAAATGAAAATTTAAATCCAACTTCTCTAAGCAAGTACGTACTTCTACCATATTGATCCCTTGATATTCTGTTTCTATATTTTCTCGAAAAGAGTTACATATGTATTTGTATATGTTATTGTTGTTTTCGGAACGCACATGGACACATTGTATAATCACTACATACGGTGTATACAATGTTTTGTTCTCGAAGCACAAATACATATATAGACATGCCGCACAAAAGAAAAGACCATTCTTAGTCTTCTTTTTCATTTTACATACATACATACATATACATCTACATACATCTATACTGTTTTCTACAGATCAGAATAAATAGTTTAATATGAATAAGTGAGAGAGAGACGAATGGTTTAAGAGAATTTTGTTGTAATTAAAAATGGTTTTGTTTTTAGGCTCGATGTTCTGGCAGAATTAGCGTCGAGTCAAAAGCCGATTGTGAATGACACATCGATCAAAGAAGAATTGGAAGTGTCCATAGATGAAACAAATCTCTCTCTCTCAACCTCATCATTGAATTCAAGTATTAAAAGTGAAGAGACAATACCAACAAATGAAAACACTAATTCGACCTTATCATCAACATTCGTTCTTAAAACAACACAAAAAGGTAAACCATGTATTCTGCTCGATGGTCATAGATACAAACATCGACGAGATAATCTCGATGGCTCAATGTCATGGACATGCACCCAGTAAGTTCGCTTGTTGTTGTCTGTTCCTATAATTGTTTGACTTCATTCCTTTGTTTCAGTGAACTATGCAGTGCAAGTGTACGAACATTTGGCGAACGAGTTGTTCGTCGCAACGATGATCATTTACATGGACGCACCTTACGCGTTGATCCTCAGCAAGAATTCCTGTCACGTTTGAAAAAACGTGCTGCTGAAGATACAGTCACTATCCCGAGAATTTACGATGAAGAATTAGCACGATCTGTTGATGAACATTCACCTGAAATACGTTCCCATTTGCCATCTTTCTCTTCGGTTAAGTCAACATTGTATCGTCATCGACAACGCGGTCAGCGGAATCAACCGTCGAAACTAATCAAAACGGAATTTAATATTGATTGTAAATCTTCATCAATAGATTCACCACCAAATACCAGCGGATGGAATACTTTGCCACCAAAGAAACGTCCGTTAACAATCAATGTTGATTGTTTACCAACACCGAGTCCATCTTCTTGTTGTTCGTCATCGTCCTATTCGTGTGTATCATCTGAAAGTCAAAATGGTGAAAAACGAAGAAAATATTCTTCATCTTCATCAACAACATGTCCGGAAGAGAATGCAAATCCTTCAACAACGCATGCGAATAACAATCCCAGTGCACAAATGGCTGTGGCAGCTGCATTCGAATCTCAACAATTGATTGCTAAAATTCTTTCCAATCCATATAATCTTCTCTTGGCACAAAACTATTTTGCGAAATATTCAACAACATTTGCCGATAATCCACATTTTATGCTTATGCATGCTTATGCGTTAGTATTATCTAGTCTTCAACAGCAACAACAACAACAACAACTCATGTGATACTTTTCTTCTTACTTTAGCCGTATGTCAGATCATATTCTTTGTGGTTGTTGTGTTCAGTCACGTTTACTTTTTTTACTTTTTTCTTTCCTTGTTGTTGTTCGTTCCTTCTTGGGCGGTGAGCAGTCGTATTTCTGTGCGTTGTTCGCGGTTTTTCCTTTGTTTATGTATGTCGAATTTTCAGACACAACTAAACATGTCATTTCATTGTTTCACTTTTTTTTGTTGTTATTATTATTATTACTGTTCTTCTTGGTGTTGTTCTCTTCATTTACCTAGTCATCTGAACGTATGATGTGTATGTTTGTATTGTGCTATTTATTTTCCATGATTGATGCATTCATTCCATAAACTTTATGTGTGCCTTTTGTTTTTCGTTAGATTTCTCTTTCTCTTTCTGTCGCTGTGTGCCTATCATCCGAGCGGATCTTCCTTATGTTTTGCTCAAACAATTTCATTTCTTTTTTTCTGTCGTCAGATACATTAAAAAAAGGTTCAAAAGTTAAAAATATGAAGACATTTGTCTGTTAGGATGATTAGATCCGCCTAGATTTTATTGCTTTTCTGACAACGACAGGAAATGATAGTCATTTCTCAAGAAAAAGAAAACGCTAAGAACATGAAAAGACACAATTCATTGAGAATTGCTTCTGCCGAAACATAAAAGTTTGAGAGACAGAATTATAAAGACTAAAACACACGCATGCACGCATGTTCTCTCGGACGGAAATACAAATGACATCGATCGGGTCGAAACAGAACAACAAAAGGGGAAATAGCAGGCAAACTAACAATGAATATTTTAAACGACTAAAAGCTACGAGAGCAGTTTGTTGGAATATCAAATGATTATTTATGAAAAAAGGAAAGAAAAATGACAAATATATGAGCGGATTATTGAAGATCAAGTTCAGTTTTTCCTTCTCGTACTATTTATATATTCTCTCATAGAAGAAATTGGAAATCAATGAACACTATTAACATGCGCTTTTCTGCATCAATGTTTTCATGAAGATTTATCAACATTAATTGCATATTCCACGAGAAAAAAAAACAACGTAACTATTATCGATTACTTTCTGTTCAGTGGAATTTCTTCGAACACATAAATCTTCCTTTCTAATTAACATTAGTTTTCTCTCGACATTCTTTTTCTGCTCACATATATCATGGAAGAAAACATTTATTTGACAACTTGATCATATATCATCAAATTCGAGCGAATAAAAGAGTACACTTTCCATTTGATCAACTCAAGTGTATGTTTATGAGATAAAAATCACTTGTCGAAATATTCGTCAAGTATCATAATCTTTATTTATTTAATAAGTAGATTAACTATGCGTGTTTTCCGGTTTGACATAATGATCTTTTCCTTTTTTATTATCTACATGTGAATATATGTATACAAACGTGTGTTAAGTATTGCGTCAACGAGTTCTTAGTTAGTTCCGATCGAATTAGATATTGATGAGCTGAAGTTGATGTCTATGACTGATGGAGAGAGAGAGAGAAAAGCGACGACATGCGAGACTAAGCGTACTCAGTTGCCTATTGGCGACATGCATTCGATACAACGAACAGTGGGATGCAACTGAATGAATAGATAGGAAAAAAATCGAGAGACACAGCAGTAAGAAAAACTAGGGAGTGGTAGAAACGATTACATATGAAGACAGTACAGAAAAAAAAGAGGAGAGGGAGAGACGAAGAAATGATGTGACATAGATAAAAGAGAAAAAAGAACTTGGGTTTGGATGCTATTAGAAAATTGAACGAACGCACGCATCTATAGCAAAAGATGAATGAACGAAAGAAAACGCATATGTGTGGAACAAAGACGATGTAACACTACATTACTGTTGTTGTTGTTTTTGTTGTTGCTGTTGTTCTTATTATGAAAGGAAACATTTTCTTCTCGTTTTCTTTTTTTTCTTCTTTCCCTCAGTTTTCCTCACTCCTTTTTTTCCTTTTCTTTTATTCTATGGTCATTTGCCAAAAGATTTAGTAAGAAAATTTCTTTTCCTACGATGATTTATTTGTCAAAAGAATGGAATAGACTAAATTTCCTAATAGATTTATCAGATCTAACAAAAATATCCTGAACAGAAAACATGCGCCGAGAGACATAGAGATGTGCCGATTGATTATTTATTCATGAGAACAAGTTTAAATAGAGAATAAATAATGTGGAAGAAAAAGAAGAAGAAGAAGAAGAAAAAGCGAGCGAGTGTATATGAGTTAACTAAGCTGATTTAGGGAAATCTAGAGAAGAGGGACAAGTCGATTGATGTGTGCGTGTCTAGAAATGACAACAATCATTATCATGTACATATATGTACTTAATACTTCTTTATATCGATAAAACAATTTCATTTAGAATGGCATGTCTATTGATAAATTACGTGCAATTTCCTATGAAATAAAAAACATTATTGTTATTAATCATGTTAATAAAACATCAAACAAAACAAGGTAATCCTATGTTTCCGTTCTTTTCTTGTTATGTTCAAATAGACGCAATCTACAGTTTTCAAAAGGCAAAACGGAGTAAATACTTTGAGTAAATGAAGGTAATAGAAGATATTTCTCTCGTATTTTTTATTAATAATAGTATCCGTTTAACTAATGCAATAGAGATACAGAACAGGGAAGAAAGCTTCCGTGCACATGCGTCGATGTTCATTTTTTCACACTAAATTTCTTCCGGTTTCCTTTTCTCATTAATATAAACAGACATAACTTCTACTCAAGCAGCAACAAAGATAGGTGAACAGAAATATTTAGTTCCAAAATGTAATATTGCACACGCATAGACTTATCGAAACTTTTCTCGTCTAATCTTGATCCGAGTAGATCGCTGTGATCATCGCAGATTGAAATCCTTAAAGAAAAAAGATCTTAACCTTTTCAGGACGGGTGGCCACTACACAATGGTCGCTGGTTGTTTATGAACAGAAAAAAAATTTTCACTACGAATCATATACACTTGTGTATGTGTGATAATATACTTGCGATAATGATATACCTCTAAGGTTATACGGCTATGATAGTAACAAAGACAAAACATAATGAAGTTGAGGAGGAATATAGTTATATATTGTCAAACTTTGTTCTTCACATAATATATTCTCGAAAAATAATACCGTCCCGAATGGATTAACAGAAAGAATTAATAATAATATAAGATCTAATTCAGTTGTTTCCCTTCTTTCATGAACCAATAAGCTTTTCTAGATTGTCAACCCATGCGTGTATTCAAAGCCATCTTTTGTATATAAATCCAAGAAAATATGCTTAGATAGTTTTATTTTAATCTTTTATCGGTATTTCTCTCTCTCTCTTTCTCATGTTATTGTTTGTTATGTTCATTTTGACAAAAGTTTTATTTCTTACTGTTTAAAAAAAAATTTATTCACTCTTCAGTATTTTATTGTTGAGTAAATGCATTTCATGCTCGAATGATTTCACAGAACGGAAGTTCGAATAAGATGGCAACTTAGAAAATCGTTCAATGTATTTTGATCGTATTAAAAGAACTAAATGGAAGAAAATAGGAGACGAGTAGAAAAAGTTGTTCGACTACTTTCGATAATGTAATCTCGATCATTAGAGAACACACTTGCCCGTCATTCCGGAAATGAAAACTTTCTCTTTGACAGTTATGATAGTACGTGCTAGATCGCACAGCAGCTATTCTTGAGTGAACGACATTGCCATCATTTTCTTCATCAATGTTTTTCTCGTCATCATCATCATCTTTCTTTCTTTCTTCTACTTATACTCGTTCATTATCAACCAAGGTTTTTGCTACCCCGACAAACGATAGTGACGTTCGAATGCAAATGCGATACTCGAGTGTCGATTTAAATGATTTGTGCTTTCTTCGAAACACCAGAGAATGTACACCGACTTTTCACGTCCCTATTCGACACGTTTGATCGATGTTATGTTTCTATGTTAATTCAATTTCAATCCGCTCCCAAATCTCCATTGGAAATAACAACAATTGTTACTAAAGTACTTGGAGATAAAAAGACAGAGGAAAATTAGACATACCACTTTAGCTAATTCTTTTCTTTCCTCAGAGCAATCGCATTTAACTAAGCATCTCTCTTGGTTTTCTTATTCGTTCATAATCAGAGTTTTTATCCCGGTTGACTTAGTTTGACGTTCGAATAGATAAATCATCGTCTCAAATTCATTCATTCATGTAGCTAGCTTTATATATAGATATTAGAAATTGTTTTTTACAATGACAATCGACAGTTTTCCAAGGACATTCTAGTAAACATAAAAAAAATTGTCATCAAGTAATATTCCTTAGATGCCTAAGTGTGCTTCTCTTTGAATACGCTCAAAAAGAAAACAAGACGAACTAGAATTTACAAACGAAGAAAGAGAAAACTTGTCCGATGTAAACGTCAATGTTGTTTTATTCGTTTCCAGAAAGAAATGACTCGATATATTATTCATATTTTCCCAAAAATTAATATCGTGAAAAGATTTCCTTTTCGTCTACACGATTATCTGTCTATTTCATTTGCAGATAAAGATAGACATCTGAAAAGGAAAGATTTTTTTCTCTTTCTATCATAAAATTTCTAGTAATAATTCCAAGTGACAAGCAAATTGATGATGCTCATATACATAAATGTTGACAGTGATTAAAATAAGTTTGCTTTTAACAACGATTGTCGCGAACAAACATTCGACAGGTACCTAGAGGAGAAAAATATTTACTTTTTTATTTTTAAACGACGAGATAACATTTATACGAGAACAATGAAAAGTCTTATGTAACAGCTGCCTAATCGATTGGCAATGAATAGATTTTATTTTGACGTTAATATATTCAGTTTTGCCATCTTTAGCTAATAGTACCTTCATTAAAGATATAAATAACACTAAAATCCCGACTGACGACTAAGGACATGTGCGTATGTGGATGTTGTATTGATATTTCAATATCCACTAATGTTTCCTTTTGGCATGCCTTGGGAAAATAAGGATCTTGTACAATGAGAGTGTGGTTTCTTCGCGTCTGAGTGTTTATATTTTGTCTCATAGGAAACATCTTTCCTCGCCGGTTTTTTTTCAATGATGCTTGACATATTACGAAGTGCAAGTCGGACGGACAGCTGTCAAATATGCACTAGTAGAGACATTGATATACATTCTAAACAATCATATCAAATGCTCCTCCACTCGTTAGCACTGAAATCTTAGCAAAAAAAGAGATTGCGTTACACACTTGGAAGATTCTCTTTTTTTTTCTTCTATTCATCTCGTTTTCCTGCCTGCCTCTCTCTCTCTCTCTCTCTGGTTTTCCTTCTTCCTCCTTTTTCTTTTCCCGTCATCTTCATCGCTTCTCTTTTTATCAGGCACCATATTTCAGAGATTGATTTCAAATCGCCGCCAGTCTTTCTAAAGCATCTCAATCGCTTTCTGCTCCATCACCAACGATAAACTCTCCTTCTGTCTTCCAAGTGAAGTTCTAAGGCCGACAATATCATATCGTATGTTTGATTATTACCTACTGGTCCAGATCGCTGTAATGATGATCTTGTTGATTTCGTTTTTGTGTTTCTCATAATGATTGTTTACGTATCATGCAAGACTTGTTTTCAATATTAACAAAACGGAAAACAAGAGAACATATTTTCTTTCCGTTTTTCAGACTTCGGTGAGTTCCAGCCGCCCTGTTCCTGGGCATTACGCTCGTGATGGCATGGCTCAAGCATCATCGTTCAAATCATCTGTTCGCTATCAAGTGTGCAATTCAACTACTGACAATGATACAACGCATATTTCAACAAAGCTATATGACCAAGGTCATTCAGCAACCACTGACGACGACCTATGTGAAATTACCGTATCTCCATCCAAAGATAAAAGCTTGTCTTTGTCATTCTCTTCGCCAAATCACCATCAACACTCAACGGTATCAACGCATTTTACTCCATTAGTATCAAATAATTCTCACAATCGTTCTTCAATCGAATCCAATCCTACAAAAATACTAAATCAATCCCCATCATTGTCGTCTTCTTCTTCGTCTCCACCACCAAAATATCCACTTGGCAGTTCAAAATCCATTCAATCTATTTCCAACCCAACCAATGCAACATCTCAACAACCACAGTCGCATCATTCTTCGATAGCTTCGTCAGTTCGCGATAGTATCAATCCATCGAATACTCGGCAACCTAATAACGACATCCAAGCAGACAAAATAGTCACACCACCTGTCTCGCAACAGCGTATATCAGCCGAAAATGTCAATCTCTTCGCCTCGTACCAAGGAGATTATATTCGTCAATCTCGACAGTTGCGCAAAGCACGTCGACAAGACATAAAAGCTCGTTTTGAAAAATTCGATTTCAATTCTCCGACCAGTCGACGTTCGCATTCATCTCGTCGCTTTACGTTTATTTTTGATCCAAGTGGTCGTTTAACATACTGGTGGACATCAATCATAAGTTTGGCATTTCTCTACAATTTCTGGATAATCATTTTCCGCTTTTCCTTTCATGAATTGACTCGTGAGAATCTCCTGATTTGGTTTATCTTTGATTATTCATGTGATTTTCTCTATCTAATGGATATTATGTTCAATTTTCGTACAGCTTATCTCGAAGAAGGAGTATTACAAACCGATCCAATAAAACTACGTCACTATTATATGAATACAACTCGATTTTATATAGATTGCCTTTGTTTAATGCCATTAGATTTTCTTTATTTATCCATTGGTTTCAAGTCGATTGTTCGAATATTTCGTTTAGTGAAAATTTATCGTTTTTGGACATTTCTCGACCGAACTGAACGACATACGAACTATCCAAATCTCTTTCGTACTATTGTTATGATACACTATTTACTTGCAATATTTCATTGGAATGCATGTTTGATTTATATTTTACATACACGATCTGAATTAGGATTTTCCAAACGTTTTTCGTTCTCATTTAGTGATAGTGGGTTAGATTATTTCAAAGCTTTGTAAGTTGAAACGACTGATAATTGAAAATATCCGATTTTGTACTTTCAATTGAAGATATTGGTCGATCTCGGCATTGACACTAGCGCAGAATTATGAAACCAAACCAGTATCGAAAGAAGACTATATCTTTCTAAGTATTGAACTGATATTCGCTCTGTTACTGTTCGCGACTATTATGGGACACGTCGCGTCGATTGTATCTAATCTCAGTAATGCCAGAAAAGATTTTCAAGGTAAAAGTGGAGAGCTATTAAGAATATTTATTGAAGTGTCTTTTTGACTTGCAGCGAAATTGGATGCAGTGAAAACGTATATGTCTCTTCGACGTGTACCGAGTAATTTGGAAGATCGGGTTATTCGATGGTGAGTTGTTTTTGTTTGTCTCTTGTATCGAAGAAAAAGACTAAGTAGATTATATTTCAATTCGATTCCATGAGAAGCAAAACTTCAAGTCTCGGGAATTTTTAATTTTGAAGATCCGGATAAAGAATATGCTTGTAGCAAATTGCTTTTCTTATCCCTAGGAAGAAACAGAAAATCAGCATGCTCTTATCGGTTGAATGAATATGAATGTCTGAGGATTTTCTTTTTTTAGGTTTGATTATTTATGGATGAGTCATAAATCTGTTGATGATAATCAAGTTCTTTCACTGTTACCGTATAAACTTCGTGCTGAGATTGCCATACATGTTCATCTGGATACATTGAAACGAGTAAATTTTCTTGAAGGAAAACAGGAAAAGTCGTTACTGAAAACTCGATTTTCTTGTAGGTCGAAATTTTTCAAAATACTGAAGCTGGATTTTTAAATGAATTGGTTTTACGTTTGAAACCTGTACTTTTCTCTCCGGGCGATTTTATCTGTCGGAAAGGTGAAGTCGGAAAGGAAATGTATATCGTCAATCGAGGCAAATTACATGTCATGGCAGACAACAATAAAACAGTCTTAGCAACATTGAAAGCTGGTCAGAAACGAGAGGATGTTCGGAAATAAATTGAAGAATGTTTTTTCTAGGATCGTATTTCGGAGAAATTAGTATTTTGAATATGGGAAGTGGAAACCGTCGAACAGCATCAGTACGATCAGTTGGCTATTCGGATTTATTTTGTCTTTCGAAGGAAGATTTGTGGGAAGTTTTGAAAGAATATCCAGCTGTTCGAGTGAAATTAGAAGCAATCGCTGTCAAACGTTTAGAGAAACATAAAAAACCGCTGATTCAGCAAAGTAAATATTTCGATGATGTTTACGATAGTTTCTGCTACTGGAATTTCTTTTAAGTTAATCTGAAACGAAGTAAAAGTGCACCAGGTCTCGTCGAAGCAAGCTGCCGTCTTCCATTTCACGCTCCTATCCGTCGAACAGGTAGTGGTGTTCGTCATTTATCGACTATTGAAGAAGCAGAAATTCCTGTTGATACCCCTACAACACTTCCAATCTACTCTTTTGAGCCGCAACAAAATCAACCACAACATCAACCTCTTTCTTTGTCATCAAATTCTTTGTTAACCGCAGCTCCACTTGCATCATCGATCAGTGTGACATCATCATTGAATTCCACTCGACAACCAACCATCAATCACTCGGTGTCATGGTCGACAACAACCGATACGAAATCGCCCGTCGGTTTGCCACGTGTCGGTCGAACATATTCCTTGATTCACAGTGATACACGAAGCCGAAAGAATTCAATTATATCCAATGAAATTGAATATTTAAGAAAACGTTTAGGTGAACTGGAAAAACAAGATTTATCTCTGAATTCGATGTACAAAGATGAATATCTCGAAACCAAAGCTCGTTTGAAAACTCTTGAAGAAAAACAATTCATTGGCAAGTAGATAACAACCGGTGTCGAAACAACAAGAAAAAAAAGATAATGAATAGGGTTTTCATTCTTCTCGTGTATATAAACTCCTCCTGAATCTATTTTCTTTTGATTTTCTGATAATTATCTTTAATATATGTTGTTTTTTGATTGTATGTATGCACAACAGAGCGACAATGATCAGATCGCCTACACATGAATTTAGTTTTATTTGGAAGAAAAGAAAAACACAAACAATTCAGTTAACAAAATGATTATTTAGCGAGCAACAATGACAATGCGACGAGTTGATTCGGTTCGAAGAGCGAGACGATGCTAACGCCACCTAAAATACATCCGTCTAATAAACGAATCTGAATAGACACTCTTACAGTTATTTTCCTTCCGTCAGCAATCGAGCCATTCTTGACACGAATAGCATTTACACCATCACCTAGAAAAATACGACATTAGCATTTGTTGATGAAATGATTTATTTATATCTTCGTTTTTTTCGTGCTTACTACGACGAAGGAATGTAATAAAACCGAATCCCTAGAGGAGAGAATTCATTAAATTTAGATTTCTTTTTGTCACAAATATTAATTGTACCTTTGAGCCACGTTCATTCGAAACAATTTCAGGATCTTTGATTGGTCCAAAAACCTTCAAGAATATCTTGACATAAGTCGCACTGTGAAGAAGCATTATCTTACGAGAAATTGTTTGCATAAATCGTCAACTGTCCAGAGAAATGGAATATTTCCAACATGAATGCGCAGCGGAGAATCTTCTTGATGTCGTGTCGACGGGAAATCTTCAGCGAAAAGATTTACGTGATCATAAGATGGCACTGATATATGTCGATTCATAGATGAGTTCGAACGAATAGTTTTAATTTGCTCAAATTCATGTGAAGAATATTTCGAAGATGAAACACACTGAAAACCAGATCACAATCGAGACCTAGTGAAGAATTGAATCGTTTACAAACTGAATGATGCTGATTGATTGCGGGTTTTGCATGCATACATAAAAGTTGATCGTTCAAATGCATTGAAATGAGCTATTCGATGAAAGAAAAAGAAAAATTACCAACGAAGAAAGTCAGGATCTGTACAAACTTGATTACAACACGGGATGGACGAATGTGGATCCATTTGCATGAAAACTAACAGATAAAAATGTCTTCTGCTGCGTTATGTCTAACGTTTATGTTCAAATGCGATCGACTATCTGAGCATAAATTTAAATATGACTATCAGAAGGAAAGAAAACACGTGTTTTTCTCTCTCTCTACCACATGTTGTTCAGCATTCAACACGACAAACATGTGTTTAACGAACAGAAAATTTGAATTAGTAGACAGTCGATCAAGTCAATATCCATACATATTTTACTTTTGACAAATAATCTTGAGATTTAGTAATTATGAACGACGATCTAATATGTATATTAAAATGTACATGATCGAATAGGAAAAAAGAAGGAGAAATGCAAAACAAGAGTTTAACGACGTCGACCACCTTTGAATGCAGTTCGAGGAATAGGTTTTTGTGTTTGTAAACATTCTCTAATCAAACGAAGTGCTTGGTTTATTTGACTTTTTGTGCCTTTGATGACCGAAGGTTCGTTATCATCATTTGTTAGGTGAATTTTTGCCCCGGTTTGCTCTCGAATTTGTGTTATATGTTGACCTGAATGTGAAGAAAAAGTATTCGTTTAGGACAAGCTTTCCGAAGAAGAAGAAACTTACCAAATGGACCAATCAATAATCCCACTTGTCGTCCTTTGACTGTATTTAATTTTTTTACGAAAATTCGCTTATCTTCGGAAGATTGAGATCGCTTCGAATCATCGTTATCATCATCATCGTCCGATTCAGGTTCGGTATCATCGTAATTCAATGGAATTTCTTCTGAATTATGCCGATGTTTCGTCAATGACGATGAAGAAGATGAATGTGCGGAAGCACTTGATCGTTGTTTCGTTTCAGTTAAATCTTCCATTGAAGCGTCATTATTATTATCAGCTAGAGTTACTTCACATATATCATTCGATTTGTAACCACCGTACTCATGAGCAGACGACTCATCGTAATTCTCTGATGGATCGTACATAGCATAAGATTGATCTTCATTATCAAAATGACCTTGTTCAAGAACATTTTGAATCACTTCACGAAGACAGCTAAAAGCAAGACAAGAAAGTGTTTAACGTTTGTCTATTGAAAGCAAACTCACTAGATAATATAGTCCGCATGTTGACATCGTAGTAGAATGACGCGTTCATCACTGAGTGGGCATGCTTGTGGAAAAACTTTCATCATATCCAATTGATATTTGTCTTTCAAACGGTCTAGTCGTTCGTTACGTTTACCAGTTATGATTGAAATGAATTTTTTCGGATATAACAAACGAAGTTCATACTGGCTTGATGAGCACTGAAATGCAATCATTAGATCATTTAGAATCTCGACGGAGACGTCGAGGTCATCTTGATTGATTATGGTTAATATGGATTCAATTGGAGATTCACACGAAAGTGCTAATTCAGACTCGAAGTGTTCGATATCGAAACTGTCGATCAACTTTTCGCGAACATTGTTTGGAATTAATAAACGAAATGGAAGATAATGTGATAAACTATTGAGACCTTGACGAGTGGCATCGGTCCAAACTGGAGGAATAGGTTTCGATGCAGTTAATTCAGATGCAGTTGGTGTTTGATCTAATTCTAAAAATGTATCAATCAACTTTCAAATTCACTTTGTTTTTTTTTCAAATTACCTTTCTCATCCGAGATAGTTGTTGATAGTTGTGAGGATATTGTTGGCAGTACCGATGAGTGTGGAGGTGGAGAGGGTGGAGGTTGTGGTAGCGGCTGGTGTTTACTAAAATCAGTCATTTTATGTAAGTGTATATCTCCAACAATTTGAGTATTCGAAGAATCTAGTTGAACATCACATCTTTTCATGAATTCAATTTCAGCCTAGAAATTTCAACAATGAAAGATGTTGATTCGAAAGGAAAAGAAGAAGAAATACATTCACTCTTTCGAGCCGTTGTTCTATTTCATCAAGTTCTTGATCATTAATCAGTTGTGGATTCGTTTTCAATAATAACAATTGTTTGATTATTTCCTCTTCAAGTAAATTTTTCATGACATTTTGAAGTGATATCAATTGGTTATGTGATTGGGCATTTTCTTCCAACATTCGACTTTTCATAGAATCAACACGATTGTACATCATATTCTTCCATTCGTCTAATTGATGATAAACATTTTGATGCATCTGATCAAGATTAATAGAATTCAAGGCTTGCTTTTGTATTTGAATTTGTTTATGTAGTTGTGAAGATGATAATTCACTTGATGCATTGCGTTGAAAACTTGAATTTGGATGTGTTGATGAAGCATTGGGTGATGAGGGAAATGGGCGTACAGGTTCTAATGTTGCTTTATCTTCAATAATGGAAATCTTCTTCGATGATTGATTGGTTTGAGTTCGTGTTCCATACAATGATTTATTGTTGTTAAAAAGTGGTGGATTAGTTGTATTACTGTTTGACATGGTGAAAATTTCGGATAAAAGTAACGTTTTATTTCATTCGTCTTTGTTCTATTCGATTCTTATTGCTGCTTTTCAAAATACCAATGGTGAATTTTGTACACCGTTCTTCTCGATTACCGGTGACGCCCATCGAAATCTACTTGCTGTTCCTTCAATAGTAATAGAGCTCTTTGAGTCAGCAGGAAATCGACTGACTTTACATTTTTGACACATACGCTTCCAGGCTTTGGGGTAATGAAGTATGCTCAGAAAGGTTCAAAGGAAATTTGATGGGCTGAAGGTCATTATAAAACAGTGCCTTGCGGAAGTGGAGATACCTCCTTGAGTTATACGCTCGATGGAATTCATACAAGTCAAGTCAACGCAAAATTCAGATATTCTTGAAATCAATTTTCATTGCATATCAGGCCATCTGGCAATTATGATGCATCTGATGGAACTTCATGAGATCAGTTTCGTGCGATCATCAGTCTTGACATTTATCATATTGATATACAATGACAACCCAGTGTTCGATATATGTAATAATCAGATCACGAGTTGATCGTGATCCATCTTAGCAACCGGAAAGCCATCATATACATTTAGTAAGAGTACGTCTTTATCGTTGACACTATACTTTCAAACTAGTTTGCCGTGTCGCTTGTAATCGAAGCATTTAAAGAAGATTATCTTCTGTATTGTTCTATTATTCTAAATTTCATTGTCATAATAAATTAAACAAAGATTTGTAATTCTTATCATGACATCCGATATTATTTTGTTATCATATTCAAATTTCTTCGGTGTACTATCTGTACACGAGACGTACTATTCAAAAACTGATTACATTACACATACTCACTATGTGCTGAGTTTAACCACACTCAGTGAAATCTATTATCTGTAATGTAAGACCGAAGGTCAAAACAACTCTATCGAATTATTGGCAACTATTGTTGATGTATCAGAAATGTTGTCATAATGTTCCATAATCACAAACTATTAGCGTGTCAAATGAAAAAACGTCATGTTTTGGTTCTATGTAATTTATGTCAAAAATATGTCGTTTCGTTCTTACATCCATTTTGTTTATACTTAGTGTAAAGAGTGCAACTTTGTACTTGTGGTCTCATCCGGAGTAAAATATCTTTCAAAAGAAGATTATCTCTCGACTAATTCGAACAAGAACATCACGATTTATTTATCGTTAGAGGTAAACGAATCGTTCGCATGATTTCTATGAATTGTTTTGAATTTGTCAAGAAAATCTTCTAAGACGACAGATGATTATTTTCTTAACTAAGAGAACAAAATTATCCTGCGAGCTTTTGGTTTCAATTGAAAATATTTTCCAATAAGTTTTGCCACTCCGCGAGAACTTTCTTAGGAATTAACATAAGTTATAAAAAAGAGAAGAACACTGTGATCTATTTATAATCCATCCGATTCCATTACATCGAAAAAGATTCCAGTTGGTTACTTGTCTTTTATCATTAGGAGAAAAATGCATAACAGATATCCTTTCGTACGTAATTGAAAGGGACATAATTGTCTTCTTTGTATCTGAATATATTATCTATAATTTCGAACGACGTATCTCAATCTATAATTACTTCTAATTAATGTACTTTGATTACAACTGATGAATATTCTTCTTCTTGAGATTTGTCAGAAAAATAATGTTTCTTCTCCTTTTTTTTTCTTTATTTTTAAAAGTCATGTACTCGGAATTCAATGAAAACTTCGTCTATATTAGGAGCACTTGACAATTGTTGATGATCAAACTTGAATGTACTCGAGACTAGCTCGTTAGTTTCATAGTTAGTTGAAATATTGCTGTATCTCTTCATTCTCCGCAAGAATCGATCTGCGAACATGATTATTTATTCTTTTAATAACGTAATGCGAAACTTTCATCATCTTCCTTCAGATAATTACTTCTTGTATTTTCATGCATTGTTGCATTTTCTATTGTTACAACATCTTTTTATTCTCAAAAACATGCATCGAGATAAAGAAGACGAAAAGGGTAAGTTCTCATGTATTATTATTCAATCTAGATTCTTCGAATTAGAAGAAGTGAAAGAGAAAAAGGAAGAGAAAGAAAATTGTGTTCTTTTCTTTATTCTCCCGCCGTTCATTTCCCATAAAAATACGTCTGCTAGCAGGTGAATTATGGCTTCAGTAGATCTCTATGATGGACAGTTGTTGACAATCAAAGATCATATTATTCATCTGAGGAAATGGTTACGAGAACAACAACCGATTTTGAATTCGTTAGACACCGATGAATTTTTGTTACGATTCTTACGCGTCACAGATTTTCGCATTGCACATGCCAAAGAACGACTAATCCGCTTCTGGCAGTACCGCACTGAAAATCTTCAATGGTACGTTTTCTTTTTCTTTCATTCGATTTTCTAGACAGATTTACTCGTTCACCGTAGGTTTACAAATCGTGATCTATTAAAGAGTCCTCTCATGTGCGAAATTGGCCAATTAGTCTATTGCCTTCAATTACCAAAAGCGACTAAGGATAAACACCTGATATTTCTTATGCGCATGGGCCGATACAATCCAACTCAATACACTTTCGATGATGTAACTCGTTATGCATTCGCTGTCGCTGATATTCTCAACAGTCAACCTGCTGCTCAATTATATGGATTTATTATTTTATTAGACTTTACAAGTATTCGTCTGAAACATATCAGTCAATTCACATTGGATAGAATTCGACGGTATATTGATTGCTGGGAGAAAATGTATCCAATACACGTACGGCAAATTCATGTATATAATTATCCTACCTGTCTCAGTCCACTGTTCCATTTCTTGCGGATGTTCTATCGCGGAGAATTTCACGATCGAATCTATTTTCATTCTCGATCGTCTGATGATTCAATGAGAAAATCTTTACATATGTATATCGATCCATCATTATTACCTGTGGAATATGGTGGACAATTAGGTTCTGTTGAATCTGAGATGAATCAATCATTTAGACAATGGACTCAAGAACGTAATGACTCAATGATACTACTCGAACAATATGGTGTTGACCTTGAACATATTACACAGTTGTTGACTAATGTCCGAAAAGAGTGTAATTTATGAGTGTGACTTACGTTTGAATGTCTCTCATTGTTGTCATAATGTTGTTTTGACTTGTAAATTAAAAAATAAAAACACTCATGTGTGAAAGTCATTCGATAGATAATTAGCCTAGACATAGGTCATGTTTTATATGGCCCTCAGTCTACCATTTGAGATCAATTCAACAAATATACTCAAAAGCTGTTCGAATCGTCGTATTTTCTATGCGAAAGTCTTCATTTTCTTCTTCTAGAATCACTCATTTATTCAGACACGAGATTCTTCAATGAATAAGTTTCATTTTGCAAAAGTATGATAATTCACTTGCGCTACGTATAGATCCATTTCTTCGTCGACTACATGGCATTGTTAGATACTATTTCTCATAAGCCTAGAATCTGTTACCATTTTACCATTCAGTCAACATGCTGTTAGTGCTTATTTTTTGTAGTAGACAGGCGAATGTTCTATTAATAGAAAGCTTACAATCAAAAGTAACAAATGTTTCATGCACGAGAAAGTCTCGCTGAAATTTGATCAACAAAAGCTTTTGCCCAGAAAAGGAATGTTAATTATTTTGAAAGTTTTTGCCTTTTCACACTTATGTTCTATTCTTTTAAAAAAAGCTATTGTCGAAAGAATAGTAAACATTTGAAGCATCACTTAAATTACAATCGAACAGAGAGAATGACATAGCATAGGAACGTGTTCGTATACAAACCGTTTAGTCGAACTAACTTGAAATCTTATCTTCTTATCTCATTCAAGGCAAAGACACCATCTGATATAGATGTCGTTATGGAAAACGCATGGAAAATATTCGGTTTATTTCTAGTTCAAGATGAAATCTTAAATAAATTCAAATATATCGATCGATTGAATGAGTCAATTTAATGACAAATACGCATTCAGATACCTATCCACACGTTGCTTTTTGATAGGTTTAGAAAGATTCAATTCGTCCAATCAGTCGAACACAACCCATATCCCGTTGTTTGCTCATTGATTCGTCTTTTCGTCTGCCTTATATTAAATATAATAGTAGTAAGAAGGAAAGAGAATGAAGGAGGCCATCTCATACTTGCATTCTTAGTCGGTCGTTTTCATTTGAGTTCATGCCCATCGATGTATACATATGATAGTGTGCGCGCGAACAAGAGAACTCTTCTTCGTCTTCTTCTTCTTCTTCTAACTGACCGCTGACCCATTCATTCTATTTTAGCATTATCATGGTTCGGTCAAGCTGTTTATTGTTACTAGTTGCCCTTCTTGCAACTGTCTATTCGAAAGACTACTTTGTGGAAAAATTCGAAGGTAAAAAGAAAACTATGGAATTCTCTGCGGATGTTTATAATGAATTCTTTCTTGCTATTCTCTAGACGAAAGTTATAAAAGTCGATGGGTCCAATCAACGGCTAAGCCAGATTTAGGTGAATTTAAATTAAGTCATGGTAAATTCTATGGTGATGCTAAAAAAGATCTTGGTAAATAGACTTTACTCGTGATGAATTTTGATTATAATATATGATTATTTAGGCCTTCAAACCTCCCAAGATGCGCGATTCTACGGTATTTCAGCTAAATTTGATTCATTCTCCAATGAAGGCAAAACACTTGTCATTCAATTTACTGTCAAACACGAACAAAAAATTGATTGTGGTGGTGGCTACGCTAAAATCTATCCAGGAGATGTTGACCAAACAGGTCTTACCGGTGATTCAGTGTACAACATTATGTTCGGTAAGACTTCTAATGTGGAGTTTTCTCTCTTCAATCTAATCTCTATTTAGGACCTGATATTTGCGGTTACAGCACCAAGAAAGTCCATGTTATTTTCACCTACAAAGGAAAAAATCTCTTGATCAAGAAAGATATCAAATGCAAAGATGACGAACTCACCCATCTTTACACATTGATTCTCAACCCAGACAACACCTATGAAGTTC